TCTCATCAATTTTGCATTTTTGCGCGGTCTACTTCATGTTGGGTATGTTTGTCCCAATTTATGCGAAAAAACAAATGGCGTCTCCGAAAATTCTGCGAATGTTCATTACTATTATATAACATGTGCGGAATGTTTCAAATTTTTGTTGAAACTTGAGTAATCAGAAATAGATCCATGGCGGGTGCACCGTCTACGCGAACCTTCGCCATTACAATTTACTCGAGTCAAATTACAAAATAAAAAGAGGGAAGTTGTACTGCTTATTACGATCAGCTTACTTCTCCTCCCAATTATTAGTAAATAATACTGTAAAATTTTTCAAATCAATTTTTATTTTTTAGACCGTTCTAGAACAATCTGAGATTTTTTAAAGATCGTATTTTCGCTGAATAAAGTCAAACTAAAAATCTCATAAAATTTATTTTGATTAAAAACGCCTCAAATAGCAGTACTAATAAGTTTCCAAGATCTTTATTAGTTTCAGACAAAGAAAACGGCCGGTTTTGTCTATTGACGTCTAGTGAATATAGTAAATTAAAATCCAATGAGATTTTTTCAATTATTGGTTGCTATTTAACTACCTACAATAAAAGGATTATAGTCTAAAGAGGCCTTTCTGCTCTATTTTCGACTTTTCACTAAATTTAATCCAATTTACAACTAATTAAAACGTGGTGGGCTTACGCATATAAATAGATACATGTTATAAGGTAAACATTTACCGGAAATTGCCTGCAATTTCTGGAACTCTCCAATTTAGTTCTTTGGTATAAGTAACACCTAGAATTCATAACAAATTTGCGTTTAGTATGTTGGACTTGCCCTTGGCCACATTTGCCCAAAGCCTGTTTTTAAAAAAAAATTTGGGACAGGTGTAAATTTGCATATAAAATGTTACATAGGCGATATATTGGTTCAGGAACTATTTGTGAATTTTGAATATTGACATTAAGGGTTGTGAGGTGGGAAGGACGCAATAAATAACTAATGTAGTTCGTTGTTCGGAGACCTTGCTGTAATGGAGGACAGATTTTTTCCTTGTAACTGTTTAGCTGTAGAATTGATATGAGAAGACAGCCGCCGTATTTGACTTTTATATTGTACATAGTAAATATGACGACGATGGAAAAGTCTTATAGGGTTCATAGGGGAGGTGCTTAGAACTTGTCACAACTCCAGATCCATTTTTTCGACACATACGCGAGATTGCTTGAAGACGCAGCTGGGGTTTGTAGTTTGAAAGTTACGAAAGAACGTCTTAAACCTCCATGAAATATTGTTATCCTGCCTTATTTCAACCGGACGTGTCTACAAAAATTTACTATAATATTATATTTCAGAGTTGGCAAGTACATATGGCCAAAAAGTGTTTATTTCTCTGGCTGCTCTCCGCATTTCGTCCATTCTCTTAATTGTTGGATATCCCGGCCGTTCTTGCAAAACGGGAACTAAAAATTTCACGGAGGAATATATGGCCTTGGTGCAACATACGTGCAAAACGTTAAAGAAATCTGAGGATCACACCTTTAACATAGCAGAAAACCAAAAAAAGCTTACACATATTTTCTCTTGCTATGTCGTTTTTCTGCACATTCATTTCCCTTAATACACAATAGTCATGATTTTCTTCCATTACCTCTAACTCAGTATACTACTTTGATATTTGCATGTTTCTCCCTCATGATCTCCCTAGACTCACATGTTCATACACTTTTATATCCCTCAATCATGCTAATGACCCGTTTCCGTCTGCAGCGAAGGCATTACTGTAAAACCTGACAGGCCGATGACGCTATAATGCAAACAATTGTGAATGTCATTACTTTTCCCTTATCCCCTTGTCAGCAGAAACATTCAGGAAATAACATGTTACATTCTGAAATGTGTCTGACAATGGTGGGGCATTTCACTTCGGCTTTTACGGTCGCAGGCAATTACGTGAAAAAAATATAAAAAGGGGGGAGGGAGATTGTGGAATTCTGGAATTTTTTGATTTTATTTATAGCTAGACAAAAACGGGATACCCACGTCAAAAAAGACGTTTTTGTGTTGTGGTAGACAAAAACAGTAAAGAAAAGTAAATAAATTGAAAATATATTGTTTTTATGACGAAATTTCATTAAAAAATCACTTTCTTCATGAGGGAGCATCTAAAGGAATTAAGTTTTTCTATTTACGCTGCTTCCGCATAACGCGGTTTCAAACGTTCCAAAAACTAAAAAAAAACTTTAAATTTTTTCGTATTTTGTGGGAGTCCTTTGCTGCGCAGAAAATGCCTTTTGTCTCATCGTACCTGCAATATATTGTACTTATGCTTCTCCTACAAACATGGGCATTACATTTTTTCCAAGAAAGTGTAGGCTTACTCTAACGGGAAACACAAATATCAAGCAGTTTTGTATGATTACTCAATTACTATTCATGCACAATTTTTGCTTTTTTCCCCCGCTAACTTACTAATTTTCAATTAGTACGATAACCGAACTATAATTGAAACGTTAGAGGGTGGCTGCTAGAATTGAAATTAGGTTTACAAGAAATTGGAAGCCCGAGAAATTACAGTGCGGAACAGTTGGGAGGTGTTGAGAGCATCTAAAGCAAAAAAAATGCTGATAAATTTACTGAATTGCAGGAAATTTTTACAGATTATTAACAAGTTTGAGCGCATGCGGATTTGAACCTAAGAAAGTGAAGTCCTGGACGCGCACTCCCCCGCAGCACCGGACCATTTGTTTCGCTTTCGCCAGGAAGAATTGTTCGGACGGATTTTGCCAAACTTGCCGGTCGATTATCTCGGCTCCCAAAGGCCGGTGGAGGTTTTGGAATTAACGCGCATTTTGATCTACACATTTGTGCAAACCGCAATCTAAACATTTATTTTTTGCTTAAAGTTTCGCTCAAATCTGGGATGCCTTTGAGGCTCCCTCTCTTCTTGAAGGTTCAAACTCTTCGATTTCCGATCTGAAATTTTTGCAAGGTTGTTTTCCACAAACCCTAAAGCTGAATGTGAATTATATTATACTTCAAGTACACTCTATGGTTTTTTTCTTAATTTTCTTAGACCTTGTTTTTCAAAATTCGCCGAACTCTTTATTTCATTCTTACTACCCACATCGAACAGCAGCGTTGCATCAAATCTTTAGACCCAAAAGTCATCATTCAATTTTACCATTTCGATCTTTGAATCACTACTCAGTAAATTTTTGAAATCTCCAAAATTCCATGGGTTTTCTTCCGTTGTAAAAAATGCCAATAAAAGCGGCCGTTCTTCGGCCGTACTGAAATTTGGACTCCGCCCACTTGGGTGTGACATATATAAAATGGACAGGCACGGGGAAATGGTCGTGAAGATTCCGTCTGAGCGGGCAAATGCGCTTATCCAAAAGTGTAGTGGTATTTGGAGGAGATGGAGGGTGGTGTTAATCATGATAATTCGTTTTTAAAACGTTTAGTGGTGTGTGATTTGCGAAAGATTTTTTTGAAGGTGTGGGCTTACAGTAGGGAGTCATAGGCATGGTAGAGCGTCTGTGTCTTATATTTTTGCGGTTTATATTTGATTGTTAACAGTAAACTTTACTTCAATCTTTCCAACGTTCTTTTTAGTTTTGGAATTTTCGGTAGGTCTTCTTCATATCTCCTCAGAACATATAGTAGCCTTATAGCCCTTTTACAAACATATACACTTAAATTTTCCACCCGCATTCTCTTCTAACTTCTCAAAGTCTTGCGAAAACTACAAACTCATCATTTATTGTTTCACTGTCATCTCGTTGCTCACTTCCATTCCTCCTCCTCCCACTCACATTGCTCTTTGACATCCCGTCTCGGAAACAGCTCCATGTGCATAAAGGCCTTGGCATCACAGGATTAGCCAAATTTTGGGGATCTATTAGACTACGGCAATTAGAGGACGTTAAGTCGATTATACTACGCCTCCATTGTCCATAACTTCTTCTATTGTCGTAGCCGTCCTCCTCATTGGTCGCCAACCCACCTCTTGATTAAGGACATCTGAAGGTGTTTTTGAATCTATTATACTGCACTTTATTATAAGTTCATGAATTAAATTTATCGTGTAATCAAATCCGGGATACCTCGTATAATGTTCACGTTGGTTAAAGGTGACGATTTAATCAAAGTTTTGCAATTAGGCAGCTGGAAGTGAAACGTGTACTATAAGAATCAATTAAACCCCTACGGCTACGGGAACCAGGTGTTAACGGTTTCTTAAGGTTTGTTTTTTCGAGAGGGCATAGCTATTTATATTGCCAAGTTTGGGGTTTAGAATCGGTAATTTCGAAAGTATTTATATAATTTTTGAATTCTACAGGGTTCATTTGTCATTCGTCCAGAGGAGAATACAATATATTGCTTGAAACAGGCTTATAAAATTAATTTTTGATATTACTTTGGAAATCTACTGCAGTCATCCTCAAAAAACAGCCAAATTAATGTGAGTAACCTCTGAATTGCGAATGAAAAAATTGGCAAATTACATAACACAACTTTATATTACCACTTCTCATGTATTCTCCTTTAATCTTCCTCCGTATTCAACTTTTCGCACATAATTTCCGCATTTTACGCAATTTCTGCGTCATTTCTGAAAAAATTTTGTATTCCTACCGTAATTTGCAAGTGGTAAAAACAACTACGTCATTATCACAGATTATACTTCAAGTCGCATCATATTCTCATTATTCTGCTTGTAACTTCCGACTCTAACCTACAATATAACGGAATATTTCGAAATTTTACAGTTGTCTTTTCTGGGAAAATTACAAATTACAGTTTCTTGCCGTGTTTACTGGCAATTAGTATAGACAAATCAATATTATTTTCTCGCCCTTTTTTACAATTTTTATGTATATTATCGCGTGCTTTTACGTGGTATCGCTAGGACTAATCGAAAGACTTGGGTTACAATTACTTTTACAGCGACCTTCCGCGTGCCCAATATTTGGATTGTTGTTTGGAAACCGAAGGAAATACTGGACAAAATGTTCACAGTAACGGCGTTCCGCACCATGTTCTTGGTTGTCTTCGTAGTTTTTGGTGAGTTTATGAGCTATGACATTCAAAATAATTCTCAAACAAAACCTTGAACAAAGTTTATAGAGGTTTTAGTCATAAAACTGCATCATACTATGCAAAAATCAGCGAAGATTTCAATTTAGGGCTAAAATACGATGACTTTTTGTCTGAAGCATCTTTCTTAATAATCCATTGAGTTCACAATGTGAGCGTCAAGTCATAATGTCACTTTGCTTTGCCCTTTTACCTTTTTTTTACCTAAATTCCTTGATTTATTTGCTCTCTGCAAAATTTCGGATTCAATTCCGCACGATGCCTGAAGCCCTGAGGGACATTGCTTAAACTATGAATTCAAGATACGTAGAAACAGTTAAGAAAGTGAAAACCTGTCACATGTTGTAAACAAGTCTATTTATGTAGATTACGTTTAAGAACGAAATGTAATTAAATTACGGTTTAACAAGGGGGTTTTTTTGCATCGAAAATAAGATGTATACTGTAAAGGAGGGCAATTTCTATGGGATATCGTATTGGGAGAATGTGAATAGTAACTAAAATTAAGGAAAAATCATGTTTTTTAGAGGCTTCTCTATATTATTATCTATGACAATACTGCAAACTCTTGATGAATTGGACACTATATCCAGCCGAAACTCAGACTATGAAACCTCTAAAACTCCCAAATTTCAGTGTGCATCAGCTTCTCGTCAGCACTCCCCGCGCCCGCTGGCTACGGCTACGATTTGGCCCCATCGGCCTTCGAGTTCCCGCAGTTGAATATGGCCAAGAAATGGAGCCGACTGGAGCCCTCCATCCGCTTCTTCAAACGCTCCCAATTTGACTCGGACTTTGACAATTAATAAACTTTGCCGGACCTGTCCCAAAGCTCTCGGTAGTCTCTGTTCGTACGTAGTTATTTAACGCGTTTTAATTTATCGACCCCGTTTTATATATTTGGAATTGAATATACGGCTACGTGAAGAATCTGCTTACATTGTACATAGAACTTAATTTTACAGTTTGTTTTATCGACTGAAACTGATAAAGCTGCAATTCGACCTCAGAATTGGGGGAAATCGAGATTATGTTATACTTGATATCAGATGTGTGATATTCTGGAATCAGCTGGAAAGTCATTTATTTCTCTTAATAAATTAATCAAAAACACCTTCTATACCATGAAGGACATCTAGCGTGATGTTTTTCATAATAACAATAAGCTATTCATGACGAAAAGTCCAATTTTATCTCCCACATCAAATTGTTTTTTCCAAGTCTCCGAAATTCTGCAGTTTCTGTTGCGCAAAGCAATGCATTATATTATTGATGATGTCTCTAATCTTGTTGTTTTGTCTGGAAACCCCAAACTCAATTGTTGGAAACACTTATTTTTTGATAATTTTTTATATTATCAGTCTGGCCGAAAAAGAATTGTCCTCCGCGCCCCCTCCGTCGCACTCACTCCAAACCCCAATTTCAAATTTGGAGGGCGTCGCCGAAAGAAAGAGCAAAAACGACGCATCGCCAGCGATAAAAGTGGGTTTTGCACAGTGCAAACGGCTTTTTGCACTGCGCAATCCCACAAATTCATCGATTTTTCGAAATCGCGCGCACTTTTGCGATGCATCGCTCAAACTTTCGGTGCCGCTCATTTTCGAGGGTGCGATTTCGATGCTGCGACGAGGGTAATTCTTTTTCGGCCAGACTGATAAAGTCATCACTTTTGATATTGTTCATGTGTTTGTTCGGGAGAGAAAAATAAAATTTATATTGTCTAAGTGAAGACTCAAATGAATACATGTGACGCAGATCCGCTTACTGCTCTGAAATCTCATCATTGAGACGTTTTTCCAGACAGTTAAAAATGAAAGAGGATTGAGGTCTTCATGAATAATACTGAGAATGAACAACAAGGAAGCTGTCACACTTTACAGTGTTTTTTCAAAATGCGTATATATACTTTTTTTCACTTTGCAATGTCCGAAGCTCGCACCGACGCAGTTGAAAGAACAATCGTTGCGGCAATTTTTATTTGCATAGCAAGTGCCAGTGATCAAAGAAATACCATATAAGACATTTTAAGGTGATATTATTTATATACAAAACATTTAGAAATAAGTCGCAAAGGTACAGTAGCAGACTTACTTGAAAAATTATATTCAGCAATCGTTGCGGTCGAGAGAGTACTCATACATCAGAAAGAAAAGCATTTTTCGGCCACATCTTTGTGAGTAGCGAAAAATTTAACTTTTCTGAAGATACTAACCTCTACAGTAAAAATAGGAATGAAACATTTCATGACTATCATACCTCTGTCAACTTTCGGACTGAAAATCTGGTTATTTCTGCTTAGGGCAAGCTGGAAGTCTCGCAGATCTACACAGCACGAAAAATGAATCTAAATCGGTGTCAAGTTTCACTACAATCCTAGCGTCGCATTTGAAACAATTTCCCTGTAAGTCTAAACCAAAATCAAGCCTCAGCGCGTTCGCAATAAGCAACGGGACGCCTGACATACATATATCGCAGAACTTTCATTTGTATTCTGCATAGCGCGATGATCCTTTGAGACTTTTTGAATGAAGAGCGCGTAAAAGACTATTGCTGTTTCACGGCTGCGCAGAGCACACTTTGAATTCGTTAAATTTTAAATAACATTCTTAAAATGTCCAGCCTTCAAGGGTCATTTATTTACATATATACAAAACTCAGTCCAGCGATTATCTATCCAATTTTTTGCTGCCATCGGCGACCTCAAACACTACATTTCCCTCGCCAGTTGTATATTGAATATGGGCATCTGGAGGATTCTCATCTTTGGGAGGGAGGGCGGAGAGGGTTTTGTCGTTGAATTCGAACTCTTTCAGTTTCAGCTCGCCGGCGTAATGGAAATCTTCGGGTTTGTAGCCGGGTTCACAAGGGATACTCATCAACGGGTCCACTTCTTCGCGGGAACGGAAGAAATTTCGGACGGAACCGCCTGAAAAGCCAAAATAAAAAATAAAGAAATACGGTAAATTTAACAAAAATGGGCATAAACAAAGTAAAATGATGATTAAAGTGTAAATGGACTTACGATCTCCATCGTGACGTTTTCCGCAACAACGACAGATCAGATAGATGGTTACGGCCAAGAGGATAAGGCCAATCAAGCTTCCGGCCACTGCCAAGCCAATTACCAAGTGATCTTCCATCAAACCAACGACCTCTCAGTGGGTTGGGAATCGTGAAAATGAAAGTCATTTTTGGAATTTGAAAAATGGGGTTTTTTTTTTAAAATCGCGAAACTTTGGATGGATTAAAAGTGTGCAAAGCTTTGTGCAAACTTTGTGCCAAATTTGGACTTACATACAAGGTCAGTGCGCAAGGTGTGGATTTTAAAGTTAAAATTTTACGGAATTAATATGTGGCTATTGATTCCGCCAAACTTGTATGCAAAGATTCAAAAAAATCTTTTTTGAACACTTATTATCATCATAAAACGGAAAATTGGCATTCTGATCGAAGAATGAAAACCAAGATGCCCAAAAGCAAAATGCTTACAATTAGTGTAAAAATCATTCTGTCGGAAAAACAGTGGTGGTTTGTGGCAGCAAAACGTTTCGCCTTGTCAAAAAAAGGATGCAGTCGCGCGCCAAGGCGATGATGGGCATACGACCTGCTTTTATTTTTTCGACAGACTGTTATAATAAAATTAGGGCTGTGACTTATATATTTCCTCGTTATTTCCAGCAAAAAATAAATAAATAATTAACTGTCTGCGAGCTCGGCACCAAGCACCAATAACAAGTATTTTTATGGCGTTATGCTCGATGATGTTTGATTGTCGTGGGGGCTATTCACAATTTTTGTAATTAACTGGTTATTTTTTCAAAAAAAAAATAGATTTGAGCTGCATTTACAGGGAATCGTAGATCTTTTCTTGATGAATCCTAGCGCAAAAAGTCAAAAAATCTGAACTGCTTATCAGCCAGTTGGGAAAGTAATGAGCACTGCCTCCGAGAAAAAGCTGTATCGTTTGGCCCAATTTAGATGCAAAATTTGAAAAGATTTCTGACATGGGGGTTACGTCTTGGATAACTTCCGTCTTTAGTCTCACTTCTATCTTCGACACGTACGTAGTTTGTATCTTTTATGGGCATTCTTGAAACCTCTCTGACCGTCTTTAATGCTCGACCATTGCGACCATTGTTGTTTAAGGGCAAGGAGGTTGTTAAAAGTGCACGTTCTTTGCCTCCTTGTACCTTGTGCAAAGTATAATTGCGATCGTTGTATTTGCGATCCCGACATGGTAGTTTGGATGTCTCAGGTGTCCTCAGGGAGTTGCTTCAGATATATAGTGTTTCGATAATTGGTGTTACGTAGTTTGGGGGAGTTATTCGATCCATTGGTAGCGTAAATGTCGAGTGAACTGATCACATATCTACATATAGATTGTTTTATTTACTGTATATTTTTTAATGCAAGGTAAAGGGGGTTTAATTGAATAATTTGTAAGTACCGTACAATGCGCGCTTTGAAAAATGCAAAGGGTCTAAAATATCGAACCGTGTTTGTCGACAAGAAAGTGCGTAGGGTACAAAAAAGATTACAAGGAAAGTAGCCGAAGCGCCACGCCCAGTTTTCGATGAAACCTTGCACAAATTTAGGTTCATGTTTTCTAAAATTTGTGCAAGGTTCCTAGCTCACGCTTTTCGAAAATGACCGAGGTTTTTAGATTGAAAACCTGCAAAAAATGTGTCAGTTCTTTGCGAATTTTGGCATCAAATTTTTCATACATGTCCCTACCATAGAGGGCAATATTTTCACAAAAAAGTAAATTTTTCCGCATGAAACTGGCAAATATATGGCCAAAAAAGCATTTTTCTGTATGACCGCTCTCCAGGTTTCCCGTGCTCTCTCGGCCGCAAAGATTGTTGAATATTTTAGCCGCGCCTGCAAAGCACTATCTAAAAATTTCAGGATTGGTTATGTGGCCTGTACCTGACTATACCTGGAACGCGTGCAAGATTTGATAAAAATCTAAGCGTCGCACCTGAGGTACTTTCTTCGTAAATTACTTCCTAGTCTTGCATACATGCTAAAGTCCAAGCCCAAGCTTTTTCCTGCTTGCAATTAAAGTTAAGGACCTCTACAGTTATTAAAAGATTAAAAGAAATTTTAATTGCACGAAGACGTCTAGCAAGAAAAAAAGCGTCCGAAGATTTTGGAATCTGGTCAATTAGGTGTATTCATTGGTCTGCACTTTGTTCCGGGTCCTATGGCTGCAATGCCATTTATCGTGTTTTACGGCAATTGACAGTACGCTTAGATCTGTGTTCTGAAACTACATCTGACCCAAAAACATTTTCCCTGCACAAGACAGAGATGCTGCTTGACTCGCGTTTCATTTGATCGCTCAGAGAGTATTGCGGCTCCCCGGGTTTCACACTGCGCAGGGTTTGGCAAAAAAAACCTCGAAAATCAAGTAAATGGAGAAAGCGTTTCCTTAATTTGATTCGCTTGGAGGTGCGGGGATTTAGGCCAGATGCGCAAAGACCTGTTGATATGCCACCAGAGGGATGCTTTGCGCAGCATAAAAACAGTTTCCAGTAGTCAAATTAGGGAAACATTTTGCAATCCAGTTAATTTTCGAAAGTCCCGATGGCTAAAATTCGTTTATTGGAGGTTTTTTCCCCAAATACGGCGCTGTGTGGCTCCCCGGGTTTTTTCTATAAAACCACAATACTCTCTCTCCTCATTTCGTCCACGATCTTGTCGAAAAAATCGTTGAATAATTCGGCCGCCCCTGCACAACGTGATCCATTATTTTTGGATATTTCGTGGCCATTCCAAGCCAAAAGCGCAACATTTTCTTACCATATGCCGACCTTTACGCCTTTGGCTTTATTCTTTAAATTTCGTACTTCGTACTTTCGACGCGTCACGCTTTCCGGACTTGTTTACACCAAATGCAATAATCCAATGTTTAAAAAGAATTTACTTGGCCAAATCCTAAGAAAATCTATTTCAAGTGGTCTAATTGTACCAACGAGTACCCTTGCGGCCAACAAGATTCTTCTCTACTCTACAGAATTCTCTTCTTTTGTTGATCTTTCGTATTTAGTTTCCTCATCTTCACACCAGACCCTTATTCATCGTACCACCATTTTTGGTGGGTTTTCCCAATTCGCCCTTAGGGAATTTCCCCGACAAATCCAATGCTGACTATTTCAGAGCTCACGAGTAATTGCTTCGTACTCTTTGTTACACTTAACACTACCATATGCGTTAAATGAACATGACTGATTCCTGATATTATACTACAGAGTTTGAAGGGAAAACATGGATTTTCGATTGCTTTCGTACATCCTGATCAAGTCTTCTTCCGCAGTCGCTGTTTTCTTTAACGTTTCGTTGCTGTACATAACTTATAAAAGCCGGAAGATCACCACCTTGAAGGAGTTTAATCAGATCATCAACATTAATGTCTGCTTGGATCTCTTTTTGGTCTTGAATATGACATTCAATGATATTGTAAGTCAAAGTATTTGAGCTCAATTTGTTTGGCTTTGAATTTGTGTGACAAAATTTGGAAATTTGTAATCGCGTTATGTGGAAATCACCAAAATTTTAAAACGTAAATTTTAAAAAACCCCATTTTTAGAAGGTCCATCTGTATTATCTTTATTCAAAATTTAAGAAAAAAAGACTTTAAAAATTGAATATTCAAATTTTATGCTAATTTTTCCAAAATTTTTTTTATCTATTAATTTTTTGACTTCGTTTATGTCTTTGAATTATGCTACACGAATATTCAAAAATTAGAACATTCAAATTTTAAAAAATTAGAAAATTTCAATATTCAAATTTTAAAAAATTTCAAAAATTTGAAAATTGGATTTTCTACACCCTATGATTATGCATATTAAAAATTTTCAGGAAATCGCGATCTCCGATGGCCTGTTCTTTGTCTTTTCCAACGCGAATATTTGGCCCTTCCCCACTTGGCTCAAGTCCTTTATCACCTGGAATTTCCACTGCTGTTGTGGTCTCAGCGGTATTTTTGGAATTGTCCCTTTATATTACAGATATCAAACATTTGTAAAGTAAGTAGTTTTTTAATTTGCAAAGCATTTGCGTGCAGAGGTGAACCCATAAAACTGTACAAAATGATTCCGTGGATCTTAATCCCGATTTGGAATACGAGTTGGGCGCTGATGACGGTCTATCAATTCCAACCCCGCAGACTCGACTATGTGAATGTTTTGGATCCGAAAGTGTGGCCGGATGCCAAGAAGAAGTTCTTTATTGTGTCCGATGCGGTAAGAGGGGACTTTTTAAAAAAAATTTAGACGACACAATGAGGAAAATACTATATAACTACTGTAGCTTTAAGATATTTGCACAAAATTTTACATGGATTATGACTACAAAATAATTTTACACTTAGGAGGATTTTATCTTGCATTAAGAAAAGGTTGACAAAATATGAGCGTTCTAAAATCAAAAAGCATATTTAACAGCCTTTTTTATTATTTTTGCCATTTTCACAACAAAATTGACCTACTAATTCAAAATTTCAGGAAGGAGTATTCGGTAATATTTACGGAGCATCCTGTCTGATCACATTTTCTGGCGCTTTTATGTTCAGTGGATATATGATCACGAGAGTTCAGGCAAGAATGAGAGGGAACTCGAACGTCTCCGGGAAAACAAAAAAGATGCAAGCCAGTTTCAATCGGATTGTCATCAGTCAGGTGAGCTCATGATCAAGGAATATAATAGTCTTTACCTTCACTACTCTTGAACAAAAAGATTTATTTGTTGGCTCACTGTTTGTCGCTCTGTTTCAAGAGTTTTTTGCTGTAATTTAAACTTGTGCCGAATATGGCGTATTTCTATCGACAACTACAAAACAAAAGTTACAGTAATTTTTTTCAAAATTATTTTAAAAAGCGTGGTTAAAATTTTGTCCAATATACAAAAATAATTTTTGACGGATACATTTTGCAATTTAATGGTTAAAACAGTATTTTGTAGTCGTAAAAAAACAGCATCCCTTTTCAATGTTGTAATTTATAATATTTTCAGCTCTTGCTTGCCGTTCTCCTCGGGATCACCCCGGTTATGGGAGTTGTAACCGAAATGCAACTTAAACTCAAAAATTCGAACGTCCACTTTGTCATGCACACGTTCATGTCGTTTCTGCCGGTTGCCAATTCCCTCTCAACACTCTGCTTCTTCAAACATTATCGACGACATTTCATTATGTTATTGACCTGCGGAAGGATTGACATCAGTGGCGGAAGCAGTAGGATTGATGCAACTGATTTCTCCAAGTCAAAGATTGGCAGTCAAGTGAGCATAGCTTGAGATTTTCTGTGGAAGTCAAGGATATTTATTGGGATAACGAATTGCATACCTGATATTCGAAATGAAACGAATAAATTTTTAATATTTAAATTTGTAGTTATATACGTTATATGTACACTTTCTATGGCTCATGAGAAATATATTTGAAATAAAAAATAAAAAATTTAAATAAATTTGTTTAATTTTTTATATTCAAATTTTCTAAAATACTCAATATGCAAAAATTTTCCCATAAAAAGATTTGATCGCACTTTGCAGAAATAACAGAATATGGCAGTTTTTAATTTAAAAAATTTCAAAAAAAAATAATCTCTGAAACGCAGAGAAAAAATCTCTTCCCAAAATCAATTTCGAAGTGTCTTGATCCCAATTTCAAACTGATCCATCCAACATTTGACCCTTTATCAGACGGAAATGACATCCGCTGACCGTGAACCCACTTTTTTCCTTCGGGATGCGGTCGAATGAAGGTCATCATCGTCCACCGTCCCTTCGGGAAATCTGTCATTCTTTTTTTGTGTGAATTTTTTTCAGTAGATTACCAGTTGTTGGTTTCGGAAAGAAGTTAGTATTAGGAAGAAAATTTTTATATTATATTTATTATTTTTATTTGCATTACAAGCCCCGCTGACGCGGGCCTTGACGCCGCTGTGCGCGCAAAGGTTGCCCAACGTGAAGTTGACTTGATCGCATGCACTACAGTTGATCGTCCAGGCCACGCTTCGCGTGGCCAACAACGCGCTGACGCGCGTTATACTGCCTCAAGCCCGGCACTTCTGTTAGCTAAGGGCCGCGCGCCAGCGCTACCTTTTTTTAACTTTGACCAATCAACTGTTCTTAGGACTTTGCCTCGGCCTTCGGCCTCGGCACAGTGCGCTACAACACTCTACAGCAACATTCAGAAGGTTCCGTAACCCACGGCGGCCTTCGGCCGCCGAAGCTTCCAAAAAAAGTCAGTTTGGCTCGGCCTTCGGCCTCGCAAAATCATTTTTTTTTGTCTTACTCCATCGTTATTGAACTTTGCCTCGGCCTTCGGCCTCGGCACAGTGCGCTGCAACACTCTACAACAATATGCAGTAGGTTCCGTGACCGACGGCGGCCTTCGGCCGCCGAAGCTTCCAAAAAAAAGTCAGTTTGGCTCGGCCTTCGGCCTCGCCGAGTCGTATTTTAGGAAATGAAAGTGGTTTCTGGACCGGTTTTTCACGCTGATCACGATGGTCCAAGTCTCGATTCACGAAATTTGAATTTAGCGGCCGTATGGCTGATTTTCGGCCGAAATGTCCACTCTTGGCCGAAATTCGGCCGGTGGTCACTGAATTCGAAAGCGATTGGGCTGAAATTTGGCACGATGGAAGCTTATGGAATTTGTCGAAAATTGACCCGAGCCGAATTTTGAATTTTGCACTTTTGCCCTCGGGGCGCATTTAGTTCGCTGAAAAAATTTAATTTTGGTCTGGACGGTCGTATTTTAGGAAAAGTTGGAGTTGCGCACATGAATATTACCCAAAACTTGATTCTGCGTCGATTGGTACCAAGATCGTGTCGATAGCTCCACTGGCAGCCGAGTTCTGGAAGGGCGGATCCAGAAAATTTCGAATTTTTGCCTTTGTCGCTAGGCGGGCGGGGTAAGATGGTCGTATGTTGGGAAGTGAAAGTTGTTTCTAGGGCAGTTTGAGGTGCTCATTACGGGGCTTTTCTCGAAAATCCGAAAAATTTGAAGTCCGAGCCCTGAGGGCCGATTTTCTGCAAAAAATCCCGAAAATTCGCTACGGTGCGTTCGATGAGCATTCCGGCACCGTATCAGAAGCCGAAAATAAGCACAGAGTAACTTCAGTCTATTGCCGAGACAATGCCGAAGCCCTTTTTTTCGATTTCGATCTAGTTTTTCCGGAATACTTTCCGGAAAATTTGGACTTTTTTGGGAAATTTCAGAAAATCTCGAATAGCTAAAATACGAAATACGACACGGTAACGCAATACATGGTTCTAGGGCATGTCAGGCATGCTGATTCAGAATCCGTTGTCAAAATCCAGAAATTCCGTCATCTTGATGGTGAAATCTGGAAAAAACCGAAAAATGTCGAAAATCGCTTATAACTTTCGACCGGTCGATCCCACACTCACGACCTTTAGCTCAAAAGGCTTAGAATTTTGCGTAGATAATGATGGAACGCAGTTTCGTCCCGCTGGATAGCGTTAACACCAGGTACCCTCAGGGCATATATGTGAAAAATTCGAAAATTCGCAGTTTTTTGGCCCCGGTCGATGATGAAAAATGTATAAAAGCTAAGGGCAACTCAAAAAATGTGAAAAGTTACAGCCGATCCAAAATCAAAAAATCCCATTTTCAAACGCTCGCAATTCCCGCCAGGATGAAAATTCCAACTAAGTGCTGATGCCAAAAGTCATCGAATCCCTGCACCAGTTGACAAAAAAAAAGTCTCGAAAAAAAGTGCACGTTGAGTATTTTTCATTTTAGCAAATTGGGGAGTTTTTGAACCAGGCCTAAGCTGGTAAATAGGATTAAAAAACTAATTTGTAAAATACGAACGCATAGAGGTTATGCTGTTTGAAGCCAAACAGAGTTCTATTTACAGAACAGGACTTTTAACTTTACGGATTTTTCCAACTTGACGTCAAAAAATTGCGCCAAATTGTCGTCCATTTCATCACTTTTGACTAAATTTAAAATTCTATTAGTATATGGAGGAGGGTTCGACGCGAATTCAAAACAAATTATGATGAATACCGTTTATATTAGTCATAGCTAGCTTTACTGCGTGTTTCAATGGATGTTTATGACAAGAAGGGGAAATTTAGTTCCTAAAAAGTTTAAATTACTAAAATTTTAACCTGACATGATAAAAGTACAACCTTAATTTACATAGCCTTCTGTGAGATTTTACTTTTCTCGGCAAAAATCAACAAAATTTTGCTTTTTTCTTTGAAAAAATCGCAAAAACCCTTCAACTTTTTTCTGGGCTCCTTCAAGATCACCTCCAAATCTTTTCTCATCATTTTCACTCCTCAAAATTTAATTTTATCCATGCTTTGTCACTTAGTCATCGCCGATTGTCAACTGAATTCCAGCTTTTCCTCCCATTGAATGGGCGTTTGCGATGAAATTCCAAATGTATTCACGAAACTGGGTCAAACCCAGGAAAGGGGATGCATCTTCGATCGTCTTCATTATGCCGCTTAATCGGGATACAAAAAACAGCGCGTCAAAAAATTCGCGGATCCATTTGCGGGATTCCGTTTTTAATAACCGTTGAGAGGAAGGTAAATATTTGGAGTGGGAGTGGAAGAGTGCCGTTTGTGTTATTTGGAGTAATAGTTGTGCGAGAATGACCACTTACAGCGGCACTTGGAATACTTTTTGTTTTAGTTGAGGTGAAGCGTTCGTGCGGAGATTTAGTATTGCATAAAATCGAGGGGGTACCCTATTTGAGATCTCCCAAATTTTCTAAAATTTGCGCAATTTCTCTTATTAATTGCTAAAAACTTAACGTCTGGCTATGCTACGACAACTTTGGCATTCAATGATTCCTTAGTGAGAGAGAATGCAGAATGAGGAGAGACAGCCAGACAAAAAATTTTGAAACAATTTTTTATTGGGTGTTGCCGAGGCTTGATTTCTCGTCAAAAGATAACGGACGAGGTCTCGCTGATTTCTGCAGTGCGCAAACTGAAGATTTCGAATATTTATTGCAAAGTCCTAGTTCCAAATTCTAGGATAAAAGCCGCCCACCTTTTGATACTTTAATTTTTAATTTAGCCGATCACTACTATGTATTATAGATTAATTATCAATTTTTTTGTTTGAATAATACGTTTTTTTTAAGACGGCTTCATTGTCATTTAAAATTTCGAGAATCTTCTTATTTTTTTAATTGCAATTAATTTACTATATTCAAGTGACCTCCTAACATGTTATACCTCTTCCTCTCCCTCTTGGTAGGGTTGATGACGATTGAAGCTGGCATGGTAAACGTATGTAGCGATTTGAAATCTTGCGAAGAGTGTACACAATCATACGTTCATATCTTCTCTTTCCGCGAGCATTGCAGGTAAGGACTTAATTGACCAAACTCATGCATAATTTTCTTTTAAATATTATGCTACCTTATATTACAAGTACTCAAAAAAAATTGTTTTCTTGAAATACAGATGGTGTTATCAAACATCAACTTGCGGTGGGCCTATTGCTTGTCCAACTGGTTCAGCGACCGCTCAACGGGATTCCTTCAAATGCCCAACCAAGGCAGAAACAGCCAAAGGAAGGAGATACACCGATAAGCTGGGAAGAAGTCTGTATTCGCTGAATTTGGCTGTAAAACGGAAGGAGAATGTCACTGAGTGCATAAAGAGCGTTCGCCCTGACGTTAAGTAAGTCTAGATGCTGTTGAATCAATTTGTTTGGACTTTAACGACTAGATAGATATTTGCTGATTAAAATAAATAAAATCTTTTTAGGATTCACAAATACTACGAGATTGAATGTGATCAAGTCCACTCAACTTGTGCTGGCATGCTTGCTATTTCTGAGGAAGCCAAGGCCCTCTACGTTGTCTACAAGAGCAGTGCCATCGATAAGCAACTCTTCCAAGTGAGTTTTAGACCAAATTTTATATTACACTTGACATCAAACGACTCAAATCATCAAAGATGCGCCTAACCCTCCCGTCATCATTCTAATCGTTCCAGGAAATTGTCCACGGCGTTGCAGCGCAACTTGGAGCCTGGGAAAAATTCGTAAACGGCTCGGGAGTTATGACTTATTTCCACGGAGCCTTCAAAAAGCTCTTCCTGGAGGCTGGAATGAAGGACGATTTGATTAAATTGAAGGAACAACACAAAGATTACAGAGTTTGGGTCACCGGACATTCATTGGGAGGATCGCTGGCCTCAATGACAGCTTTATATCTGGTGAATCAGACCATGTTCCCAGCCGAAAAAGTGAAACTGGTGACTTTCGGAGAGCCAAGAACTGGAAACTATTTGTTTGCCAAAGCAATCGAGAGAAATTTGAACTTCAGATACCGAGTCGTTCACCGAAATGATGCTGTAAGTATTAGCATATTTTTTAGTTATATTTCCTACACAAAGCAGGGGTTAAGACGGAATTTTCCGAACTTTCCAAAACTTTTTTTTAGGTGAGCAACATCCCAGCTTCCATGGATCCCGATAATCTTCTCCTGAGTGTCGCTGCAGCCGAGAGACAGCCCTATTTCTATCGTTTTGCCGTTCATTATGACAATGAAATGGAACGGGATGACACCTTCGACATGTGTGAACTTCCGGAAGATCATCACTGCCGCAACTTGGCAATGGCTGCTGATATCAATGATCATATGACCTACTTCAACGTGAAACCCGATGATTTCTTCAAAGCTGGATGCCCCAGAAGCATGATATTGTAATTTTGTCAATTTGTAATGTCTAATTTAAACTATTTACTGCTTAAAAATTACTTTTATATATGCCTTAAATAGTCGTATCATCAAAGAGATATCTCATATCACTGTAATTAAAGCATCTTGCTGTAATTTTTTTCCATCTGATTTAACTTATTTTCATTCTAATCCAAAGATAGCACTGTAATATGAATAAACACTAAATTGTAAATGCATCATCTTTATTTACCTTTGAATATCCGCGTATATACCTTGAAGAATGTCTTATGAAGGCATCAACAAGGGAAGACTTTGTTGAGTCAGTGGAGCTTGAAGAAGGCTGGAGATGGTTGGGAAGGTGGACGCAAGATTGGCCTGGGTTGGTGGCGTCTGGGCCTGGAGAAGGTTGGAGGCCTGCAGAGCCGCGTTTTGCCCGATAAGGCCAAGCTGAAAATGGAATTTTTATTGTGAAAGTGATGCTTCTGAGTTCATTGGAATAAAATATTTTCCAATAAATAGAGCCTTGTGACAACATGTTCTTGAGAAAATTCCAAAAAAGCCTTTCTTAAATCGCGTCTAATACAGTAAATATTTTTATAACAATCCACGACGGTCCCACTTTCTTGAAGATTTCTATTTATAAATGAACCATATAAATAGGCCAATGCCGAAACGGTTTAGCTTATGCTTTGCATCTGGGATGTTAAACTATTTTCCAAGCGGGCCACTGTAGCTGCAAGACTGGGAGAGCAACTTCTCAACCACAGTTTCTGCATAGCAACCTTTTCTATGCATGTTTCAATCAAGAAACTCAGGAGACTTTAGCGGCATAGTAAACAAATTGTGCTATCTAATAATAGGTTTCACGATTTGGGAATAACCGTCAATAGTCACCTGATAAAATTCTCTGGCTTCCTACAAAACCGATTCTTTGTACACGATAACCTTTTTTCCCTTCCCTCAAAATGTAAAGAAAAAATTAAAACGAAAATATCGCTTACATTGCTCATGAACTGTTGAGCTGGAGGCAACAGCATGGCTTTGGTCAAAGCCAGTTGTTGTTGGGCTTTAGCAATACCTTGATTGACCAAGGCTGCTAGGTTTGGAGAGTTGATGGCCAAGGTGTTCAGGAGCTGCGGGATAGAAGTGAACTGGTTGAATTGGGCGGACATGGCCTGGGCTACTTGAACATCGCGAGGGGTCAAGCCGGCAAGTGGGGGGATTGCCGAGGGTGGGAGAAGAGCTGAAATGTAATTACATAACATTAGTCAGCATTTTACTGTATATATTACTGTAGCAAAGCGTGGATACGCCAGTGAAAGTAAACAAGCAAAAAATGTTTTCTGTTATTTGAGTGTTTTTTGACAAAAGATCGTTAAATATTCTCATCTATCCTTGCAACGCCGGGGCTAGAATTTACAGTAATGAAACTGTATGCTTTGTTTATCGTGTTACAAAACTCAGAGAGAATTCTGAGCTCTTTGTCCCTAGCATTTCCAAACCTTTTCTTCGCAGGTAATCAATGATGTGTACTATAAATTTATGATGACTTTTCCCAACTCACATTGAAGCTGAGGAGGCAACAAGCTCAGCAAACTCTGCGACTGCCCTGGAACAACCAAGAACGCAAGTGCAATCAAAGTCAAACGTCCAGAAACCATGTTGAAGCACCTCCAGATATGATGTCTGTACCATCTCTTTGCTTGTTTATATACTCTTTTGATCCAAGAACATTGTTAGGTCTGATGTCGTGGATGACATCTCAGCTGAGCATATAATTTTCTCCGAGATTTGTTGTTGTGCAAATAAGTTTTTTGGAATTTCCTTGGACAGTTTGCTCTAGGAACGGCCGGACCGGAGGGAAGCTGGACAAACGACTGTTCTATGTCGCGTCTGTCGTATTGCTGAAGCCGGGAATTGTAGGCCGACTGACCTTTGTTCTTGTGGAAAAATTAGAACAAGGAAATGAATTTTAATTTTTTGGATAATACGACAGTATGCCTGTGAGTAAAAATACTCTCTTAAAATGTTTCTTTGCGAAAAAGTTTCGAATTTTTATTTACCCTTAATTAACGGTCTCGGTAGATCCTGCAAATCACAGTTCCATAAAGCTCTGAAATTGGACCTTTGAGATGAAAACAGCGGCAAATTTTGTTATCTATGCAAAAGCGTCCATGGAACAGCAAAAGGAAGCGACCTTTGCCATCAGGGTGTATCACAATCAATTGGTGTTTTCTCCTAAAGATGCCCACCCCTTTCTTTGGGAAAGCACAAACTGAAAAGAAGGGCTGGTTGCCTGTAGTTTCTTCATGCTTAGGATCAAACACGTGGAAACCTTACGGCTTGCAGAAAGGTTCAGTTTTAATGACTTATATCGGACTTTAAAACCAAGGTCGGCCGTGTTGAGGGAGGCAATGCAAACATACAGATAATGAATGTAGGGGACCAAATGCAAGGTTTTTGGTCTCCGACAAAAGTTGTTAGAGGGCATCGAGCAAATGTTGAGGATCCATGAAATTACAGGACAAATCGGCTGAATCGCATGCACCTGGACGTTGAAGTTGATGAGGCGACAGGCTCAGTCCGAACATATATTATAGTCCATTGCATAGTTTAGTACCACAGAGGTGGTAAAATCAAAGAAAAATAGAAAAGCCTGAAATTTCGATAAAGAGGCACGCTTACCACCCTTGCCGCCCAATTTTGCATTTCGTCCAAGCGAAATGTCACAATTAACAAAAGAAGTAAAATAAATACATAAGTCCGAGAAAAAAACATTTTTCCACTGAAGACCCAACGGAAACCTCTTGCGTGACATCTCGTTTTATTTCAATCGATACAAAATGAGAAATCATGTAAAGGCGCCAGGAAACACGTGGAATTGCCACGTGTTGCCCTCTCCGGCACGAATAAGGCTGCTTGTGAGATTTTACGTATACATAAATTTGCAGAAACCCGAATTTTGTCCATCTGGTGACCTTAAAGTCACGGCTTTTTCCACAAAGCACGTACTATTAAAAGCCTCCAATGACAGTATAATGTTTACAGCATTACAACCGATCGCCCTTTTTAACAATTCCCAGCAAAGTTGGGCGCGTTATCTCGTCAGAAAACACATGGTCACACGTTGTAAGAGAAATAATATCTTTACGATTAGATGTTTGAACACTCAGGTGGAAACGTACATAAGGACGCAAAAAACACCAGTCTCAAGGGCGTTTGATAAACAATAAGTGTAAGCACATGTGGGAAGTGATATTCATAGCTTTTTTTGTGGCGTTCTGGACATATCACTTGTGGTGGAAGCGAAGAAACCTTCCACCTGGACCGCCACCATGGCCGTTTTTTGGTGAGTGACTGTAATGTGGAGTAGTGGAAAGGCAGTTAAAGCGTGGAGTAATAAACTTAAAATTTGGCTGAAAGACAGGTAGTCGTGTCTATAAGATGATTTATTAAGATCATAGTTTGCCACAACTCTCCTAACAATTATTCATTGGCCATATAGTTGCCAGAAATACCCTTAAAATCAACCAGCAATTTCTGTTCTAATTTACATAACCTTCAATTCTTCAGGCAACTACTTCCAATTCAAGCGCTATTCCGCCGCTGAATACGCATACCTGGACTGGCGAAAGAAGTACGGCGATATCTTCACTTTCTGGCAAGGAGAACGCCCTGTGGTTTGCGTCTGCAGCTATGACCTCATGGTCGAGCACTTCCAAAAACAGGGCGAGAAATACGAAGACCGACCGCCAGAGGGCGTCTTCTGGCAATACGTGAAGAGATACCACTATGGGATCGTGAACAACGACGGTGATTTATGGCGAGTAACGCGGAGATTTGCGCTGCAAACTCTGCGCGATTTTGGATTGGGAAAAGATTTAATGGAACAGAGAGTTCTGGCTGAGTGCGAGGATATCTTGAGGAATTTGGATGAAGAGGAACAAAAGGGAATCAAGGAACATCCGATTACGGTCGAGATCGACAGAGCGATTGGATCCGTTGTAAATTCGCTGATCTTTGGATACAGATACAGCAAGGAGAATATTCATGAGTGGGATGTGAGTGCCTCAGCTTGAGATGAGATGATTTATCTTTTTCAGGACTTGAAAGAACGTGCGAACAACTTCCTCCGTCTGGTTGTTCATCCGGTCGTTTTGTTTGCCCGGCTTCATCCTACTTTCTACGAGAAAGTCCCCATTCTCGGGAAATATTTGAAAAGCGTGAAGCAATCCGGCACACATCTCATGGACTTCTTCGTCAATCGAGTTGACTACCATATGAAGGATCTGGAGAACGAGGATCTCGAAAGTTTAGAGCCCACCGATCTTGTGGCCGCGTTTCTGAAAGAACGGGCGAGATTGGACTCACTCAACGAACAGCATCTGTTTAGTCGAGAACAGTTGAACGGAATGTGTTTCGATGTCTGGCTTGCTGGTCAAGATACGACTAGCAATACCATTGGCTGGGCCATAGCTTATTTGATCAAACATCAAGAAATCCAGCAGAAAATCCATGAAGAATTGGATCGGGAGATTGGAAGCGAAAGGATGGTCACCATATCTGATAGGCCCAACTTGAACTATCTTCAGGCGGTTTGTTTGGTATGTTGCAGCAGAAATTTTTATTTCATGGATGTCTACGGACTCTCAGAGGTGTGGAAATTTAATTATTGCTGTTTTAGGAAACCCATCGGATAGCCAATTTAGTGCCGAGCAATATTTTCCACGCCACAGCCGAGGATGTCAATTTTGAAGGGTACTTCCTCAAAAAAGCGACGACAATTATTCCATTGTGTTCCGTTGTGCTCTACGATGAGAAGGTAAGTACATGGATCTGACCATGTAGTTTTACTAACAAAAAAAATCTTATTTTTGCAAACCATGTGAGAAAAAAATGAACTTTTTCGTAGAGAATTCCAAATTTTTGCCTCCGCCAAACGAGATTTTTTTTGACCCATAGAAAGTGTCAACCTCATCCTAATTATTTCAGATTTTCCCGCAACCAGAGGAATTCATTCCCGAGCGTTTTATCGACAAAAATGGAAATGTTCGAACGAAAAAAGAGCTGCTCGCATTCTCAATCGGAAAGCGACAATGTTTGGGAGAGAACTTGGCCAGAATGGAAGTCTTCTTGGTGTTGGCCAACATTCTGAATCAATACAAAATACTGCCAACGGATGTTCCATTAGACTTTACGAGAAGACACGCGCTGACTTCGTATATCACCGATTACAAGTGCCGACTTGTGCCGCGATACAAATAGGCGAAAATGTGTAAATAATCAGACTTGCAAAGTGTACATTGTAAATATAATATTATAGAATAAATTCTAAAATATTTTTTATGAGTTTTGAGAGAGATTATAAACTGCAGGAATAGTGCAACTTGATTTATCAACAAAAAAATATTTTTTTTTCAAAAATAAAGCTGATAACAAGCCGTCAATTATGTTCATAGTAATCAACAACAAGAGCTTCTCAAACTCTTAAATTTTGTTTAAATCTGGGGTACAAGCCGGGTCTGAGCCATGTATCAATCGAAATTTCAGCTTGTGTTTGCAGGAGCAGATATTGAACGATCTTCCGAAGGATTGCGGAAAATGCGGAGTGCGGGCCAAGAAAAGACGATTTCTGGCCATGTCTCTGAAATCTAGTCTAACTTAAAATTGTGCCAAGTTTCACAAAAATTCTGAGCGCCGCACTTCGCATTCTCGGTAAATTTAAGGCACACATAGTCTCTGACTTGTGTCGGCTGTCTTGAAACTACTATGATACACACATGCGGGGGAAATTATCAGTTTGTTCATAGAGGAAATTCTCATGGGACCTTCTTAATAAATAAAGAGTTAAAGTGTAATTGATGCTCAACAACAGAAACCACGGATGCTTTTTGCCGAAAAATGGGCAAAAATGACAGATAGGCGCAACATGTCCGCAAAACTTATTGTTAGAGAAAGTATCCTAAAACAATCGAAACTTGAAAAATAATGATTTATGCAGACCATTTTTATCATTTATTAAACTGTTGAACAGGAATTCTTCCGAAAAACAAACGTTGGTTTCACCTAAACCTGGGTAGAACTCTACATTTGAAATCTTTTATATGCGAAGTGATCGCATGACTTCTTGTAAAGTCCGGCTCTTCCTTGCCCGGCAACAGCTCCAATCGATTCATCAAGTTGGCTATCACCAAGAACACTTCCATTCTGGCCAAGTTCTCTCCCAAACAAACTCGTTTCCCGATCGAAAACGGAGCGAATTCTTTGATTTTCCGGACATTTCCATCTTCATCAAGAAAACGTTCGGGATTGAATCGGTAGGGCTCGGGGAATATCTAAACTTATTATGATAAAGTTTGGCCGAGGTAACCTACATTGCTGTCATATAACACAACAGATATGAGTGGGACAATAGCTGTTTCTTTTGGCAGAAAATAGCCTTCGAAATTGAGATCTTCAGTGACGGCATGAGGTATATTGGAAGGGAGTAAATTGGCGATACGATGGATCTCCTGGAACAAAAGTTATTTGTGAGAATGCTTCGGCTTCGTTGAAGGGTGGCTCGCCTCTAGATTGCTTGTTCTAGGACAAAAAAAATTGGTAAAAATTCCACATTATGCATGAAAAGTTTCGGCCCATCATGCCACTAGAACGAACACTGTTTCTGCAAAAAAAGTCTTTAAAATGCTCCTTCTTTATAGAGCTCCAGTTTTTTCTCTTCCCTCAAAATGTCATCTCTTACCAAGCAAGTTGCATGAAGATAATTCAAATTAGCTCTGTCAGCTATTGTGATCATCCGTTCACTCCCAACGACCCTATCCAATTCCTCATGAATTTTCCTCTGAACTTGGGGATTCATTATCAAATAAGCCAATCCCCAGCCAATGGTATTACTGGTCGTCTCCTGTCCAGCGATCCAAATATCAAAACAGAATCCATACAGCTGCTCCAAAGTGAAGTAATGGGGCTGATTTAGTCGGTCCAAATTAGCTTTCTCTTTCAGAAATGCGGCAACCATATCAGTGACTTCAAGAGACTCCATGTCTTCGCTTTCGAGGTCTTTCATGTGCTGTTTGACTCGTTGCGCAAAGAAGTCCATCAGATGATGACCAACTTCTCTTGACTGTTTCACATAACGACCGAGGATTGGGATTTTCTCGTAAAAGTTTGGGTTGAGCCGGCAGACCATGACGGTCGGATACCCGAGGACTTGAAGGAAGATAAATGCGCGGCGTTTAAGGTCCTAAAAATATGTTTGTGTACAATTCGTAGTAAGGCTTTTAAAGTCTATGGATACACGTTGCAGTGCTAGTGGAAACCCAGAAAAAGGTCGCGTTGTGGATTGGGAAACCCATTGGAAGATTTCTGGACCTTTGGCGAAGATTAGTATAAGACGCTGGGGTAGCAAAACTCATCAAAAATTCTGAAGCATGGCCAAGGTTGCAAAATGCAGCCTGTGGTTTAAGACTTGTTCAAATCGGAAGAAAAATAGGTCAAATCAAAAAAATATGGCCGTTTTTAGCTTGGCCGTATTCCTTATAACTATCCCTTGTAGCTTTAAATTATTGATCATATTTTTTTTGATTTGACTATATTTCAATTGTAGAATCGAGTCAAACATTGCCAGTTTAAAGTCACTTCACACCCCATTTTTAAGGAACTGAAGTTTCAGACTCACCTCAAATTCCTCGACATTCTCCTTGTTGTATCTGTATCCAAAAAGAACCGAATTAATCACCGATCCAATTGCTATGTCGACCTCGCAAGTGATAGAATGTTCCTCCACACCTCCAGCTGCATCCTCTTCCAAATTCCTCACCAAGTCTTCACATTCGGCCAGAACTCTCTGCTCCATCAAATCTTTTCCCAATCCAAAATCTCGCAGGACTTGTAGGGCAAATCTTCGTTGACTTTTCCATAAATCCCCATTGTTATTGATGATTCCGTAGTGGATTCCCTTCGAATATCGCATAAGTTCCGCATCTGGCGGTCGATCTTCGAATTTGTCGCCTTGTTTTTGGAAATATTCGACCATGACGTCATAATTACAGACTCCGACTACTGGTCTCTCGCCTTGCCAAAATGTAAACACATCGCCATAAGTTTTGCTCCAGGCTATATACGCTTGTTCGGGCGAAGAGAACAGTTTAAATTGGAAGAAATTACCTGAAAATCTTGAAATCGTAATTGTTTTTCATCAGGTGAACCAAATTCAATATAAATTTAGTCTCACCAAACACAGGCAATGGTACAGGTCCAGGTGGAAGATTTCTTCGCTTCCACCATAAATGATAGGTCCAGAACAGAACAAAAAGAGCCGCAAAAGCAATCAATAGCATAGTTTGGAAGGGTTAAAGTGTTGATTTCTCGTCTCAAAACACTCCCCAACTTCGCGCCCTTATAAAAGGGTACACGATTTCTGACTTGTCTGACTTGTTGCCTTCACTTCTAATGCTCCGCAACAAGATAGATTTCTGTCTTGTTGTGTTAAAACCCAGAATTTCGCAGCATGGATTCAAACGGCATCTGAATTGCTCGGAAATCTCTGACTTTTTTTCTGAAGCCCCGGAGAAAAAAGTGCGGAGTTCTAGCATAGAAAACACGTCTGTAACCCAGGTATCTTCGTGATCTTGTTAAACCAATCGCTTGAACATTACTGGTGTGTACGACTTGGCTAAAAAACGTCGGGTGTGTCGTCAAGCTCGTGTCATTGTTTTCTGATAAAGCCACGAAAGCTCATTTATGTAGTCAAAATATTATATTATACGAAACCGTAAATATTGCAAGTGAGCCGGGAGCCGAAATTTGCAATTTCTTTTTCGATCAATTTTATTCCTCAAAATTCTCCGAAAGAATGGCTGTGCTGTATAATTCAAAGTTTGTAGCATTGACAAACGGCACTCTATTTTTAAACCATGCGTGGTAACACATCGGTTTATCAAACAAAGAGAATTAAGTTATCTGTAACGCATACTCGTCATAATTTAGATTAATTATTGATATCGAAGGCTTTTCCTTGTTTATAAAACTAAGGAATAAACGACAGTAGCGGAACAGTCTAAAGCGGGCTCTTTTGTCTTTCTCTCTTTTTTATTCTAAACGTTAATGGGTTTGAGATCCAACTTATACAAAAACATGGAAAACTCTCGTCTCCAAGACATTCTGAAAAACTTCTGGACGTTGATCCTGCCTCAAAGACTCCCACTGGCGTCGTCTCTATAGGAAATCCAGGACAGGACTTTCTTCTGTCTCTTGATTCCCGCACTCCAGTACTATGGGTACCCGATTCAGCATGACATTGTGGCGCTGAATGTAAGAATGGTAGGTATATCGTCAATCAAGTTCTTGCACCCAAAAAAATTGTTTCAAATGTTAATTTTTTCAGCGAAACTTTTCTTACTAAATTGCGCTCCCCATTGCTGTGTCAAAACCATGTTGTATGATGAGAAACCAGGTTTCTGCTCCCTGAAGAACGTCTTTGATGCAGCGAAATCAAAGACGTTTATGCGTGGTAAGGAAGCTTGCCTTAGCTAGGTAAAAAGTACGCCAATTTAGACGAAAAAACCTTTAAGATCACATTTCTGAACAAAACGGTCAATGCCGAAACGGCGTCGCGACACTTGCGGGCAACCAGTTTGCGGGCAAATTTTTTGCGGGCAGCCACTTTGCGGGCAGCCGACATTTGCGGCCAGCAAAGGCATTTGCGGGCAGCCTGGGACATTTGCGGGCATGGTCGACAGTTGCGGGCAGCCTGGAAGATTTGCGGGCAGCCGACATTTGCGGGCAACCGGCGCTTGAGGATAACAAGGTGGAGGTGGAAAAATTACTGCAATATTTTGGAAGTTTTCCGACATTTGCGGGCAAGCAATACTTGCGGGAAGCCGATATTTGCGGGCAATAGTCCCAAAAGTTCCTATACAGTCTGTGTGATTGTTTTTTTCCTGTTGCCCGCAAATGTCGGCTGCCCGCAAGTGTCGGTTGCCCGCAAGTGTCCCAGGCTGCCCGCAAGTGTCTCAGCTGCCCGCAAATGTTTCAGCTGCCCGCAAATGTGACCCCCCAAATTTTGCCCGCAAAGTGGCTGCCCGCAAAAAATTTGCCCGCAAACTGGTTGCCCGCAAGTGTGCGCCCGCCGCCGAAACTGGGTTCGACACCCTTCGAATGGGAGGGCATTATCGTCGCTGACTGTACATTCCATCAAATTTGGCAGGATTAAAGAGTTTGCGAGCTCATACTCCACCGTCGGCTATGACGGCGTTTTTGGGCTAAGACTCGATGATGGAAGTGGACTAAGTTCGCCGATAAAGCAAATGGCCTCACACGGAGTTAATCCCTTCGCCATTGGTCACCATCTACACCGAGTGTCATAAGGATGGCTCCTTGATCGGTGGCGTGATGACGTTTGAAAGGTTCGATGAAGATAGATGTAATAACACAAAGAGATTTGTGGAGACAGAAAATAAACTCATTGGGATTTTACAACGGCTTCTTCAATGACACCATGGCCCCAACAACTAGAGGTGGAGGGTAAGAAAAGTTTCTCTGTTTCTATTAATAAATCTTAATCGCCCTCTGAATTCATGATAAGCAATCCAGATATCACGTCAAATTGTTCAATTGACTGTCAATGTTTCAGGGAACCCTCGACCTTTCGACCGAAGATATTCATGTCCCCGTGCGTGTCGCTGATATGAGTAGACGCGAACTAAATGGAGATTACGACCAAAATGGATATATCATCGCCAAATGCTCGCGTAGAGTGTACATGCAGTTTTACATTGTAGGAGTCCCTGCTGGGGTTTCATCCACCGAACTCTGCGTGCCAATTGGCGGAGACATGTGCCGCACAAAACTCAAGGTTGGAGGCAACAATGGCAGCTATGATTTTCGTTTCGGACCGTTGATTTTGTGTCGCTTTTGCCTCGTGCTTGATTACAGCGGGCGCGCCGCATTTCCTTATAAGAAGGACTACCATCCCTCATAATTTATAAGATGGACTGCCCTCATAATTTTTTTTAAGAAGAAATCTATTTGCGAAACGACAAAATAAATTTTTTCAAGTATCAATGTGTTAAAAAACACTTTATCGAATTTGCCATATCGCATAGCTGTAGCGACCTCCACCAACAAGTGATTACTCAAAATGCGGTTTTACTGATTGTCTTTAAATTTTGCACAGATTTCGGGCATAGGCCACGAATCAAATCCTGAAAATTTTAGCTTGCGCTTTGCAGACAAAGTCGAGATATTCAACGATCTTTGCGACGGCTCAAAACGCGGAGATCGGCCCGAGAGGAGGACACTTTTGGCCATATCTTTGCCAACTTCGTGCGGAACATTTTGATTTTTCGTGGGAATATTTCCCTCTACGGTAGAAATAGGCATGAAACTTTTGATGACAAAAATTTTTTTACAAAGTGTCACATTTTTATAAAATTTTGACTTCAAATCTGGGTCGTTTGTTTTCTAAAAAGCGTGTATTTGAAGTCACTTAGATGTCTTACGAATTGTTAGAAAAAATTAATCTAAATTTACAAAAATTTTCATTAAAATCAAAGCGTCCAACTTAGAGAACGTTCCCTGAAAGGGTCAAAAACTCTGCTTTTTCATAATTTTTGATACGCCCAATAATGGAAAAGAGATTGGAAACCGAAGGGTGCAAAAGTCAGCAACGGAACGCCTGGCTTATCGCTTACATCATTCTGGTAGACGCAGTCTTTTTTAACCTTTCACAGATCACCACCACACTGTAGTCTATGGCTTATGCCCTGTGGCGTCTTTCGTCGGTCTCTTATCAAATCATTGTTGGTTTAGTGAACCAATATATTCGTTCATGTGAAATTCTCATGGCAAAATTTACAGTGTACAATTTATTGCATGAAAAGTGTTGAAGGACCTGTTACAATAAATAAACGCTAGTTACAATAATCTACTCGTATCTGAAAGTATTCCACATGAGTATCTATCTAAATCTCGGCTCAATTCTACATTTGTAATCGGTAATATGGGAAGTCAGTGAGTGGTTTCTCGCAAAATTAAGCTTTTCATCGGTCGGCAACAGTCTGAATCGATTCATAATATTGGCCAACACCAAGAAGACCTCCATCCTGGCCAGATTCTCTCCCAAACAGATTCGTCTTCCAATTGAGAATGGCAGAAGTTCCTTCTTCTTCTGAACTTTCCCATCCGAGTCGATGAAACGCTCGGGAATAAACTTGCGCGGCTCCGGGAATACCTAAAGTTACTACGATTAGTTTTGCGGGAAAATGATTACCTCTTCATCATAAAGTAGGACAGAAATCATAGGGACGATAGCTGTGGCTTTTGGAAGGGAATAGCCTTCCACAACGACATCCTCGCTCGTGGCATGAATAAGGTTGGAGGGGAGTAAATTGGAAATTCGATGGGTCTCCTAAAGTAATAAAAATTAATTTCAAATACCTCTAATAGCTTTTTGATTAGACACATCTTCTTTAACGTACAAAACAAACCGCCTGAAGGTAATTCAAGTTGGGCCTGTCAGCTACAGTAACCATCCTCTCGCTCCCAATCACTCGATCCAATTCCTCATGAACCTTTCGCTGAACCTCTGGATTGTCAATCAAATAGGCCAATCCCCAGCCAATGGTATTACTGGTAGTATCCTGACCCGCAATCCAAATATCAAAGCAGAATCCATTAAGCTGCTCTAGTGTAAAGTAATGTGGTTGGTTCAGCTTTTCGACCCTCGCTTTTTCTTTCAAAAATGCGGCTACCAGATCGGTGGCCTCAAAAGTTTCGAGATCTTCGTTCTCCAGGTCCTTCATGTGCTCTTCAATCCGAGTTACAAAGAAATCCACCAGGTGGAGGCCGGATTCTTTGGCTTTTTTCAAATATTTCCCGACATATGGGACATTTTCGTAGAAATTGGGCTGAAGTCTGGCAAACACGACAGCTGGATATCCGAGGATTTGCATAAAAACATGTGCACGGTGCTTTAGGTCCTGAAAGGAGATTGATTTCTTATATCTTGTCATAGGGTCATCATTTTTTGTGTATGTCTTTTCTAATGTCTAAACCCATACTTTTTTGCATTTCTCTAGTAAATTCAGCAAAGAATCTAGCCCGAAACTCACCTCAAACTCGTGCATATTGTCCTTATTGTATCTGTATCCAAACAAAAGTGAGTTTATCACGGATCCAATGGCTCTATCGACCTCAAAAGTAATTGGATGTTCCTTAATTCCCCTGGCATCATCCTCTTCCAAATTCCTCAGCAAGTCATCACATTCGGCCAACACTCTCCGCTCCATCGAATCCTTTCCCAATCCGAACTCCCTCAACGTTTGCAGAGCGAATCTTCGTTGAGTTCGCCACAAATCCCCATTAATATTCGCGATCCCACCATGGTATTTCTTGACGTATTTCCAGAACTCTCCATCCTGTGGTCGATCGTCAAACTTGTCGCCTTGTTTGTGGAAATATTCGACCATATGGTCGTAGTTGCAGAGGGTGACGACCGGACGTTCTCCTTGCCAGAAAGTGAACGTATCGCCGTATTGTTTACGCCAAGCAGCGTAAGCGGCTTCGGGCGACGGGAACTTCTTGAATTGGAAGAAATTTCCTGAAAAATCCGATGATAAGTCGTATTTTTGACTACTTTATAAAGACAGCAGATTTTTGAAACCTTTTTTGTTTGATTTCCTGCATTTCAAGCACCGATTTTGATACGACATTATCCATGGCTTTAAAATAAAATTTTTTAATTTTTGGAAATTTCCACCAAAATTTTGTACATTCAAGCTTACCAAAAATGGGCAATGGAGTAGGCCCAGGTGGAAGATTCCTCCGCTTCCACCACAAATGATAGGCCCAGAAGACCGCGAACAATCCAAGAATTACTTCTGGCCACATCTTCCCTGGACTTTTCGACTAGTCGCAGCAAAGTTCCTCGCACACAGTGATACCGTGAAAAGCGTATGATCCGCTTCCTTTTGTACCCACCTTGTTACAAACCACAGTCCTGGTTCATAAGTCCACCCCGAGGAAATTCTTTGGGCTGTTGTCTGTGCCCGTGTGTTTTCTGATATTTCCGCGATAAAAATTGATATAATTACTAATTTGAGGGGTTTTCTGCACTAAGTCGTTTACAGTAACTTTTTTAAAAACATAATCTTTGTCGAATTACGTTTTTGGTCCATCAAATTGATTGATTGAGAGAATTACGGGTTACTGTAGCCGATGATTACTTTTCGAATTTTAGATACCTTTTTGATAATCTTTGGTCAAACGAGAGGTTCAGAGATCCATTTTATGGCCCGTCAAAGATTTTCCAACTTTTGAAAACATAAAAATCTCCAAAAATTTGCATAAATTATACGAATCTTTCGCTTGATCCCCAGAAATCCGCCATTCCATAGAAACCCCCGATCCACTGCTCGGTTGCGTATTTCCGCCTTCGTCTCGTGTTCCGTCGATTAAAATGAGCAAGTCTCGAAGCTCGACTTCCGAATCCAACCGTGGACCCTCCGAGGAGGAGCTGAAATTGCTCCGGGCCAAGTTTCACAATCGCTTCCACAAATTTTCGAATGCCCTAGAAACTGGGTAAGATAATATCAGAAAACTCATGTAAAACTAATTCTTGACATGTTATAATGTAATATAAACTACAGTAACTAATATTAGCTAATACAGTTCTTTCATCGGCTATTTACATTTCGCAGTCTGCAAAAGCTAGGCCGCAGGTCGAAACCCCGAAAATTCTGTAAAACAATGTTTTTTTGACAAAACATGACGAAATTTGACGAAATTTTGTCATAAAGAGGTTCTTCGGATTTTTTTAATCAAAGTTTATTGCAATTTCAGCGTCTAGACCATGTTTTTATCTTTTCGCGACATGCATACTGTAATATTGTTTTAAAGGACATTTAAAGTGTAACGTCTCGCTTTCAGTGGATTGCGTATCAAGGCGAACAAACAGGAGAAGTCGACGATAAAGAAGCGCAAATCCATCTGGGATGAGGAATTTGCTCCCACAGTGTTTGAGGAAATCAATGGAACCCTGCGGCCAGCGCCGGCCAGAATGTATATCCGGTAAATTCATTGCTTGTTTGGTTGCATTTTAGTGACTTTGGATTCATGAACAAGATGAATAATAATAAAAATACTATAGAGATATGAAACCGAAGAAACAGGTCGAATCGCCGGTACCCAGCGAGGAACGGAAAGTGAGGAAAAGACGGTAAGAAATGTTTTTCGACAAATAAAATGGAAGTTTTTTTTATTATCTAATCTATCTCAAATAGCAGTTCAAAGGCTTCAAAGTCCGAACCTTCTTCGGAGAGGTCACTTCGCGCTGAAAAACCGGTATGAATTTGATTGTCAGCTTCTTCTTGAACATGCTAAGGTATCATTTTATATTGTTGTTATTTTTAGGCTAAATCTCGGGCTCGACCCAAACTCTCCTCATCGTCTTCGGTATCTTCCAAGCGCGAAGCTCAGGATCTGAATGTGGCCAGAAGAGAGAAAAAGAAGAAAAAAGTGAAACGGCCGAAGGAAAACAAGGAGAAAGCCGGAGCAAAACAGGTTGATTCCAAACCTGGCCTGATTCCAAGTGTTGAGGTAAAACTGTAAATTTCTTATTGATTTTCATATTTAGGAACAGGACGCACTTCCTGGTAGTGAAAGAGAAGCAGTTGAACAAGCAGAGCCGGTTCTGGTTGACGCCAAGGCGCCTGAGACTGAGTCTGAATCTGCCAAGACGCCAGAGACCCCGTTGACGTCGGGAGATATTACTCCACTCACGTCCGGAACTAGCAGAAGCTCGATTGATGTTTCCTTCAGAGACATTGAATTTTCCGAGGGCGGAGTGCCTCGAGAGAAGTCGGAGGAACCTATTTCGGAGCGAAGCAAGAATGCCAGGAAGAAGGCCAAGAAAATGGAGATCAAAAAGGGTAAGCCGAGGTTTTGTTTCTTGCTTTAGATTGCATAAGAATCGGAGATTTTATTATTTTATGTCACCTAATTTTAGTGTTGAAAGAAAAATTGTTCGAAGAACTGACGGATGATATTCAGTTGGACGACAAAGTCCTTCAGGAGATTGCAGAGGACTTGAAGAAGGGAAAGAATTATGATCCAAAGTTGATTGATCAGAACATGGCCAACAAAATCTTGGAGGCCGAGAAGTCTCCAACCGAGGCAGAAATGAAGATGAAGCAAGAAGAAGTGAGTTTTTTCAATTATGCTTTGTCTTGCTTTTAGATACTCCTCCGACATGTTTTTGCATCATTACAGCGTTGTCTATGTGTTGCATTTGCTCGTTTTCACATCTGGTTTCAAGTGTAACATAATTTTTTCTAGGCATACGAAAAGAGTGAAGTAGCCAACAAAATTGTCAACAAACTCACCCACAGCAATGTCCTTGGCAAGGTTTTGACACCTGAAGAGTCGAAGATTCTCTCTCAATACTTTAGTGGAGAGGTGCAGCTAAATGATGAAGTCCTGAATGTCCTCAACACTGCCCTGGAGAAGATCCTAGACCGAGCGCCCGAGTTCTACGACAATAAAGAGGAGATCAAGAAGTTTGTTGCGAATCGAGATGCGGCAAAGAAGCAGCTCCTGGACGCGTTGTTGTCGAGAAACGCCAGTTTCTTGAAGAATCTGTACACAAATGCTTTCTTTTATGCCGATATGATCAGCAAAGGATTCTCGGAAGCGGTGAGATATGCTGGAGTGGCCAAAGACGGGTTGGCTCAAGGATACGCAAAATCGGTTTCGGTTATGAATGAGAGTTACAGTCAAGGAAAGGAAGTTGTCAACAAGACCTATGCTGGTAAGGATAATATTTTTTGTTTTAGTATTCGATCTTTAGGTATCTAATAAGTGAATTATATACAAATTCGGTTTCAGTTATGAATGAGAGCTACAGCCAAGGAAAAGAAGTTGTGAACAAGACCTATGCTGGTAAGGAGAATATTTTTTGTTTTTTATTCGATCTTTAGGCGTCTAATGGGTCTAAATCAATAATAATGGATGTAATTTTAGTCGGAAGAGACGTTGCTCAACAGGCTAGCCGATATTATAACCCAGCGGCGTCGATTACAAAGGATTTTGTGGAGATGGCCAGAAAGGATTACGTCAGTGAAGAAGAGGATGCAGAGAAAAAAGAGAAGGAGAAGAAGGTCTGGGAGGAAGCAGGATGGCTGAAACGGACCTGGTGGTTCATTGTTAAGATTTTTGTGGTCCTTGCTCAAGATACGTCGATGCATCGACGAATTGGAGAGAGTTCTGCTGCTGAAAGAGAAAGAAGAAATGGTAATAATGGAGGTAAGAGGTCATTTTGTCATTTTTGTGACGGTTATGATGGAGAATTTGAATAGTTTTATATTGTCCTTGCTTATTTCAGCCTCTCAACAAAATGATCAGGTCCTTGAATCTCCCAAAGACCCAAAATCCCCGGGATTGCAACAAAATGGGACGGAAAGTGATCTTCTCCGCTCAGATCGCAAAATTGCGTCGACTGAAGATGGCAAACAGTAAAGATTTATCGATTTCTTTGGAATAAAGCCTTTTGATATGAATGTAAATTATTTTTGAAAATTACTGGTCTCTCAGCCTTTGAAATTCTTATAAATTTATGAAAAACATAGATAAAGCAGGAATTGACCATACGTGAGTATTACAAAATTAATAAATAGGTTCGAGGTAGACACCAGAGATTTCTTTCGTGCAGCTTATTCGTATTGCTTGACTGGCTGTCTGGGGTTTCGCGCTCTCTTCATTATCCCTCGTTTTTGGAGTTTCGGAGGCCTAGAGCAATTGTTCTTGCGGAAGTAGAGATTGCAGGCGCTGAAAGTGGTCAGAATTTAGATTTTTTGCTATTTTTCGATGAGTAAAGTACTGATGCCTAGTATAATGTAAGAAATGGTCGAAAGAGAACTCAAAAATTAATTCTTTGATCTTAGATTATGGTAAGATGTGGTACTTACTTGCACTCCACATCTCCGTTCGCATTTCTCCTCCACAAAGTTGTATTATTTGTCTTACAATTGGCACAGATCGAGTATTTGTGGCAGTTTTGGGTTGGTTTCCGTTTTGCTTTCACTTCTACTGGCTTAACTTCTTCACTGAACTTCTGAGGGGTGAATCGAGTGGTCGAGACGTTGAGTTCTCCATTCTCGAGCTTCTGGAAGCCTTCTATGCTCGGCAAAGGAGCTTGTCCTGGGGTGAAAAACTCGTAAAAACTTGAATCGTCGGGCGATGAGTGAGCTGATTGGTAGGCAGGCTGAGGTAGAGGTTGCGGGTAGAATGATGGGTCTTGGAAGGGCATTGGAGGGGTTTGAGGATCGAAATTGGCAGGGTTTGGGGAGTTTAGCCTAGAATAATGGGGAAATTAGTGGTTTAGACTAAAAAATTGGTTGATTTACGAATATTTGGTGACTTTATTGGTTTGTAAATTGAGGTAAAACGAGTATGGCACATATAGATAATGATTTTTCATTTTTCTTACCATTGAATTGGCGATAAATTAGCCTGATCGTAGGAGACCTGCGACGAAGACGATGGCATTTCCATATAGACGTCGTATCCGGCTTGTTCTACATAGCCTAAGGGGTTTCCTTGCCTAGAAAACAAAGAGATTACCAAAAGCTCAAAAAAATCAAAGTAAAGCCAAGTTTTTATATTACACTAGACATACCATTGCTCGTATCCATTCACACTCTCATACCCGAAACCCTGAGGGGAATGCTCCGAACTCGATGAGGTCTCGGTATGAGCGGTTGAGGGGAATTGCACAAAGCTTTGATTCAATCCGCAGTCATTGTAAATCTGATGATCCGGGGTACTGTACCTGTCATGGTAATATTGCACAGATTCGGGCGGAGTTGAGGTCGGAGAATATTTTATGGAGATCTTATGGGATGGAGAAGGATTTTGAGGCCATTTATCGTATTGACTGGGTATCATGGGGCTTTCAATGAACTCGGCGGGCGTCTGATGCATGGCTGGTATCGGGAATTACCTGAAATAGGAAAAGTTTGGCCTGTTTAGGTAGAATGGAAAGTTCAAAGGCCGCGAAAGTTTTGAAAAAGACCATAGCAAGCCTTTAGCTAGTCATTGGACGGTTGGTGAAACAAAGAATAAAAAATTTATTTGTTTGATTATTTACTACAAATAACAACTTCATTTACTATCGCCCCCTAAACAATTAGCCTCCCAAATTCGTCATATCGAATTTTCGCCCCGGCCGGACCAGCTGATATTTGCTTTCCCCTCCATAATCACAACGAATAATAATGTTTTATGACAAAAAAAGATCATTAAACCCAGCCACCGATTTAACCCAAAACCCAAGCCCTCTCCGCGGCGTTATCAGTTGCCCAGGTAGTTGGCAAATAAAGCAACGGAATGGAATATTTACTGGCTGCAAGTCGTACCGCCAGCTTAACGGCGGCTCCGCTCTTTCTGAACGGTGATAAGGAAGGGTCAGCGGCAAGAAGAGGGTATAAGGTACGAATTAGCGGATAAAATGGTCGTTCATGTTGCCGATGCTTGAGGATGGGGTGGGAATTTTAATTCTAGAGACTGTTGAGGGTCTAGCTATTCTACTTTGGCTATAAATCTTATTGTAACATAAATTAAAATATTAGTATTAATAAATTTAAATATTTTGCCAATTTGAAAAAATTAGCATTAAGCAAAGTTCAATAAAGTGTTAAAAAATATTTCAGACACTTTTTTGACTCATTAATTTCCTAGTTTTCAAAAACAATCAAGATTTTTCATCGAAAACTTAAATTTTCACCAAATTGGGAATGGTCTTTAGAACTTGCAAGTGTAAGGTCACAAGTAGCCATCGGCCCTAATTCCCCTTCTTATCACTAGCCCGCACATCAACACCTCTCATCATGCCTCAAGAAATCGGCTAGACACTCGCCGAGGTCTTCCAAAAAGTTCGAAATTCTCAAAATTTAGAAACTCATAAAACTCCCAATAAAAGTGGACGTTTATTGTGGTATTGAACTATTAATTTTTGTTTAGTCAATTCTGCTGAAAACGCTGCGCTTATCAGTGCCGGGTCTCTGATCCCAAAACTGCTGAAACGTCAGTTTTTTTTTGAATCGGCGCTTTGGCGCTAACGTGAAAACGTCGAGGAATTTGAGAGGGAAATTTTGAAGTGGAAGATGGCTATTCTGGAGAATAATTGATAGTATAAAGTGTAAAATTGGGGGAATTATAAAAGAAGTTAAAATTAGATTGAAGAGAAGTGATTTTGAAGCAGTAAAAAGTAGCTTGAGACCTGTACTTTTCATAGAATTCGAGGATGAAGATTATCGCCTAGCACAATAAAATTTGTCATTTTTGGCGGGCAATGGTTTTCTATCGTAATCAAAGTCTCCGAGAGGCCTTTTTCTATGCGATTTTCTATTAAAATTCGAGTAGTTATACCAAAATAAAGGTGTTTTTATAAAATTGCACCTTATTTTAGATGACTTTTTCATTTCTCGCATTTTAGCCCCAAAATACTAGTCGCCAAATTAACACATCGCCATTTACAATAACTGTGAAGCAAAATAAACCAGTTACAAAGCAGAAAACTTGCAAAAACGATCAAAATCAACCCAAAAATCAATGAAATTCCGGCTATCCATCCCAAAATTGGGTCCCAATCCCAACACAACTAATCGCCGGATCCACAATCTTATCAACTGATCGGAAACAATCGACCAGCACTGGTGTCAATGGCATCAAATTGGTGTTTCCTGCCAAGTGCCGGTATCCGCCCAAGCTCCGCCCACTCACAGTCAACCAACGGCAGAAAAAGCGGCAAAAGGAAAGGAGGGGTGATTACTGACGCAATATCGTTGATTATTTACTGTATGCGTTGCATTTTGGGAAGGGAGAGGTAATGGATCCGGCCTGTGGGTAATTTCCGCAGGAATTTTCTTGGGAATTCTGCGGTTTTTGAGGATAAAAGTTTATTAGGAGTACTAGTGATGATGATACTACAATATTTGAGATTGCAAGAAGGGGACCGTCAGAGCTGCGGCAAATTTTTGTCTAAAAAATCTGTATGCGACGCATATCAATGAGTGAAAATTTTAGCTCACTTTGAACAGGCACAGCCAGAAAATTCAGAAATCTTTGGAGTGAAAAAGACCATGGAACCGGAGAGAGACGGACAGAGAAAAACTTGTTGTTAATTCTGGCCAAGAACCTTACAAAATGGTTTAAATTTACGAATAGATTCACCAAAATTTAAGCAATTTTCTGATGATGATAATAATAATATAATGATGTGAGAAACCTACGAATATTCCTTGATTTCGATGTTGAGAAATCAGGAGTTTTGAACCTTTATCTTTTTGATGGCGAATACTTTTGTCGAGTTTATGATTTGTGACCGAGTTGGCTCGAGAATGGTCATAAGATTGGGCATTTTGAAAGTGTTGATCAGTGGACATTACTCTTTCCGCGGTTCTCTAGAAATTTCCCAATTTCTTGATTACAAAAAGTTAAAAAAATATTTTCCTGTCTTATAAAATTATTCTTCACAATTCATGATAACTTGGTATGTAATTTTACTCTTTATTTACTTTTATTTTTTTCATTTTCTTATTCAAAATCTCTTTTTTACTCACCATTTTCTTTCTCTCCCCAAAAATTTCCGCTGGCTATTTTCCATAAACAGAAGCGGACACAAAAGAGGAATATTTCTCCTCCTTTCTGTAAAGTTGCATCACAGAGGAAGAGGTTCAAATGTCCGGTACAGTGTGGGCTTTCTTTTGTTTTTATTTAATATGACGCAGGAACTGTCGGTGCTTCTGATCTCTTGGGAAGAGCAAGTTGATTTCTTTTAATGACAGAATTGTAATTTTTCTGTACTTGGATTTCAAAGTCTCAACAGTAGGAGAGAAATTATGACAGCAAATTTAAAATACGTTGTGTCTACCATACATGAAATTTATGCCATTGCTCCTTTTCCAACAACAAAATTTTCGTCGCAGATTTCAAAATTTATTCTCGCGTTTTGCAGATTACGACCCAAATATATTCAGCAATCTTCGCCGTTGAGAGAGAGCGAAGAATGTGGTGAGTGGTTAGAGAGAAAAACTTTTTTGACTTTATCCACACAACTTTTTCATGGACAAAATGTGTTTTGTTGTAGAAGCGTTGCCTTCTTGGCTAGAAATTAGGCTAAAATTTTGCATGGATAAGATTACAAAAAGGTGCCGAATATTGATCAATTTTTTTATTAAAGTCACGGCTGTTTCTGCAAAGAGCGAGCTAGTAACGTCAAATATATGTCGTAGAAAAAAAAATTAATTTGTGCCAGACTTTATTAAAGTCGGTGCGTTGCTCTTTAATCACTTACCTTGTGCCAACATGCAAATTTATAAAGAAAAGTTTTTGGAAAAGCTGTGGAGCCACTATCCTTTGTAACTTTCCCTTTTGTGGCTCAAAGAGCACCGCGGCGTAAGAATTAGAATTGAAAAAGCCTTGACAATCACCTTAAAAGTACTGTTAAAATTTCTGTTTACTCAAAGATCGTCGTCATTCTTTTCTGTCGAACTTTAATCCGCTTTTTTCTCTGAAATTGTTTCAAAATCTAGGATTTGTCCGAAGCAACGTCCAGAATACAGAATAACCAAAAAGTTGGAATACAGTAAAAGCTCTGTAGAACAAATTTTAAGAGATCAAAAGATTATTCGCTGTAGAAAGGTGGTGTTTTTCTGAGGCTCATTTCAGCTTAAAATTGAATCTTGGGACCGAAAAAATTTGTTGTCGACAAGTTTCGTTTTGCAAAAATTCCCCTGTATTTTTCAAAAACCTATCGTCAAACTGCTCTACAGCGCGTGCTTAGCTTTTTACGGCGAATGACATTTGATAAGAACAAACACGCGCAGGATTATGACTCAATAATTGGGACATAAAATAAAAGAAATAAAACGCGCAACAGCCTGTATCAGTGGTGATTCCCAACACCAATTTGCCGGATTATATAGCCCAATTAACGTCTTCTTATCAATTATGTAAGAAAAGGCCAAAAATTGTTTTTATTACACTCGACTACAGACGTTGTAGACTACTGTAATTTATTGCAAATGCCGTTGAAAAGTTTCAAAAAAAATTAGTTTACAATTTCACATTGTACAGTTTTACATTCTCGGGACCCTCCACATCCAGCGTTGTGTAGGGCATATGCGCGAACTCGGCTTCGATTTGAATGGGCAATGTTCGGTGAAGCTGGCGGCGAGCTTGAATAAAGACGATGATAATGGCAATCAAGGCGAGGAGGGCGAGGATCAGAAGGGCCAAGGCGACGGCACCCAAGTAGTAGGTAATGTCTTGATGATTTTCTAGCTCTGAAGAAAATGAATTATTTCGGGAGGAGGTCCAAGTGCGACGCTCAGATTTTAGCGAAACTTGGAACGAAGTGAAAATTTTCCTAACGTCAGAAAAATACAGCATTTCTAGACGGTGTTTTTAAAAAACGAGCGAAATTTTCACTTCAAAATTTTGCAATTTCTTTTATTTTGCAAAATTTGGGATTCAAAGCTATGAATTTTAGGAGCAAAGAAATAGCAAATCAAAGTAACAGTATCGTCGACAAAAAATTACTTTTCCGAAAAATATATGGCCAGAAGAAATTTTTTTTTCTGGCCGTCTATCTTCATTTCTCATACTCTCTCTGCAAGTGTCAATAAAATCGAAAGCGTCAGATAAAATTTTTATATTTAACCATAGAAAAGGCTTACTGTTAACATTCCAGATCTCTGTGAACCTTTCATCCAGCCATTCCTTCCACCACGTCGGCAACTCAATGATCAAGTAGACGAGGTAACCGAGAGCTGCCGCTAACAATACCGCTTCTAGGGTCTAAAATTGTTCTATTTTCTCAAAAAACTCTACAGAGTGATACAAAAAAAAATGGACATTTTCTTTCTCCGATCTTTCTTGGCTTGAGAGGTCGTTCGAAATTTTTGGACCTACAAAATCTTTGGAAAAAGTGGTAAGAATATGGGCTGGCCTGACATTTTGGCCCATATCAGCCGTTCAACAAAGCTATTTTAAAAACTGAAATGGCTGTGATGAAGCAGGACTGTTGACAATTAGAAAACCATTTTTCTTTCCAATGACTGAGGTATTCGTGGTGGGATACACCAACTTCAAAAATTTTCCATTTTTTTTTTGAATCACCCTGTAAAATGCAGTAAAGGTACTTACCACCAAGAGAATTGAGAAGCCCGAAGCAATGGGACTGTTGCTGAGAAGGGTTAGCAACTCGATTACGCTGACTAATAGAAGGGCTCCACCAGCAATCATTGCTATCAGCTCTTGTTTCATGAAATAGCCAAGAACGACTAGACCCGCGTACAGGATGGCTTTGATGAATACCGCTACGCCAAATATGGCCTAAAAATTGGGAATATAATAGACAAAAATTAGGGATTTTTTGGAGGAAAAATTATGAATATGCAAATTTCAAAAGCTTATTTTATTTTACGTAAAACATGCATATTATTATTTTGAATATACAGTGAGGGACAGGATCCAGTGGCAAAAAACGTCTCCAAATCCTTCCCTTCTCTAAGCTAAAAAACTCCGCTTTGAAAAGCCCGCCTTGAAGGAAAGGGCGCGTGGTTTGGAGACGTTTTGGTCCCTTCCGGGATGCAAAGTGGGGCGTTTTTTGCCACTGGATCCGGTCCCTCACTGTAATAATAAGACTTTTTTTTTAAATTTGCAGAAATTTGTGTAATTACATCTTTTTTTTTGACTTTTTGGAAATAAAATTTTGAAAAATTACCCCAAAATAACACAAAAACTTACCTGTGCGGCTGACATTGTGAATCCGACTTATAGTTCCACTGGCAACTCTTTATTATGATCCACTGGTAAACAAACCTCTAAAATGTGATGGAAATTGTGATAAGAACTGACGCATAAAACGAAATTCACCGTGAATCATTTCATACTGACTTGATCCGCTAATTTCACAAGAAAAATGAAATTTGAATCTTGGAATGGCCGTCAGAATGGTTAATAAAAAAAGAAATTTCACTATAAATTATGAATAAATCCTTTTTGGTGATAAAAAATTGATAAATGAAAGTTTCCAGGAATTGGGTGTGCAATAAACGGAAGACTTTTTTACTACAAATTGTTGTCGAGTTAAATATAAATTAATGTTGTAGCTCTCTACGCATTAATTCTAGCAAATTTTAGCTTGCGATTGGCAGTAGTAGCCGAAATATTCAACGACCTTTGCCAACGAGAGAATACACAAAATGCGGAGAGCGGTCAGAGAGAAAATTGTATTTTAGACTAATCTTACTATAGTATTTCGCAGAGAAATTTTATTGCTAAAACAAAATTTCGTTCTCAAGTAAAAATCAAGCTAATGCTTTACGCCAAAATTCGCAAAAAATTATTTATTTTTTGCCATTTTCGGTCATCAAAATGTCGGCTATTTCCGCGGAACGCAAGCTAGAAATTTCGCAAATGTGAGACACCAGTTCAAAAAATGCGCAAGGTCCCATTAAAATCTATTAAAAAATTCAAAGTGTTTCCTAATTTTTAGTCACCAAAAAATAAAAAAGACTCTTTAAAAGAAATTACCATCTTTAAATTACCCAATAATCGACAACGCATTCCTGTTTTTTATCACATACTACATTATTCTTGTCTCTCTTTTCCCGCACATCCTGCTAATTAAACGCCCGAAGAACGGAATATAACTATATTCAAGTTGAATGACAACTGTACTTTTATAAAATACTTTTACGAACCGAAACACGGAAGAGGGCTGACTTGAAACCCATCTTCCTTCCCTCTTCTTGCCCTGCGGCTATTCGGAACAAAAAATAAGCATAGAGTGTGAATCATGGGCGCTATCATCGCCCGAGGTGATATCGCCCCAACTTTGGTATTTTTATGAAATTTGTTTGTTTTTTCGATTTGCCCACCAAAAACCTTCCCATTTCCGAAATGCCGGAGGGAATTTGGAGCCAAAACGACGGGGGTTTAGGGTGGGGCAGGCTGGAGGTCAGTCTGAGGTTGCACTAGGCTTATCTGGACAAAGTTTTTACAGGTTGCATAGGTGGAGGGGGAGGTTGTGAAAGAGGACAAAGAAAATGTTTTTTGAATGACTCAGGAGTACGAATTGTAAAAAGATTGCTGTAATTTTATTGGCATCACAAAAAAATATGAAAAATGGAGTTTAGTCAAATCTTGATGGGTTCTAATCGCCTAAAATCAAATAAAAATTATTAGATAGAATTTTCTGGTCAAGGGAGTCTAAACAATCTTTTTTGGACTTGTCTTATACCGAGTGGTGTCAAAAATTTATATCAAAAAATGAACCTGTAAGGTCCAAGAACATCAATTCCCCTCAAAAAGCTGTAAAACAGTCCAAAAGAGTACGCTTCCTTCAATTAGTCGCAACTTTCTTCTCTCCTTTCGCTCAAAAATTATATATGACTGAAATCATAAAACTTTTCGGGCGGAAGAGGTGTGATCTGTTTGTGCACCAAATCTTGTTTGACATGAAGTTTAAATTCGACAAGGGCGTTGGAGGTTTTGCATCGGCTTTATTTTCGACATGGCATAAAAATACAATATCACCGCAAAATGTAATTCTTGGTACGTCAATGTTATTTGGTTTGGAAAGATTTTAAATTTGGGTAGTAATGGAGAGCGCTTTTCTTTCTCGAATACTTGGTATTCAGCATATGCCACAAGAGCGTTTGCAATGCCGTTGCATCCAGCGGGACTGGGGCTCGTCTTTGCACAGTTTTCGGAGGGCCCATAAACCGCAATAGACGTTTTGGTCGATGCAATCTAAAAAGGAATTGGTTAATAGGGGTTTGTGTTTTATCTCAACGAAAAAGTGCTGGAAAAAGTGGCTACGAGATCGTTATGAAACTTTGCCTAGCCTCTTTAAGACCGAGATTTTTAGGTGATTCTAGAAAAATCTTCGGTAATGCTTTTGAATTTTTTTAGCTTCTCTAAGGGTTACTGTGTCATGTGGAAAAATTGCGTAAAATGTGGCATAGAATATTCAACAATTTTAACGGAACCTTGACTCATATTCAGCGTCATTTTTACACTTGGCATGTCCTTTTGCCCCGTAGATTAGAAGACATAAAATTTTGATTTTTTGAATTTTCAATTTCAATATTCGACTTCGATTACCAAAAAAAACCTCGCAAGAAGCTCACCTCTAGGCCTGCAATACATTGTATTCAACAACAGCACATCCCTCTCACTGAGATTCTTCCTCTGCCCCATCATCTGAATCTTCCTTCCATCGTCATTCACTGGTCGCATGGCTGGTCGATTATGGTCGACGGCGCCGGTAAATGGCCCATACAACATGATACTCGAATAATCGAAGGGAATGCCATAAGTCGTGTAAAGAGTTTGGTCCGCGACAGCGAAATAATCATATAACTGAGGGTTTATATTATCCCACTCCATGTGGAGATATCGATCGCGATCGAAGCGGAGATGCTCGTGGGTGATGCCTAAGGCGTGGAGGATCTCGTGAATTGCAACTCCGACGGTCTAAATTCGGAAATGACTTGATTAAGGAGCACTTGAGTGATGATAAAAGAAAAAAATTATATTATAGTAGGCACTTACATCTCCACACATAAAGCTCAAATAAATTGGATTGGCCGGACTAACTTTGCCAATGTAAGACAATCCACAGCTGAAATACGCCATATAAGTTGTAAAATATAGCAATTTTAAGGCCAAGCTTTGACTCACAAAGTTGGGGTAGCCACCTTTACGAAGTAAATGTGATGACTTCCGGGTCGCTCGGTGTAATGTTGGAATCTGATGCAAGTCGACGATTCAATTGAGTTTAGCGCTACCTTGAGGTCGTATCGCTCATGATCAGCTAAAAAGCGGGGTAAAATACGGTTGTAACACCTTTTGATTTTTGAAAATATTTTTCAACTTCAGCTATCTACCCACAGCGGAGCAACAGATCGCTAAAAGTGACTATTCTTGTGCAATGTTGTCCACAAATTTACAGTAGCACAAGGGTTACTTCACTTACAAAGTGAGCTATCAAAAGCAACTGGAATCGGTTGTCCGGGAGGCCAAACATTCGTTGGCATCTGTTCCACGTAGATCGCCGCTCTTTTGTTTCTACTGTTCCTCTCCGCTTGTTGTCTCAATCTCAACATCATGGTTTCGGTTTGACCCTCCGTGAGTAAAATGTCGTCTTGGAAAGTGCCGTCATTATTTGGCTCGACCGCTTCGCCAAGTCCTGCGGCATCCAAAAGAGTCTCTTTCAATTTGTGAATCTTTGCGAGGCGTCGATGGACTTGATCTGGCGTTATGAACGGGTTGAAAATGCGTTGAATGTCTGTCTCGGTTCGATGTATTTCGTTGTATTTTTCAACAGCTTTTAAGGACTCCGTTCGACAGTCAATTCGTCGGCAAGTCTCCTAAAAAATGTAAAATACGATGTTGAAAAATTTGTCTTCAACTTACAATAATTGCATCTCTGGCTTCAACAGTGATTTCTCCAAATTTTGGCTTCCGATGCGGCCGATAAAATGGCCGAGGTGGTGGCGGAGGAGGGGCTTTATAAGCGGTCTTAAAGTAGCCCTAAAATAAAATATTCAACATTGCCAACAGTTGCTTCCTTACATCCGGCTTTACAGCCAATTCTGGTGGCCTTCTTGAGGGAAACTCGTCAACAATTGCGTCGCAGGGCTAAAAAATGAATTTTGTTATTGATTTTACATATATTTTTTGAGAAATACCTCAGGATTTGGCCATTTATTTGCTTGTGGGACAACCTCTTCAGGTCTTTGTTGTGGATTTGCTCCAGGTGCGGGATTTGGGACGCCTTGTTCTTTGGCTCGTTCCAGAATTGGGGTTTCAAATTCGTTTCTTGGCCTGGAAGATTAGAATAAGATTGGTTTCCTTGTCTTATTGTACAACTCGATGCAAAACACTAAAGTTTTCTCTTACCCACATGTCGAGCAGGATCCTTCTTTGCTGTTGTCCAAATCCTTTCCTTGAATTAGTCCGGCCCTTTCAGCATCCGCTATGCCCCAGCCTCCAGGGCCTCCACCCGGTCCTCTCTCCTGCATCCCCCGTTGGGTCTGTTGGCCTGGCTGAAGCGCCGGTTGGACCGCTGGATCTTCCGGACTGGACTGTTCGACTGGCTGAGTATTCTGAGGGCTTCCTTGTTCATTTGAACCGTCTTGAGGCCCTTGCTGACCATCTGGATTAGCCATTGGACCAGCCGAGCCCGCTCCTCCATCCGGCCCAATTGGCCCGGGGATTGCTGAAGGATTAAAGGGCAAAATTGGAGGGGCTTCAGGATGACGAACTGGGAGGATTGGGGACCTTGGAGGAGGCAGTGGTTCTGTTGCTGCAGCTGACTCAGCTATTGGCTGTGGTTCTTCCGCTGCTGGAGAAAAGGCAGGACTTGCTGGGATGGAGGCTGGCATTGAATCCTGAGGGGATTCGGGGAATGGCGGAGATGGAGGTGAGGGGGCGCTTCGAAATATTGCCGAAGGATCAGCCGACCCTACCTAAGTCAATGTTATTGCGCCAAGAAATACAACAAAATCGATGAAAGATTAGAATCTTACTCCTACATCAGGCTTCTGAAGAGAAAGTCCAGTTCCAGTTCCCGATGTCCTGGCTTCTCGATCCGTCGGGGTTTCCCCTGGGGCCGCCGCATTACCAAGTGACATATCCGGCGCTTCTCCTGGAGGTGCTGAGAATGTCGTGGACACCAAATAAATTAAGAATATAAAAAATTCGTTCATCTGAAAGCAATAAAACGCTGACTAAACTATATAATATTAGCCTGTAAATATTGATCAGATTCTCCAAAAAATTAGCTCAAATCCTACAAAGACGGAAGGGGTCGGGAGAAAAGATGATCAGACTTTGTCCAGTAATTGGCGACCGAAGCAAAGCGTCGTCGGATTCGGTTTCAAACTTTTTTATATTGCTTTAGTATTGTTATGGGGAATGCGAAAACCTTTGACGGTAATTATGTACTTCAACGACGAGCCTTCTGCTTTCCGTCGCGGTTTCTCGAAGGACGAGACGTCGTAATGGTAAAAGAAAACATTGTGAAAGAAGGCAATCTGCAGGGCTGGCATGTCGATTGTAAAATTTGATGACTACGATGATCAAGCCCTACCTTGCCGCGGTTTTTTCGATGGATATGACACCAAATTCGATAACTATGTTAGCAATGAGTTTACTTATTAGTAGTCAATAAATTACATCCTCCACAAAACAATAAATAGTGAGAAAACAATAAATAGTATACAAGTACCATCTATGGGTTCGTTCCATATCCGATAACTCCCAAACCGGGCACCTCAATGGGCTTGTAGCCACCTTGGAATTGGTTCAAGATGGTGCCCATGGCAACGGCACGAGATGGGTCGCTAACTCCGATGGGGAGTTGCTGAGGGATCGCTGGAGGGGCCGTTGGGAATCCGGCTGGTGGAGGGAAGGTGGGCAAGGTTGGTAGGCCTCCGGCACCAGCTCCGCCAAGGCCAGGCAATGGCGAGAAGCCGGGGAATGGAGCTGGCGTTACTCCGGCGCCTGGCAGCGATGGAAGAGAAGGAAGAGAGGGTGGCTGCTGAGGAGCAACTTGGCTAACTTGGTTGGCCACCTGACCGGCAGCTTGTCCGGCTTGTCCAGCGGCCTGCTCCGCGGTTTGGCCGGCCTGAGAAACAGCTTGGCCGGCAGCTTGTCCGGCGGCCTGGCTAGCATCAACTCCAGTGCCGACGGCTTGAGCATCAGCACCAGTTACAGTTGGAGCGGCGAAGGCGCGACCGCCAGTTGGTGTGGCAAAAGCTGGGGCAGGCTGGACTGGAGCCTGGAAACCGCCAAAGGCTGGTTGAGCGGCTGGAACGGGAGCGGCGGCTGGGGCTGGAGTTATAGCCGAGAAGCCGGGGAATGTGAAGGGAGCGAAGGTTGGGAAGGTGTGAGGAGGAAGAGTTGGGAAGGTAGGGAAGGTGTGGGTTGGGAGAGTGGGGAACAGGGTCGAGACGGCAGGTGGCGCTTGAGTGGCGGAGGCTTGTTGTTGAGCGACTTGTTGGTTGTACTCAGCCAGCTTTCTTTGGTACTCTTCTTGAGCTCGTTGGTATTCGATTTGAGCTTGCTGTTGTTGAGCGGGGTCTACGGCTTGTTGTTGCTGTTGTTGTTGTGGTTGTTGCTGCTGTTGCTGCTGCACTTGTGGTTGTTGCTGCTGTTGCTGAGGTTGTTGGGCCTGAGTGTCGGGAGTTGGGACTTGTTGTGGCTGATGCTGTGGAGCCAGGGAGGCTTCAGAGTTGACGGCATTGTCAATTTGCTCGGTTGGAGCGGCATTCTGCTTGTTCTTCTTGTGTTTGCCCTCCTTTTTCTTCTGATTTTTCTCGGCTGGAGTGCCGCTTCCGGCGAGGACTTTCAAAACTTCATTGGGTACTTCGTTTTCAACTAAATTTGTGTTAATTTATCTCTCTGCATGTTCACTTACATTCAACCTCTGGCTCTGGAGGGTCGGGCAGACAATTCATTCGGCGGACGGTGACTTCGTAGCTAACCTTCTGAGATCCACTGGACTTGACAATTTTACGGACATTGGCGATGACATCAAATGAGATTTGACGGCCATTTCTAACAACTTCACCCCCGGTAATGGCTTCTCCAGGTCCGACGTTGGTGGTTCCGACCTCTTGCGAGAACTTGAGGGCATCGTATGTGCAGCATTGCAGGATCAGACTGAAACGCAAACCATTTTATTATTAAATATTTTACTTTTTAAAGTTTAAAAATCAAAGCTTCTAAGTCACCATTTCAGCCCATAAAATAGGATTCTTTGGTTCAATTTATATCATACTACTTACGGTTGTCTTGGATGGTCGATGTATTCGATTCCACCGACAAATTGGTTCTTTCTTGGGCAAGACAGCTCGTTAAAGCTTCCGGTACAGTTGGCCACCAACTTAGGAGCTCCTTGATGTCTGTATCTCTTCAGAGTCCGATCTCCCTCTCTGAAGAATCCATCAGACTGCCCGTTGACGTCCGTCAAGAACTCGCTGTCCTCGACCAGTGGCTCTTCAGCAGCAGCCACACAAGACGGCTGGGCACAGCCGAGAACTGGAGCTCCGCTGGGAAGGACTTCGAAACTGTAGGGCACTCCGGTTTTACCACAGTACGAGGCAGTGGTAAGACCGACTGTAAGTGAAAGGAGGACGGCTACTGTTAACCGCATATCTGGAAAGAAGGAAGTGTAAGTTTGAGCACGTTAAAAATCGTTAAAATTTCTTTAAATAGTAACGCAATCAACGGGAATCAGAGTAGTAAAAAAGTAGGGGAAATGCCGTCAAATAAGTAGTGAAATCTGGGTTTAGATTGAAGATTTAAGAGCTAAGATAAATATATTTTTTCGCTGACGGCTCTACGATAGCTTTTACAGGCTCAGAAAGAGTTCTTATTACATCAATCAACATAGGTTTTCTCCATTGCACTTGTAAAATGGGAAATGAAAAGTTATGTTATCCAGAGGTTCCAAAGGTTAATCGACCACAACGAAGTTCTAAGTCATAATCGTCCATACCATGCTGTAACAATCCCCATCAAGATCAATAAATCCCTTCCTCGCCTTCATCCCATCCCCATTCCTCCCTCACATTGACCCGTGAAGATGGATCAATGCAAATACCCAAACTCTCCCCAAGGCGCTGCAAAACTTTTCACAAACAACCCGAATGTGAGTGAAATGGGCGTTAGGATCCGCCTTTAGAATGAATGCCCTCCGGCAGTGATCGGCATGAAGAATCAAAATCTTTTCCTTCAAGAAAGCGAAAGCGACATCGCCTTCTGGATTCCGCACAAAACTGGCTCCGGGAACTGGAATCAGCGGGTTCCCTTCGAGATTCGAGACGCGAAAAGACCTCAGGCTTAATGAGTAATGGAGAAACGAGGGCTGTTTGCGAGGATTCGGAAGGCATTTGAGCGGATTGTCGGAATAAATTTGGTTGAAACAAGGTGCTCTTTAAAGAATCAAACATTACTTTCGAAAAAACAACGGAAACTTGAGGTAAAATACGTGGTCGAATTCTCCCGACAACGACTCAAAAAGGTGGCAATTAATGGATATGGTCTCGTTTTGTCATCATTTTCCCCTAAACTCAGCCAAAATGCCTATAAATCTTTGGAAATCAGTTCAAATGTCATCCCCCATCCGTAATAAAGGAACCGCGAAATACAAAGGTTTTGCTGCCCTTCTTTCCCCCAAAAAATCGCCATCTATTATTTGGAAACACCCTTATAACCCACATATAATAAACTACGAAAGTGAAACGCCGGGGTTCCCTTCCTTTACCCGTGAATTCATTCTTTTTTTCTCTCTGCTGACCCAAATCCGATTGTGATGCGCATGAGGTAAATAATTCTGGAATTTGCCCGGAGTAGGTGGATCGTGCCGCAGGGGCTTAGAGGCAATGCGAAGTATGTAAAAAGCATTTCATTTTGAATAAATTAAGGGAAAATTATTGAAGTGCAACTTGGGGAAATCTTTCATTTTTCATGCCTATTTATACCGTAGGGAGTTGTGTTGCCAAGCCCGGCGTATTAACGTATTATGTGCAAAACTTAAAAAAATTTGAACGTCACGCTCCAATCACTTTCTTCTTAGCTTTAAAAAAATTTAATTGCTGTAATAATCTTGTTACTATCGCCTTCATATTCTTGAAATTTTATACTCTTGCTCTCTCTCTCCGCATATTTACGCAATCAGCACCCAAATGATGTATAATAGTAACATCTTCAAGATCTTCTCGCCCCACTTGCGGCTACTATTTACCAAAAACAAGTAATACAAGCAAACAGTGTAGTCGACGAGCGTTTTCGTAATCTCGATGAGATCCCGAGGGGATTTGCAGCGGCGATCGATCCGAAAGTTTTTAACAAAGAAAAATGGAAGCAGATTTCACGATCGACACGGATTCAAAGGAAACACATCCATCTGAAGAAAAAATGAAAATGTGACCGGAAGAGGCGATAATGAATGAATTATCACTTTGAACCCGACGGTTTTTCATAACGGACGTTTAGATTTTTATTCAACAAACATATGTATTAATAAGCAACAAATTCCGATCACTTGAACCTCGGCACAAGTTTCACGGTAAAGTCTTTGATATGTGCCGTAATGGCATGATGTCTCGAGATGTCCGGCAACTCCGCTCCAGGCAATATGTGATAGCGATGAGTGAGATTGGCCACGAACAAGAAGAGCTCCATCCTGGCCATATTCTCCCCCAAACATTGTCTCTTTCCAATCGAAAACGGAATTAATTCTTTTACCTTCTGAACCTTCCCTTCCGAATCCAGAAAACGGGTGGGATCGAATTTGAAAGGCTCGGGAAATATCTGAAAGTAATAGGTAATAATTATGAAGATATCTTGCCTTTTCATCATACAACAGACAAGATATAAGTGGAGTAATTGATTGCGCTTTCTTTAGATGGTAGCCTTCAAAATTGACATCCTCGGTTGTGGCGTGGATGACATTGCTTGGAACCAAATTGGCCAATCTTTGAGTCTCCTGAAACAATAAGGGGTTACTGTATAAAGTAAAGGTGCTGCTACTTACATGGCAAACCGCCTGAACATAATTCAATTCAGCTCTATCAGCAATAGTAATCATCCTTTCGTTTCCAATCACCCGATCCAGTTCTTCGTGGATTTTCTTTTGAAGCTCTGGATTTAGAACCAAATAAGCGATGCCCCAACCAAGTGTATTACTAGTGGTCTCTTGTCCAGCTACCCAAATATCAAAGCAGAAAACGTTAAGCTGCTCCAATGAGAAGTAATGTGGCTCGTTTAGCCGATCCAATCTTGCCTTCTCTTTCAAGAAAGCAGCTACAAGATCGTTGGCTTCCAGAGTCTCCATGTCTTCGTTTTCCAGCTCCTTCATATGCTCTTTGATTCTTTGGACGAAAAAGTCCAGCATGTGATAGCCCAGACGTTGGCAAAGTTTGATATACCTTCCGACGATGGGGACATTTTGGTAGAATTTGGGATGGAAGCGAGAGAACATGACAATTGGAAGGCCCATGGTTCGAAGGAACATTTGAGCACGTTGTTTTAGGTCCTGGAACAGAAATGTTTTTTTTTGTTGAAGAAGACCTTCTTGTTAGTCAATTAAACCTATGAGGCCTAAATAATACTTCCAAAAAGGCCAGCCTTGGCCCAACTAACACTATAAGAAAAAAACATGGGGTCTAGCCGCAATTCAGAAAAGAAAGCCCACCTCAAACTCCTGGATATTCTCCTTGGTGTATCTGTATCCAAAAAGAACCGAATTGATGACAGAACCAATCGCTCTGTCGATTTCACAAGTGATTGGAATTTCCTTTGCACCACTTGTCCTCTCCTCTTCCAAGTTTGCCAACAAACTCTCACACTCTTCCAGAATCCTCCTCTCCATCAAATCCTTTCCCAGCCCAAAATCTCTCAACACATGTAGTGCAAATCTACGTTGCGTTTTCCACAACGGACCGTACACATGGATAAGGCCTTTGAAGTATCCTCTCGTGAATTCATGGAGCTCTCTGTCCGGCGGGCGATCTTCAAATTTTTCTCCTTGTTTTTGGAAATATTCCACCATCAAATCATAGCTGCATACCCCAATTACCGGCCGATCTCCCAACCAGAAGGTGAAAATATCTCCGTATTCTTTTCTCCAGGCAATGTACGCGGCTTCGGTGGATTGAAATTTCTTGAATTGGAGGGAATTACCTATAAAAATATGTTTTTTAACTTGATTTTAAAAACGATGACTGTATAAAATTTTATTGTCGTACCAACAAATGGCAATGGAACAGGTCCTGGAGGGAGATTTCTTCTCTTCCACCATAAATGATAAGTCCAAAATGCAATAAACAGCAGTGTTACCAGGAAAGTAAACATTTCCCAAGAACAAAGTGGAATAAATAAAATGAAGCACAACGTTTGGGAAACCAAATGGACTTTTATATACCCTTTCTGATAGCGTTGCGCATCGATCACACACAACGTACACTGCCCACGCGGGAAGCACACATTTGCAAGGCTCCGAAATTACATTCAGCGGGTTGTTTTCATGATTTTATCGCGAGCCGAGGTTAAAAAACAGTTCCTTAGAGTTTATGACCATATGTTTTGTTGTTTCGAAGATAAAATAATATAAGATTTCTAGCGTAAGGAGTTGAAAGAAATGTAATTACCGATCTCTCGGCACGATCTTTACATTAAAGTCTTTGATATGGACTGTAATAGCATGATGTCTTGTGGTATCCGGCAACTCCGCTCCAGGCAATATGTGATAGTGATGAGTGAGGTTGGCCAAGAACAAGAAGAGCTCCATCCTGGCCAGATTCTCCCCCAAGCATTGTCTTTTCCCAATCGAGAACGGAATTAATTCTTTTACCTTCTGAATCTTCCCTTCTGAATCCAGAAAACGGGTGGGATCGAATTTGTAGGGTTCGGGGAATATCTGAAAAAATATAATTTGAGTTGGACGTTTACGTAACTCAATTCAAATCTCAAAAGTAGCGGTTAAAAAGATCATAAGTTCAGCTCTGGCCCTATTTCTTTTTTTTTTCCTTTTTTTATCCTTTTCGACGAATGTATCAACACGTTTACAGGGATTTTTCAAGGCCGAAACATTGGGGAAACGGATAACGGCCTTTCAACTTTGTGTCAAGAAAGTCATTCTCATCTTCTGGTTAGGGTAACAAGCCTTCTCTGACTATCTGAGGGCCGTTTTGCTGTCTTTTCTCTTCAGACAACACAAACTAGAGATAAATAAATAAAGAATGAGACATCGTCAGAGAAAAAGAGTTTGCAAGTTACCCCAGACGAAGATGTATGCCGAAAAGACTGATAGGATCGGAAAAATGTGGTTTCTTTGGCTTCCTCGTGAACTGTCCTCACTTGGAACGCCCAACTCATGCAATGCCAAGTGTCTGTAATGCCAAGTGTCTGCAATGCCAAGTGCCTGCAATGCCAAGTGCCTGCAATGCGAAGTGCCTGCAATGCCAAGTGTCTGCAATGCCACGTGTCTGTAATATATTGACGCCGCCGGATGCTCAAAGCCTGATGGATTTCTTTCTAATGTCTACCCTATCATATCAGATCCCGATGACCTGAATGAAGCTGGTGGAGTAAGACCGGGGCTGCCTGCCTGGTCGTATGACCCTCAGCGGAAGGGAAGAAGCGGGAGGCAACCAGCTTCAGGGGCAGCTGCTGTATGGCTGGTTGCGACTTGAAGATTTTTGGAATGGCCGAGCCTCCGGGTTCGGCCTGATAAGATTTCTAGAAGGGATATGGGGTGTGGTGGATTTGCCTTAGAGAGCGCACAGAATGAGAGGTGGGTGGAGAAAAAGAAAGACAAAGTTATCCCAGTCGAAACTTTCTTATTTTATAGAGACCACGACAAATGAGAGATCGTTACAGAAGAAGAAATTCAGTGCTACCTCAGACGAAAAAGGTATCGTTTGTAATTTCATATAGTCGAACCCTTGACAACTCACTTTTTCGTCGTACAGTATACAAGACATCAAAGGAGTAATTGCTTGGCCTTTCGAAAGATTATATCCTTCAAAGTTGACATCTTCGGCTGTAGCATGAATGACGTTGGTTGGAAGCAAATTGGCAATTCTTTGGGTCTCCTGAAACAATAGCCAACTGTCGTGAAATAGAAAAACGATTAAAGGGAAAAAGAGGCTACATTTTTGAATGATTTATAACCTACATGGCAAACGGCTTGAACATAGTTTAAATTGGCCCTATCAGCAATAGTAATCAGCCTTTGGTTTCCGATCACTCGATCCAATTCTTCGTGGATTTTCTTCTGAATTTCTGGATTTAGAACCAAATAAGCCAATCCCCAGCCAATGGTATTGCTGGTAGTCTCTTGTCCAGCTACCCAAATATCAAAACAGAATCCGTTCAGCTGTTCTAATGTGAAGTAATGAGGTTCATTCAGTCGATCAAGTCTGGCTTTTTCTTTCAAAAAAGCGGCCACAAGATCGTTGGCCTCAAAAGTTTCCATGTCCTCATTCTCCAGCTCTTTCATGTGATCTTTGATTCGTTGGATAAAAAAGTCCATAAGATGATACCCCAATTTTTGACAGAGTTTCATATAACGCCCGACAACCGGGACCTTCTCGTACAATTTTGGGCGGAGCCGAGCGAACATGACAACAGGGAAACCAAGGGTTTGGAGGTATGCTAGAGATCGCTTCTTTAGGTCCTAAAAAATAACTGATGCGACAATTTGACAATTAAGAATTTAGACTTGAAATATCTATGCTACAAATGATTCCATAATTTAATGGAAAAAAGTAAAAATATGGCTTTATCTTACCTCAAACTCCTCGATATTCTCCTTGTTGTATCTGTATCCGAAAAGAACCGAGTTGATGACAGATCCGATCCTTCTGTCCACTTCAGCAGTGATTGCAACTTCTTTTGCACCCCTCGTTCTTTCTTCTTCCAAGTTTTCCAACAAACTCTCACATTCTTCGAGCACTCTCCTCTCCATCAAATCCTTTCCAAGCCCAAAATCCCTCATTACATGTAGGGCAAATCTCCGTTGACTCTTCCACAACGGACCACTGATAAGAATGATCCCTTTAAAGAAACCTCTAGCGTAAATCAGCAGCTCCTCATCATCGGGACGGTCGGCAAACTTGTCCCCTTGTTTTTGGAAATATTCCACCATCAAGTCATAGTTGCAGACCCCGATTACTGGGCGATCGCCCATCCAGAAAGTGAAGACATCTCCGTACTCTTTTCTCCAGGCAATGTAGGCGTCTTCGGTTGATTGAAATTGTTTGAATTGAAGGGAATTCCCTATAAAAATATGTTTTTCATTGACTTAACCTTCAAAAGATCCCTAAAGCGCGACTCTTCATTTTCTTACCCAAAAATGGCAATGGCACAGGTCCTGGTGGGAGATTCCTTCGTTTCCACCATAAATGATAAGTCCAAAATCCAATAAACAGCAGTGTTAAAAGAATGGCTAGCATTCTAAAAGGATGAAAAATAAATGAAGACCCGCAACGAATTAGGTGATTAAATCAACTTATAAACCCTTTTCGTAGTGTTACGCACCTAACACAGCACACTCGCACTGATCGAGCATAAAGCACAATTTTCGTGGTTTAGCAAAAGATTCTGCATTTTCTTGCTGTTTTCATGACAAAAATTGTATTCTTCTTAAAGTGGGGGATAAGGCCGTTTTTACTCGAAAAAATTCAAAGGTGAGAGCAAAGTATTTCGACTATTTCAGATTTCTTTATACATTTATAGCGTGAGAACTTGAAAGAAATATTATATTATAAGAAGAAATGCCTGTAATTATCAATCTCTCGGCACAATTTTCACGTTGAACTGTTTGATATGGGCTGTGATGGCATGATGCCTTGTGGTATCCGGCAACTCCGCTCCAGGCAATATGTGATAGCGATGAGTGAGATTAGCCAAGAACAAGAAGAGCTCCATCCTGGCCAGATTTTTACCCAAACATTGTCTTTTCTCAATCGAGAACGGAATTAGTTCTTTTATCTTCTGAACCTTCCCTTCGGAATCCAGAAAACACGTGGAATCGAACTTGTAGGGGTCGGGGAATATCTGAAAAATATGATCCTAGTTGGAAATTTATTTACGTAAATCAATTCAAATCTCAAAAATAGCGGTTAAAAAAGTCATAAGTTCAGGCCTAGCGGTCAAAAAGATTTTCGATCAATGTATCAGCACGTTCACACGGATTTTTCAAGGTCAAAACATTGCGGAAGCCCGTAATTGTATTTCAACTTTCTTTCAACAAACTCATTCTCATATTCTGATTGGAGTAACAAATCTTCTCTGACTATGCGAGGCCGTTGTGTTGTCTTTTCTGTCCAGACAACACAAACTAGAGATAGATAAATGAAAACTGAGATATCGTTAGAGAAACAGAGTTCAAGAGTTACCCCAGACGAAGATGTATGCCGAAAAGACTGATAGTGTGAAGAAAATGAGCGGTCTTTGGAGTGTCATCTTAAGAGTGTCGTGTGGTCGGTCCCATTGGTCGAAGAACTGCCCTAAGGAAGGCAGCCGGCTTCAGGGGCAGCTGGCATGTAGCTGGTTGCGACTTGAAAATTTTTGGAATGGTCGATCCGGGTCGGCCTGATAACGTTTTCGGAGAGGAAAAGGGTAACTTCTTCTGCGTGTTCTATCACTTTGTGTGAGAAAGCACATTTAACGAGAGGTAGGTAGGGAAAAAAAGAAATCACATTACCCTAGCCGAATCTCCCTAATTTTATGGGGACCACGACAAATGAGAGATCATGAAAGAAAAAAATCAGAACTACCCCGGTCGAAAAAGTGTGGTGGGATAGCAGGTAGTGTGGGAAAAATGGTTTGGCACAACATTATTGCCTAGTCAAAGTTCTGATAACTCGCTTTCTCGTCATACAGTAGACAAGACACCAAAGCTGATAGGTCCAAAAGGCAATGAACAGCAGTGTTAAAAGGATGGTCAGCATTATGAAAAGATGAAAAGTAATATGTACAAGATAGACAACTTTTAGGTAATAGCGTCAACTTATATAACCATCCCTAGTGTTATTCACGGAACAAGCCACACGCCACTGATCGCGCACGAAGTATACATTTTTCGTGGTTTATCAAAACATTCTGCAGTTCCTTGTTTTTGTTGATTGGTTGTATCTTTATTCACCAAAATACAAATATATCAAATTTACAACTCAAATTGTGAAATATAGATATTTTTAGCATCAAAAAACATTTATCGTTGTCGCGGAGCGAGCCTGCAGCTGTAATCCTTGATGTGCGCTGTAATTCCGTGAGTTCTGGTTAGATCCGGCGGCTTTGCCCCAGGCAAAAATGTGTATCGGTTGAGCAGGTTGGCCAAGAACAAGAAGATTTCCATTCGGGCCAGATTCTCTCCCAAGCAAACTCGCTTCCCAATCGAGAACGGAACCATCTCTTTTATCTTCTGGACCTTCCCATTTTCATCCAGAAACCTCTCGGGAATAAATTTGTAGGGCTCAGGGAACACCTAAAATCATTTCATAAAAATTAAGAAAATTATGTACTTTTTCGTCATAAAGGAGAGTCGATATTAATGGGGTAATTGCGGTGCCTTTTTTCAGATGGTATCCTTCGAAGATTACGTCTTCTCCGTTGGCGTGAATAACATTCGTGGGGACTAAATTGGCGAGTCTCAGGATCTCCTGAAATCTCAAAAATTTTAAAAAATTGATTCTAAGGAGCCTATTAAAGAAACAAGTGCCTTACATGACAAACCGCCTGAAGATAATGTAAACTCGGTCTGTCAGCACTTGTAATCAGCCTTTCACTTCCAATCACTCGATCCAATTCTTCATGGATCTTCTCCTGAACTTGTGGATGCCCGATCAAATAAGCGATTCCCCATCCAATCGTATTGCTGGTGGTCTCTTGTCCAGCCAACCAGATATCAAAACAGAATCCATGCAACTGTTCCAGGGTAAAGTAATGTGGTTCATTTAGTGTATCCAATCGGGCTTTCTCTTTTAAGAACGCGGCAACAAGATCGTTGGCCTCCAAAGTTTCCATATCTTCGCTCTCCAGGTCCTTCATATGCTCTTGGATTCGTGTTACAAAGAAGTCCATCATATGGCGACCGGTTCTGCCGACAATCTTCAGATGGTCTCCAATGATGGGAATCTTCTCGTAGAAGAGAGGATTGTTTCGGCAGATCATTACAGTAGGGTATCCGAGGACTTGGAGGAAAGTGAAAGCGCGGAGTTTTAGGTCCTGGAATTAGATCTTTGCTTATGTTACTCTTGCGCCTTATATGGGTAAAAAATTTGATATGAAGGAAATGGAACTGGGACGATTGGGGAAAAAGACGATTGGGGAAAGGGACGATTGGGGAAAAAGACAATTGGGGAAAAGTACGATTGGGGAAACCGAAAAGTATTATTTTTCTTCGATGCAAATGTCGAAATTAGGATAATCGAGGGTGCTCATTTCGAAAATGACATTCATTTTTTTGATTCTTACTTTTTTCCTTAAGTAGTACTGTAAAGTAGTAATTTTTGATTTTTTTTTCATAAATACTCGATTTAGGGGTTTTCGAGGATGCTGATTTCGAAAATCATGTAAATTTTTCCTCTAGTACTACATAGTACTATTCTGATACTATATAGTACGAAGTGAAAATATGGCCTTTGACGTTAATGGTGTTGTTTTGATGCTTAGTACTCTTCAAAAACACGTTTTAAAGACTTGGTGCTATATAGTACTACCTGATACTATGTAGTACGAGGTGTAAAGTTGGCCTTTAGGCGTTCGTGGTGTTGTTCTGGTGCTTAGTACGCCTATTTTTACTTTGTACTACATAGTATCAGACAGTACTATATAGCACCAAGTCTTTAAAACGTGTTTTTTAAGAGTACTAAGCATCAAAACAACACCATTAACGTCAAAAGCCATATTTTCACTTCGTACTATATAGTATCAGAATAGTACTATGTAGTACTAGAGGAAAAATTTACATGATTTTCGAAATCAGCACCCTCGAAAACCCCTAAATCGAGTATTTATGAAAAAAAATCAAAAATTACTACTTTACAGTACTACTTAAGGAAAAAAGTAAGAATCAAAAAAATGAATGTCATTTTCGAAATGAGCACCCTCGATTATCCTAACTTCGACATTTGCATGGAAGAAAAATAATACTTTTCGGTTTCCCCAATCGTACTTTTCCCCAATCGTCTTTTTCCCCAATCGTCCCTTTCCCCAATCGTCTTTTTCCCCAATCGTCCAACTCCGGAAGGAAATGTCTTTCGTTCAAACTATTATAAACACCTCATTTTTATGAGATTTTTATCCTTGATCAGTGTCTTCAAGTTGTACGCTGACCTACTCATTCAAACGGAACAATAATATTATAACTCACTTCAAACTCCTGGATATTATCCTTGGTGTATCTGTATCCAAACAGAACCGAATTAATCACCGATCCAATTGCTCTGTCAATCTCATTTGTGATCGGATGTTCCTTCACTCCCCTAGCTTCCTCATCCTCCAAATTTTTAAATAAATCTTCACATTCAGCGAGAATCCGCTGCTCCATTATATCTTTTCCGAGCCCGAAATCTCTCAACACATGCAACGCAAATCTTCGTTGAGTTTTCCACAACGGACCATCATTATTGATGATTCCGTTGTGCACTCCTTTTGTGTATTTCATAAGCTCGTCATCTGGTGGACGGTCTTCGTACTTGTCGCCTTGTTTTTGGAAATATTCCACCATCAAGTCGTAGCTGCACACTCCGATTACTGGCCGTTCTCCATGCCAGAAGGTGAATATATCGCCGTATTCTTTTCTCCAGGCAATGTAAGCGTCCTCGGTGGTTTGGAATTGCTTGAATTGGAAGAGAGTTCCTGTAAGCACAAAAGTTTACAAGGGCGATGACAAAAAGGAGTCATGGATATAATAATAACAAAAATCAGAAGAACTTTTTTGATGAGAAAAAGGTGAATAATGAAGAACAAAGGCCATTTTACTAGCTATAATGTAAAAAACATTAATCGCTCTGAAAAAAAATGACATGTAACCCCATTATGCCTTATCCATGACATTAGAATGCGAAATTTAAACTTTCACCCACCAAACAATGGCAACGGCACCGGCCCTGGCGGCAGATTCCTCCTCTTCCACCATAAATGATATGTCCAGAAAGCAATAAGTCCAAGACTCAGCAAAATCCACAACATTTTTGCCCTCTGATTTGTTGAGACTGCTTCTAGCCTCACAAGGGACCCCCAATTTGTACCTGTGATTTTTTGGTTCGGAATCACAAAAAATCAAGTTGGTTCCTGTTGTGAAAAGACGATTAACCTTGCTATTTGAAGGTGTTTTGCCCTAGAGGATCGCTAGTTTTCTTGCAAGATAACACCCACAAAACAGGGACCGAACTTTGCCGTGAACAGCGATAATATTTATTGCTGATGATAAACCCGCTTTCAAAACAAATGATCGCATTAGATAAACTACATTGCGACCAGCAAGGTACAAAATGAACTTTAGGTTTTGGCAGATAAGGTCACAAACTTGGGCGTTACGAAGTCAGAAGCCCAGCATTGCGCAACTCTGCTCTATCAAGGTAAACACAAACCATGAATTAGTATAAATCGACCATTAACCAAGGTGGTCTGCTCTTCTCTCTGTTTGCAGTAAAATTGATACAATTGATTAGTTTACCTTCGCAAATTAACTAATTAGTTGGACACACATGGTGAATTACCAACGAATTAGAGGATGTATTTTGGGAACAGAAGAGACGGCAAAACACTTTGCCGATCAACCACCTTACTTTCCGCCCATCTACCTCCGCCTTTCCTTTAAAAAGTCGGCCGTGAAAATATATAATTTTTTGATGGTACTCAGCATATTCTGGAATTGGAAAGTTGTAATTTTGTCAGAGAAAGTCGCGATGTAGGTATTTTTTACGGAGGTCGATTTCATTTTATATCACGCCATGCGTATGTAGAATATAACAAGTTTCTTCAGCCCTCCATATAAGAAACAGCTGGAAAATCCCCAGTGTTTCTGCAAAAAACAAGGTTTTTTGCGCAAAAAATTCCAAGCCATATTAAAAGGTCATTCTGGGTTCTCCACAGTCTACACACGTAGCTCAACATTCATGTTCAATAATGTGTTCAGAAAATTGCATCGCCACAGAGAGAAAGAATTCTGATGCTGAAAAATCAAATTTCTTTCACTTCAGCGACGCGATCGACGCAATGACATTGAGCTCATTGTTTTCCCGATGGAATGCCGAGGTAAGGAAGTTCTTCCTCTATTTTTTATTGATTGTTTGAACTGATCTTGCAGTTCTGGTTAAATAAAGCCCTTAATTTGCAGTACGCATAAAGGCTTCCTGTTTTCAATAGTACCCCAAACAAATTCTCCGATAATTCTTTCCGACAGAAGTTTATTCCACCGAAAAAAGGGTTTTCTCATTGTTTTGACACATGACACACTCCAATGATAAAACTCTGTGTCGAGGTTGAGGTTGTGGCTTTACACCTTCGAATCCGAGCCCATCCCCCTTCCAGATCAAATACACAACAACAATCTGCATAATACAATATCATGTACACAGACATGTTCGTATGTCCGTTGATGACGTGGGAACTGGCTGGCCAAAAGAGTTTCTCTTCGGTCTCCGCAATCCGACCAACAATATACACATACAAGAGGACTTATAGACGGGGATTTGGGCGGGGTATTACACGTCCAATTACTAAGCTAGGCGGGGATTTCGTAGAATCGAGACTGACCTAAAATGGCAGTGACTGTAGCATCGAAACTAATCAATTCACAGCGACTATGAAAGAGCGAACGGCAGGCTGAAAGCACACTTCGGTACAATATTAGCTGATGTTAGTATTCACTATCTTCGGGGACATTATACATGACATCTGATATCGAATAAATTATATGAATATCAGTGATGTCATGTGCAATATCCACGACTAATTTCTGGGGCTGAAAGACATTTGAATTGGCGTTGGAAAGACCGTTAAAATCGTCGAATCAGAAAGCCCTTAATACAATTTGGAAAGCATAAATTGAGGTTGGAAAGCACGTGGTAAAGAGAGTTAAAAACGACCAGTCGATTATACAAAAAACTTTCTTTGGACATCCAAATCCGTCTATTGAGATTCGAGGAGGCTACTCCTGGGGTCAGTGGTGCAGAAATACGGCAAATTTAACCGTAATAGGACAAAAGTTACAGTAATCAAAATCTACAGGAATTTGGGCACAAAAATGGGAGAGAATGGAACAAAATTACAAGGTCAAGAATCGCGGAGCCGTCGAGATGAAAGACATCGTGCGGGTAGCGATTCGTTGGGTTACTGTAGGTTTCTTGTTTTGGTTTCTTCCCAAGTTCTTCAGTCCAGTTCATTGCTGTAGGTTGACTACCTAAAATAACGTGCAATTAATAGGATTATGGTATGAATCAATGGATAATGTAACTGTTAGAACCTACCATGTCCATTTTATCGTATTTGCGTTGTATATTGTCATTGGAGGGGTAATGAGATCAAATCCGGCCATCTTTTTTCTTCTTGAGTTCCACTTTTTTAACATTGTAATTACAATTCGTTTGGGGCCATCTGAGCGATTTCTATCCGATTGAAAGACTTTCTGGGCAGTTTAAATTAAACTATCTCGGCCCTGAACCACAAGTCATCATCGATGTGACATCGAGAAACCGCAAAAATGTGATTTCTAAAAAGCGTTGGAGAGCTATGCCATATCTAAAGAATATAATGATTGACTGTACTCTAGGTGTAATTAGTAAAAATCGAAATTCAAAAAGGCAGGCTGCAGCAGGTTGGGCGCGAACTGCGGAAATGTAATTGTCATCAAAATGAAGATTTGCGGGATTTTTGAAGAAATATGGATAAAATTAGGCTCTCTAGTACGTAGACCAAATAAATTTGCTCTTAGATTAAAATAGAAATCGAAAAAATTACAAACAAATTTGATTTTTTTGTACCAAACAACGAAAAAATGGTAATGCAGACTCAAACTGAACAAAAGTTGATGTAAAATACGGAGAAAGTAACTGTAGTCGTTGTAAAGGACAAAATTCAAAGCAAAAATTGTTATAATAAAAGCATATACTAACCCCAAAAAAATCCAAATCCTAAAACAACGTTCTCCCCCATACCCAACAGCCCATACCCACCCAACCTACTGCAATGTCGGCTTCTGTTCTATATACGAAAAACTCGAGGCGTCTTCGTAACCGTTCCGACTCCGCCCCAACTGCGCATTTTTTGCGAAATTTGCACTTCAATTCGGAGCACGACCCCGTTCCCTCCTGACCCCGACTGGCACTGACCGGCTGGCGGTAACGGAGACTGGCTATTCCCCCGTTCCCCCTCCGACGTTTTTTCGCACTCGCTGTTCGTTGAGGGAGAGGAAGAAAGGAGGAGAGAGAGGGAGGTTTTGTGTGGGGAGATTTGAATTCCAAGCGCAGAGAGGGCCTTGCCGGAGGAAGTTTGGAAGGGGAGAACACAACAAGTAAATATACAGTAAGCAATTGGTCACTTAGGGAAAAATAGATGGAAACTGGAGGAACTGCTATAGCCAAGCGTCAAAGAATCAATAAAAATCTTTAAAATTTCATACAAGAAAGAACATTAGTAATGGCATCCGATAAATATCAAAAAGGGCAGTAAAGAGTTCTATGTGTCGTAAAATAATGTCAAGATTTTTGGTAAAAAAAGGTTTTCACAAATCATGAGGTTCTATGAGTTGTGTTGTAGGGCCCTTCAAAACGTCGTACAAAAAAAGGGCAGCCTAATGGCACACAAATGAAATCGAAAATGACATCAAAATTGTCAATAAAACCGATAGTCATATATAATTTTTTCTAATAAAAAAGCTTTTTTACTGGGCATAAAGTTCTGAAATTCAAATACACTCTTTTTGTAGATTTTTATGATCTTACCCAAGCAAATTTTATTCATTGTGATGTTTATTCCTTACAGTAAGGTATGCCTTTAAATAAAATTCAGATCCCAACTTCCTTCAACTTCTTATCCCAAAATATTTCCATCCTTTGTCCTAAAAAAGTCCCGCAATTCGTTCCAATCGCCGCCAGACAACTGGAGTCACGGCGTTCTTTTTTTCTTTTCCGCCTCCGGTCACTCACTTGCACGGTGCGAAAAAAAGATGGAACGCTCAAAAAAACGCCGAAAAGTAGGTCAAATTGGTATAAGGGATGGCCCACTAACCTTGAACGGGGGAAAAAGAGATAAAATAACACAAATAGCCATCGAAATTGGGAAATAAATTGTGGTCGATATAGGGTTAAAAGATTAATTTTTGATAATTTTAATAGCTAAATTAAAGCATTTTTGTTTGATTTGACCAAGGCCATTAACTCGATATTCAATTTAATACAAAAATTCTTTGCTATTTCCCAAGTTTATATTCAAATATATGCAGATATCTCCAAATTTCCTCTTGTTTTATACATCCGCCGATTGCGGTGTCCCCTTCCTCCGATGGGAACACGACAAGCCGAATATGAATGGTGGTCAGCACGGCGCAGAACGATACGGAACGCGGCAATTCGTATCATTCCGCCGAGTGGACCAAACAAAAGGGGACGGGCCTCCGGAATGACCATTCGCACTATTATGTAACGAGAAGGGAGTGGGAGAATGAGGAGAGGAGAAGGGGAAAGGAAATACGGAGGGGTTGGAAGAGAGGGACAAGAGAAACAGAGATAGGCAGAAAGAGAGAGAAGAGAGTGGGGAGAATGAGAGGGTGGTTAGAGAAAGGCAAAGGAAAGAAAGGGATCAAAGAAACTTAAGAGAAAGGAAGAGAAGCCAGAGAAAGCGGAGAGAACGTTGCGTTATGAGATGATGGTAGAGAAAAAGAGGGGACTTTAAAAAGAGAAGCAGGGACTGCGCAATAAAGAGAGACGTTTAGACAAAGTCAGAGAAATAGTCAAATAGTGGGTAAACAGTCGTATTTTTCGGGCAGCAGCCAGGGAAAAGTGAAAAAGATTGTTCAGAACAAGGAAACCCGCCGAAACAGCAGGCAAACAAAGAGCCTTTGGCTAATTCGCCGCGAAACGGGCGAAACAAAGCCGAACGCCGGAAGATACGAAAGAGAACGGAACGAACCAGCACGCGGGCGAAAGTGTCTGGCACATCCAAGTGTAAAATGCCCGCCTTAAGAGTGCACGCTTATCCTGTTACATAAATAATGAGATAAAGGAAAAATTAATTCCGTACCAGGATGAAGACGTTGCAGGTTAAATAAATATATTCTATAGAAGGTTGATACTGCAAAGTACCGTATTTGGAGACCGAAAAATGTAGGAATAAAGGAGAAAAAAGGAGTTGGGCTTCAATTTTGAAGAGTTTTTTGGAGTATTCGAATAATAGGTTAGAGGGAAAATGTCTTTGGCAGTAGAATGGTAATTACAGAGATACAAAATGACAGGATGAGTGGCTGGAAAGTGTAGTAATGGGCCATACAAGTCTTCGTAAACTCCAATTTACTCGAAAACGGCTGTAATTAAAAAAGATGACTAATTACAAAAAATTTATAAAGTAATTTTTAAATTGTAAGTTTAAAAATTTGACAGTGTAAAATACGCACGCTTTTGATTCCCTTTCTTGTTACTCAAAAATTACTCTGAAAAAAAATCAAAAAAAAATTTTTTTCGAATTCCTCAAATCTTCATTTTCTCTTTCCAAAAAATGACCAGTCGGTTCTGTATACTCCTCTTGTTTCTCTTGTCTTTTTTTGTTCCATCAACGATTGCTCTCAAATTGAGTCATCACGAACAAAAGGCTCCGGATGAAGATCTTGTTCATGGTGAGTTACCCGGATTACAATTATAAGCAAATTTTGGGAGAGTCAAGGCTTCGATTTTGACAAAATCGCACAATTTTTCAACAATAACACATGTCCTTTTGATCAAAATTTTCAAAGGATATCTCAAAAAATTATCGTTTCTTTGGCCATCTCTCCTCGTTTCGCATAGTATTTTGTTTTAAAAGGCTTTTCTCTAATTTCTCTGACTTTTTAAAAAATTTGCAGTATGTGGACTGTCTTGCGATTTGTTGTGCTCCTTGAAATGCCTTTACAAGATTTTCTGGAACAGCAACATCTATGGGAAGTGTGTGAGACATAACGATTGTGGCTGCTTCTGTCTGGAAATTGATCCGGAGATGGTCAAGAAAATCAATGCCTACAATAAAGCCAATGGACTCGCAAATTCTATTTTCGTGTGACTCTAATATTTTTACTGTATTTTGGTAAATATTTTGGCTATCTTTGTTCTGTTGGGTACGTTAAAGGGAGAACCGATTTTTTGAATTTAAAGATTAAAAAATGCGATCTTTATGGCTTATTTTTTGTCAAAAATTTATTATTAAAAAAGCATAAAATTAAAATATTTAAAGTTTAACATAAAATTCCGATTGGTTCGTCTTCAATTCCGCAAGAATTTTCGCCTCGAGCCATGTAAACGTAGCCATCTTCGATGCCGTATTTCGGACCCCACGAATTTTTTACAATCCAATATTTCTGTCCGTCCTCCCAAGTACCGTAACCCATGATATTCAAGGCGTGTGTGCCAAGGATCTAAAATCAAAAAAAACTCAAATAAATTTAACGTATTTTACTCACATTGTTTTTGCAATCCCACGAAGATGGGGTGTAGACTCCGCCCTTGTAAAGTTTCATGTCTGGGGGGACGTTGATCCCCACATTGATGGGGCCGAAGTTCACCAGCCACTCCAACATTGCATTCTCATCGCTGGCGATGAAATAGGCAAGGTCTAGCTTCGTGGTGGGACCGCTGTATTCGTTGAGAAGACAGCTGTTTTGACGCTGCGCAACATAAGGATAGTCCTCTTCGCGCATCAGGCCGTGTTCGTGGATGAATCTGAAAAAATGTTGGCCTTGTTTAGGAGTCAAGAGCTAACGATTGATAGCTTGAATCTTCTTGAAATTTAACTCTCCCCTACCTAAACGCCTTGTCATCGTCTCCACCATTGCAGGCATTATTGGCCAAATCACAATCCAAAAGCTCCTGTTCACTCAAATTTCTCAACTCTCCATGAGCGATTGCGTACGACGTTTCAACGGTTCCTATTGCAGCGAATGCCCAGCAAGACCCGCAATTAAATTGAGACTTAACGGGCGTTACAACGCCCTTTTCTCTCCAATCAAAATGAGGAGGATAAGGAGAGGCCGAGTCAAACTTGATTTGATGTTTTCTCTTCGGTTTTTCATGTTGAATAAAGTGACTGTAAGGTTTGATGAAGCTACTGCGACGTCGGAGTTTGTGGTAGAAATCCTTGGGCATCAACATTTGTTGGAATTCATCATCGGACAAATCAGCGAATTCGTTGATTCCGAATTCAGTGTTGTCCTCCAACTTTTCGTATTCTTCGATGGTTTTGAGGGATTTACGGAAGATTTGGAAGCGTTTCAACTCTTCATCAACATTGTCGTAAATTTTGTTGAACCTGGAAAAGTAGTGTAAGGTTTGGGTTAACAAAAAATTGATTTTAATGGCTTAGAACATAGGATCTTTGTAAGCATAAGGTTGTTGTATCTTAAAGGAAAAAATTTCATGATGCAACGCTCAGATTGACTAAAAATTTTACTGCTGTGGACTGCCAAGGATACCTATTAATCGCTTAAAATTTTACCTCTTGTCTTTCAAAGACAGCCGAGATATCAAACGATTTTTTCAGACAAAAGACTATGGAAAATAACGAGAGGCGGTCAGGAAAAAATCATCATTTTTGCCTAGAGGCTTTCTCTAAATTTCGTCAAAGTATAAATTTAAAAGCCCTCCCTCAATGTACCCAACGATACAATAGACACTCACTCGCTTTTGAACTTGACAAACTCATCAAAATGTTGGTCAAAGGTCAGGTCATTGGGCTGACGATCAAAGACTTCGCGAAGATCCTCATCGTAGAAAATGGATGCAAAACTGAAAACTATGGATTGTAAAATACGGCGGATGCAATTATAATATAATATTATAATATTCTTAATAACACTTTTAAGTAATTTTTAGGACAACTTACATGAATGGGCCGAGCGTTAGCAGAGTGATGATCAAAGCAAAGACGGCAACTCGGTAGAGAAGGTCTGTGACTGTAATGACTTTCCTGAAGAGAAATAAGGTAAAATACGTGATACGTTATCAATTTTGGATTTTAAAATTATTCGTAAAAATTCACTTTCAATTCTCAAAAATCAAATTTCCCGCCATTTTTTCAAGTCGTTTGCCTACCTTTTTTACGCTTTGTAAATTATTCAAAGCTGCAAAAAAAGTTATAAAATACGGCTGTGTTTGTTGCAATTTGAAAATTTAGTTTGAGGAATAAAAAAAAAGTTTTAATTTTTGCAATTTTGTGCCAATCTATGAGTTTTCCATAATTCAAAAGCCGAATTTCCCGCCGTCTTTAAAATCTTTTGGCCTTATGTTTCAGTGGTCGACAGTGTTGAAAAATGGAATCGCATTTGTAAAATACGGTTGGTTAAATGTTAGAATGATTTTTTTTTGAAAATTAAAAGTGAAATTTTTTGAACTTTTAGAAATTAAAATCAATTTTGGAAACGATTTAATTAAAAATTCTAGGCTCTAAAATTAGGAAATCTGTTAACTAGATGTCGCAAAAATTCTGAGATTTAATTATCATCCTTGTTTTTACCACCTCCTTACCTGATTTCCCGATCCAAAACCAAGGGTTCCAAGTCCTTCTCGAACTTTTCCGCCGGTTCGATAATCATTTTCCCTCGGGGCCGCGGCCTGAAATACACCTCGTATTAGGAACTCCCGACAATTCCTCGTAACGTATGGGTTCGTAAATTAAGATTTTATTGCCATTTCGAAGTCAGAACTTATTTTTTCACACCGAAATTACCTCTATTTACCTGGAAAAACAAAAAAATAAACCTCTAGAAGAATTCCGTTTTGAGAGTGGAGGGTCTCGAAAATTGGTCTGCCTGTATTATCAGAGGGTTATCGCCCCAGGCTTATCAATCGTCTCGTACTTTTGAATTTCCTTTGGTCAGAAATTCTCGATTCTCTCAATTCAAACAGCCAAGAGTTAGGAAATTGAAGAAATCATCAAATTAAATTACAATTTATTCAAATATGGCACAAATCCAAAAACTGTAATGGTTGTAAGTAATATAATTTACATTTTTAATTATTTTTGCGGTAAGAAAACTCATTTTTTGATCAAACATCAAAAACATGTTTCATCGTATAAAATGTCACTCATCAATGCCAGCATAAGATGTGGAAATACAAACACCCTCATTGCAACGTTGTTGGAATGACGTCACGAAAAGATCGTTGTTCTTGACCTTGAATCGACAGTGTTGGTTTCCAGATTGGGTGAGGACACAGGTCGAGTAGATGGCAAAGTCAAATGCTGAAAATTGAAAAATATAGTCCATCAAAAAATTATCATCTTATTTTCTTATTTTTCAACTCTAATTTACAGTTTTTACATCAAAACAAGAGAAAGTTCCAATTTATTATAATTTTTAAAGTCCTGTATCTCGGATGTTTCTGCATAACGCGACCTAAAAAATTCCAAAGTTCATTAGAGTAACCCAAATTTAATTTTCACCAAATTTCGGCCAAATCCATATATTACACTTGAGGCACCCTTTACTGCAGAGTGATTTTTTTTATTACCAAAAATCCCAAAAAAAGTATAAATTCCTTACCTGGAGATGTGTAGAAGAAGAACCCTCCCTTCTGCTTGTGCGCATTGTCCCAATCGTACTGGATGGTTCCGATCACTCCCTCATCATAGCCATAATATCCTTTGTATTGGATTTGTCCAGCCTTCTCTTGCAAATAATACCGTACCCAATTGTGATGTCCATCAACCGTATTTCCCTTCTTCTCTCCCACGAACACATGTTCGAATCCCGAGCTTCCCAAAGGCGCATGGCATCGGCTGTAGACGCCGAACCACAAAGTGAAGAGATTGTCCATGAACTTCTCGTGCTTGGCCGGACTGTAGACTCCCTTTTGTTGGAGATACTCGAGGGCCACCTTGAAGATGGTGTGGTTTGTCATGGTCTGGAAGAAACGTTGGAGAACAGCCTTCTTTTGGCCTTCGACTGGGACCTCTTCTTTGCAGACAGCCGGCTCAAAGATCTTGTGATTCCAGACGTTGAGAAGAGCCTGGTAAACGGGGCGCTCGAAAATGGATTCGTTGACAAAGGTGAAGAGTCTAGAAGGACAAAGAAGGTAATATTTTGGCAGAGAAAGCCGTTACATGACAACATTCAAATGTCATTAAAGTTTCTTTTGTTTTAATAGACGTTGTTCAGAAAAGTTGAATTTCATGCAATACGACGTATAGGTTTTTGTCAAATTTTGCGTGAACAATCTATCTAGGCAACAGATCAATGCACGAAAATTTTAAAACGCCCAATCTTAATTCCAATGTATGAAATATAGTACAAGAACTGGGTTTCAAATATAAAATGTCTTAGAAAATATTCTTTTTTGCATTTTTTCTCCAAAACCGCTAGTTGAAGAAAAAAACTTCTTGTGATTTCAAAAATAGTCTTTTGTAAGCCACTTACGGATTCAAATTTCCATGCTTTCCGACCTTCTGTTGCCAGTTCAATTTCACAGCATCCTCCGGAGCTCTGTCCACATCAGCTTCCCACATTTTGTCCACGAACTTCTGGAACTCCTCATTCCCTGGCTTTGGTTTTCTGGTTGTGGTTTTTCGAATAATCATCTCTCTTTCATCCCGATCTCCGTCTTTAGGCCTGATTTGAAGCTGTGGAACCCTTCTGGGCTCTGCCATGGTAATTGTGACCAAGTCGCGGACATGTTTGGTAGAGACCCAGACAGCCACGGGCTGTCCGTCCAGTTCGAATCCACAGCGTTTGCTTTCCTGTCCGCGTTGGGTTTCCAAAGCGCAAAGGGTGAAAGCGATGAGGTCGAATTCGGGGCTGGTTCCGTGGAAGAAAGTCCGCTTCACATTGGCCCCATCGGCAGTGCTGAACCAAGCGGCGTAGACTCCGTTCTGAAGAGGTAATTATTAAGAAAATTTAGCATACGATTTCTATCTAAACCACACATCAATTTCTGAAAGTTTCAGCATACACTTTCTAAGTTTAGTCGAAATTTTGAACAATGTTTGTAAATCAGAGACAGTGGTATGTAAATGAGGAAAAATGGTTAGCGAGAATTTGCTTGCCAGACCAATTTTACGAGGGAAATAAGATCTCTACTCTAAACGCTTGAAGGCCAAAATGTCAATTTTTGATCTTTTAGTAATTTCAAAAGATTTTTTTAAGTTTCCAAAAAGCCACTGCTATTCACATAGCCTAAATTTTGCCCCCACCTCACCTGATCAATGACATTGCTGCTCATTTTCCTCAATTTTCCATTCTTTTGCTCCAAATATACACCATACCAATTCTTGAACGAGTTGGACTCTGAAAGTGTGATTTTCATAGATAGGCTTACTGTAGAAAAAATATCCTATCTCAAAGAGTCGCAACAAGTCAAACTTACCATTTCTGAAATAGTCATCCCACATCTCCTTGATCATTTTTTGAATTTTCCCTGGGGTCAAATTCATCGTTTTCATCAATTCCGATACCATCTTTTCGTAGAGATCAGTGTTTTTCAGGAACTCAAAGTAGCCATTGAAGTTTCGGGACTCCTGAAAAAGTCAAATTGAATTTTTAGAAAAAAATATTTTTTAATCTTTTTCAAATTCTCACCAGCAAGTTTTCCAGTGCCACATAGCTGCTGGAAGTTGACTCCGGAGGCAATTCCTTTACAATAAAATTTTTATTCGTTCCAACAACCAAAGTTCTCGCTGCATTCTGATCACTTTTGTGGAGATCCGTCAGAAACTGATCCCATTTTCCATCTAATCTGGCTGACTCTATACTAGCCGCGAGAAGGACAAACACCAACCATTTCATAGTCGGCTTTCAAGCTTGAGGAAATCTGAAGTCATATTACATAAATGAATAAACAAAAAGACTTTGAAAAATGTGAAAAAAACTGGGCAAGAGGAATGCAAGATGACATATTCCAAATCATTAAACGGTCTCTTTGAACGCGAGAGTAAGAGAAAATGGACGAAACGGTCATAACGAAGACGGTTTCCACCATATTTGCTTTGTCGGTTGCTCCAAACACAACCAAATTTTGTTGTAAACGACAAAAAACTCAAAGTTTTTGTAAACAGGAGGTCTTCAAGTTGCCTCAAAGTCTCTAAATCTAATTCTTCAAGCATCTTCCAGGGTACGTTTTAAGCTAAAATACTGAAAAAATTTTTTGAACAGTTTTACAACAAGCTCCTTACTTCCTTCCCTGATTTCCTCAACTACAGAACCCCAGAATTATTCCTTATCACAAACCTCAGCAACTCTAGCATTGTTATGAAACCTTTTTATCTATCGTAGAATCAAACAATTTGAACGGTCTCTATCACCCCAAGTTCAAAATTTTCGTAATGTAAGACTCCAAATTTCCCACCAAGTTGCAAAGTTTTGGCTCTTATAAATAGTTTCGCTATCAATTAATCCAATGGTCTTAGCATCAGACACTCCCACAATAAAAAGAGATTAAAATTAATTAAAATAAGATAGTCCAGACAATAATTTCGTGACGTCACCAGAAGAATATAAAAAATAATTCGGTTTCTGGAGATAAGAAGAGCGGAGAATTTAGATGTGAAGTTCTGAAAGGGCTTTTTATAGTTGTGAAAGGTCAGTCCATGCAGATCAGTTGACAAGAAATGACAGGAATCGGTGTTTGGACCTTATCAAAAATTTGGAATCACTGGATTGGACCTTTGAAAATTTGAAGGGTGATAATTGAAAAAACTATATTCAAAAAATTTTTATAACAATTTGATAGGAAATTCCAGAAACCCCAATTTTTTCAGCAGTCCTACAGTCAAATCCCTGCAAAACTATAATTACAAGGGCCATAGAGCCTGGTCACTTTTATCAATTTGAAAAATTATAACACTGAATAACATTTAGAGCTATTTACTATCAAAATCTTTTCTAGATCTGACCAATTTCTAACAATACACCCGGAACGTTTTAAAGTAGCATTTATACCTTTGTGAGACGTTCGTAAGAAGGAAAAGATTTCTAGCATGATGAAGTGTGGGATGACTTGCAAGACTGAATTTAGCAGACTGTTCGTCGAAGATTATTTGTCAGCTTTCTCCGTATTACTGAATCATTCCGACTTGATTCAAACGATGATTTTCATTATCAAAACAGCTTTCTTTATCAAATCAATAATGTTCTTCCAACTTGGCAAGAGAATTCATAAAAATATTATAAATCTCAAATCTAAATAACCGTTACAACAAGATCACAGAACAAAGCTCTATGAATTACATACAGCACAAACATCAGCTGACCGAAAAAAAAAGATAAAATTAATAGAAAAGAATGAAGATTACGAGGTCTCGCTGTTCGAACCGTTACTAAAAATTACAATCCGGGGTGATAACGGGTTTCGAAAAGCAATTGAACGTAGACCGCAGTATTGTCAGGAAACTTGTCTGTGACAGGTCAAGACTGAAATTCAAATGAAAGTTTTGAAAAAGCAAAACAGTTTATAAAAATTTCAAAACATAACCATAGAGAACAAGATTGCATATCTTGATAAAACATGGATAAATTCATTTTTAAATTTTTTTGTTATGAGATTTTTCATCATTTTCTCATCAGCATAAATAATAAAATTTACATTTCAAATGTGTATATTTTGCGGCTCATTAAATAAAAAAACAAAAGAAAAACCTTATTACGACTTTTTTGTTGTAAAATACGTTCTTCGTAATACTGTTTGTTTTAATGTCTAACATCAAGTTTAAGAAAAAAAAACTTTCTTTCTTTTTTTCCATCAACTGCTACCTTTACTTTCCAGAAATTTAAAAGCGTCATACACTTCAAACCATACTCGAACCGGATGTTCTTTTAATCTCAAAAGCTGAAAAACGCTGATCAGCAAAGCGGTGCTTATCAGAAGTCTTTATAAAGTCGGACAACCATTTTTTCCTCCTTTTCCGATTTGTTTCTAAATTTGTCGAGGACAAAAAGAATTAAAAATAATTAATATAGAACAAAAGAATTCAATAAATTCGCAGCAAAAAATTCGCTCAAAAAGATAACGTTGCGAAAAAATTGCAAAAATTTTTTGATACAGATAAAATGTGAGGCTATTTTGTAGTTTAATAAAGTAAAATAATTTCAAAATTTAAATAATATATAAACTCCATTACACCAGTAAATACTGTGACTTCAGTGAATGTGCAAATCCTCTTGCCCCACGCGCGCAAAAATCGATGGAATGCACAATAAAAAATAATAAAAAAATGATTTGGTTTCTTATTTGGGAGAACGCAAGCGTTGTTTTATGGTGTTTACACAAGAGTGCAATCATCGCGCACAATCATATTGGACATCAATTACGCAATTGAGACAATAAAAAAAGGAGTGACCGGTATGGGGTCAGCAGAAGACGAAGAGTACAAAGTGGATTTCAGCGAGAATATAAAGGGATGGCAGATCATTTTTGATGTTTTTACGATCAAAAATTTTACTTGTCGAAAAAAATAAGCATCCAGAAAAATCAATTTTTCCGCAATTTTCAAAAATTTCATTTAAAGAGTCATGCTTGTCCAGACAAAAAAATCAATTTTGGTTTCACAGAGCATCATAAGAATAATCTTTTAGTGTAAAAAGAAGGGCTCTATTATTCTTTCTTTTGAAAATTGTTCGGAATGAAACAGATATTTTGTCTTATAGCCAGCCAAAAGATTCTTCGCATCAGCTGCGCCCATTTTTTATCCATCAGACGGATGGGTTAAAAATCGGTCACATTGGCTAATAAAAAATAAGTGATGAGGTAGAACCGGGAGCATAAAAAGTTTAAAACAAATAGGCCCCAAGGGCAGACGATCGAAAAAATTTATATTTTAAAGTGAATTTTTTCAGGAATTTTTCTAAATTTCGAATTTCTCCAAGTTTTTCAAAAAAATCAGTAAAAACGAATCCCAAATTTCAAAAATAATTTTTATTCTGTAACAAATAACAATATCAGTCCTAATTTTCTATGATGCGTTCTAGGTTACCCAAATATAAATTTAGTCTTCCTTAAAATTGATCCTTTCCATCACTTTGGCCTCAGGTCCCATTGGTCGGCCATATAATGTCATAGTCGGTCCTCCACCCAAAATCGCCGTATCTAGACTTCTTTCATGCTCTTTGATACCCAATCTAAAACATTTATGTTATTTTAGACCACAAATTCGTGTTTTCAAAAATTTTATTTTCAAGAATAACATCAAAATCGCAAAAAATCTCAAAAATTTTTACCTTTTCAAGCTCTTCTCCGCATAATACGGAACAATTGGTTGGAGGAGTAGATTGCATATCCTGGACGTCTCGTAAATCAAGTAAAGCACCGTCTGAAGCTCCGGTCCCTTCATTTGCCATGGTTTATGCAGTTGGAAGAAGACATTGGCGTTATTCCCGGCTTCGGAAATGAGCTCAAGACCCTTGTAGAACATCATTTTATCATAGCTATCTGATACCCGATCTAAAAATAAAAAACATGTTTTCCGAAATCTCTGGTGACATATTTATTTTTTGACTGTGAGTAAAAATCGAAAGCTTTTCGTTGCGCAATAAAACCGAACTCCCAAAGAAATGGGGAAATAATCGAAAGGCGAAAGGACGTGTGGGGGTATAGCTCAGGGGTAGAGCGCTCGCTTAGCATGCGAGAGGGCTGGGGTTCAATTCCCCATACCTCCAGAAGAACATTTTTCGTTTTTTTACCGTGAAATAAAGTAAAATAAAGTACTCTACAAAACGCACAGAAGTTTTACTGTCGCAGTAATTCTTGTTTTTACTTTTTAAGCTGAAAAGGTAAAGAAAAAAGCCGTTTTTCGATGAAATTTCCCCAATTTTTACAAAAAAAGCACTTTTCAAGCCTCTACTTTGCTCTATGCCAAGAAAAACACCCATTTTCCTACCTCTAAGTGTCTTCAGTTGCAAGACCATCTTCTCCCCAGTGGCCCTCAGTTCATGCTCCATGACTTCCACATCAAAACTGGGATACTTTTGCTTTGGATTCATCGAAATTGCAGTGGATCTTTGAAGAAGATTGCCCAAATTGTTGACCAAGTCCGCATTCACCGTAGTCACGGCCTTCAACAGCGTGAAGTCTGAAATTTCCCATATGTCATTCTTCTTTACTCATCTGCCTGGCCTGTTTAATTAGCATAGCACTTGACTTTTTCTGTTTTAGAACGCTCATTCGGAATGAATTTCTGCCCCCCTTGAGTCGTAAGAGAATTCATTTCAAGGCCAGATTCACTGGGGGGAAACAGATTTTTAGGGCTTTGCATAAAATTTTGCGAAGAGAGAGCCGGTTTCGACCAACAACTTTGGTTATCAGTCAATCGGAATTCAAATCACTGAATAATTTTTGCACGAGAAACGGACTTTTTGTTTTTTGGAAATATTTTCGAGATTTTTGGGCATTTTCGCAAGTTTTCGGGGTAAATGTTCGATGAGGCCGAGCCGGGAAAACCGAAAAATTGGGGATGGACCATCGGCATTATTATTACTGTAAGTTTTTTCGAGAATAACTTCAAACTGCAAAAAATTATTTTCAAATCATTTTTTTAAATAATTTTTAAATATTCAAATTTTTAAAATCTTCAAACGTAATTTGCATTAAAATTAGCCCTTTTCAGATATGTCTAATCAATCTCTGTATATTCATAGTCCTCCGCTTGTTCCTCGACGCTGTAGATGAATATGGCGAGCCTTTACTACAAGGTAATTTCCCCAATTTTTCTTAATTTTCATGCTGTCAAGCCCTCAACTAATTTTTGTAAATATTTTTAGGTGACACAAGACGGGATTTGGAGGCATTTCTGGGTGTTTTCGCATTGTCCTTCTGCTTCGGCTGTTGGTGTTGTTTCTGCTGTGCGGGCAACTGTTTGGAGTGTATAATTTTCTGTTTCAAATCAGAGAATCGACCGACAATGACGCAGTGGTGGTCGAGAATGATCAGGCATAAGACGGACATCATGGAGAAGACAAAACGTAGAGATATTTTACATTATATGAAAACAAATCCTTCGAAATCCATTATTTTAAATCAAAAATTTCAGGAAGAAAAGATACGGTAACCAGTGATATTCGAAAGATGAGTAGACGATTGAAAACAGCCTATACTAATGAAAACTTTTGTGAAAGCGATGCGGAAGCTCAAGTTCAACAGACAGCAGCAGTGGGAGCGAAGAGATCGGTAAGTAAAGCGAATTTTTAAAGGCATGATTTTAGCTTTTATCAGACTATTCATTTTTCAAACGGAAAACCATCAATTTTTTGAACTTTTAGACACTAAAAATCCTAACGATTACATCAAGGGAAAAGTTCAAAATCTCGCCAATGTCTTGTAAATTCAAATCTCAGTTTTTGTGGAGCTTTTAGCGAGGCACGTTGAGATTACACTATCGAGTACAATATACAGTGGGAGACCTGATCCAGTGGCAAAAAACGTACCATTTTGCATCCGGGATGTATCAAAAATGTGGCAAAATGCTTCCCTTTCCAAGTTAAAAAAACTCCGATTTCAAAAGCACGGTCACACAAAGGTCGCTCTTTGTGTGAGGGAAAGGGCGCGCTCTTCAAAACGAAGCTTTTTCACTTGGAGAGGGAAGCATTTTGCCACATTTTTGATACTTAGCGGATGCAAAATCGTACGTCTTTTGCCACAGGATCAGGTCCCTCACTGTAATCAATCCCATTTCCTCATATATCCAAAAATGATTCTGTAGCCCAACAATCACTCTAGACCACACAAGACTGTCTCCATTTTATTTCAGATACCCCCAACCCGTCCCAAAGTTATCTTCAATGTCGGTCCAACCGAAAGCCGGCCAGAAATGCGTGCCATCGAATCGGGCCGGCGTTCCAGTCAATGGATGGAGATGAAAAGACCTTCCCTGATCCCTGGTCAAAGCCCGCACACCTCGGTTGGAGTGAAAAATGTGGACTATTACGAGATTCCGGTGTCTTTGGTGACCCCGGAACCAATCGCAATAATCGATCCCAAATTTGTCGACCGACAAACTCAACTGGATCCTCCGGCGAAAGAAAAAAGTCCACAAAAAATGGTGGTGTTCACCGATCAAGATTATTATGCGGATGCACCGAGTACGAGTACAGACAGTGCACAGAAACAAGGAGGTACGTCATCAACCTCCGTCTGATGCAAAGTTTTATTTTCCATCTAGGGCATTAGTGTTATCATTTTGAGTGTCAGCATTAGTTTATTTTTTATTTCACAACTTTTATATTTTTGTTTTTCGAGGTGGTTGTCGAGATGTGAGGCTCTGATTTTGATGAATCTGGCTCAAGTTTGGACTAGAAAAAGTCTTTGAAAAATTCCTGTCTAAATTTGTGGCAAGTTTCCTCAAAACTTTCAGACTTTACACCCTCAATATTTCCCTCGAATATCAAACAATTGCTGTATTTTCTTGTGAATAAATGTAAATAGTCTGAAAATTATTTACTCCGTTCATTTACACCCACACCGACATCGTGCTTGATCGCTCAGACATAACATTACACCGTTTTTCTTTTCCCTTTCTTTCTCGGTATTTTTCAACTTTTTCACCGACAACCTTTCTGCTAATTGGGGGTGGACAAAACAGTGTTCCCCCAAACATGTTGCTTGAAAGAATTTGAAACAGATACAAGACTACAATCGAGTAAACAGGTACAGTATGCCATGAGAAGAAGTCTCTCTAAAAATGTGAATTTTTGAGTGCCTAAGATTACAGCGGAAGTTCTCAAAGTGTAACGGTCAAATCTTAATATACATAGTCACTTATTATTAAGACACAAGCGAGACTCCTAGCTCGCGCTTTGCAAAGTACGTCAAAAATGGACACTGCTTTGCGAGAATGTGAGGGGTTTTTTTAAAGTCTTCCTGTTCCATTTGTTGAACAACGTTGTTACATGCTCATGACTTTCCTCAAAATCTATTATCAACCCGTGCAATTCCCTCTCAAAATGAACAACATAACCATGATTCAGCTCTGCTAGTTGCATTTTTCGCCCAACAATATTATTTTTGCTGCAAAAATAATCTGTTGTACCTTATAGGTCAATGTTTTTTCAAACAATTTCTGATTTCACGACGTCATTATTCGCTTTTCTCCTCATCCTATTAGGCCATAATCAACTGGAAAACACCATAAAACCCATTTACTTTTGTTGAAATCACCCATCCAAATCATGTTGCAAAAATCGTGTAATCAAGCTGGCATTTTCCGCGGGGTTCCAACGTCGATTTCCACGCATTTCACGTATTTTCGTCCCATCAGATTGAGCTCTCATGAGCCCGAGCCTTCGCTCACAGCGTTGCTGATGGAGAACGGAACGGGGAAAGGTTGGGAAGCGGACCGTTCCTATCAGAAACATAAAACGGAACGAACCGATTACTCCCGCACCTCCCGCGGAGGGTGTGAAAATAGAATCTGATGGACAAAACAGGTCAGTTTGGGAGAAAAACAAACGTGTGACGTGAAGCGCAGCGGCTTGTATGCTGTTCACTTAAAGAAGGAGATACCAGAAAGTTCTAGACCAATGGGAAAATCAGAGCAACAGAACCTCAAAACAAAGCTAACAAAAGAAAAGAACACCGAGCAATCGACTAAGATCACAGACCAGAGAAATAACAGCGCACTTCATGACATTGAGGCTTTTAATGATCACATATCTGTTATCTCTCTGTCATTTCGAGATAGCATACAGTCGTTCCGGAGAGATTAGTCAGTGCAACTTCTAACAAAACATTGTTGAAGACCTCTGGGATTTATCATTCTCATCTATGTTAAACTTCATCAAAATGAAAGCCGATGCCAAACTCTTAGGGTACCCCGCAAACCCGCTCTTTCGATTAGTTCCGCAAAAAGTTCAGAGACCGTTACGTCATCTCTAAACTTTACAGTAAAAGCGGAGAACAATCTTAATTTCAACGTGCAGGGCTTTGAAAAAGGTTCACAAAGACTGGACGAGATCACTGATCCAGCAACAAACTATGGGGTCGACAACAAACTAAACGTTCCACATCCAAAAACCGCTGCTATTCAAACATGACTGCAAACAAATCAAAAAGTAAAAATTCGATAAATTCCTTGAACTTTGTATTTATTTTTGATAAAGCAGGAGATCGACTAAAAGTGCAGGGAAGAACTTATTACGAAATGGGTTAATCAAGTGATCAAATTTGGCAAACAATTGGAGTCTACTAAAGATCTCACGTGGCGTGGGATCTTTCCAGTCGTTTCTTTTTGTAACACAACGAAGTCATACGACAAACTAATACCCTACGTTTAAACCAAAAACCACCCTCAAGACTGATAAAAAACCTCCTGCAAAAGTCATATCGAATAACGTACTCTAACGTACTATCAAAACTCGAATGTTTGAATAGAGACGGCTCTAGCTGATGTATAAGTTATGAACTTCAGACGAACAAAGTTAAACTGATAAGGGATACATAAACAGTCATTCTTATGATCTATTTCGTCAATATCTTATCTTTGACACCCACTTCAAATCGATGAAGAGCTTTATGGCTTTGGAGATAGCAGGTTATAAAGGGCATTTGGTACCTACGTCAAAGTGTTTTTGAATATGTTCAATTAAGTTTTGGGTCAAATTTTACGGGTTTGTTATCAAGTGTGATGCAATGATTGCAGTTCTTGTTTTTCCAGAGGGCAATTGTTCTATATTTGAACTGACTCAGAACTAAATCCCGCTTATTGGCTTATTTTAGGTCTTGAAGATAACATGAACCTATTCTTCTATTCTTTTTAGAAACCATGTGACGTGACTTGCTACATCTCCAAGATACTAACACTTTCCCCGTTTTGTATTTCTTGAGTTTCCCGCACCGTAACAAAACGGTCTTCTGTTTCAGTTCATTTCAAACCCAACAGCCTTTTTATGTCTCTGAGATTTTCTGCTACCAACCGGAGTCCATGAGTCTGTCGGAGCTCGTATCGGCCTTTTTTCGACTACAACAGATCCTCCACAGTACAGGATGGGTCATCTTTGTGGCCCGATGTGAATTGGCTATAACTTCTTCATTTTCGGCGGATGATTCAGGGAAAAAAGAAGCTTTAAAATTGGCCAGAAAATAAAGAAGTTGTAGCCAATTAAAATCAAGTCACAAAGATGGCACACCCTGTACTGTGGAGGATCTGTTGTAGTCGAAAAAAGGCCGATACGAGCTCCGACAGACACATGGACTCCAGATTTGCGAGCAAAAAACCTCAGGGACATAAAAAGGCTGTTGGGTTTCATCCTTTAGCCTCCGAGTACTGTACACTCCAAAAAATCAACTCATATTTCTACCAACTCAAATATCTGCAAGGATCAAAGTTGATCCACTTGAGCCTTTCGCACAAAAATTGCATGGACCTCAAATCCACACAAACACGTCTAAGCTCTTTTGAATTCGCTTCAAAAATCACATGTTCAAAACACTCCGAACTCTAAGGGTCGGTTTAATGACACCCCCGTTCTTCCGTTGACCACAATCGTTCTGAGGGCGGGATCTCTTCGATTGTATAAAACCTTTCAACACCTTTACTTCCTTTTCCATTCCTTTTTCTCAGGGTTCGTTAGGTGTAATCTACAGTAATCTAACTAAACACTTTTTAGTCTTCAAAAAGAGTAAACAAAAGTCTCAATTATTCGCGTTTTCGCGGATTCGAATAAGTTTTTTTGAATACCGGGGGGAATTGAAATGTAAACAAACAGAGGGGTTTGTAAAGGACCAATTCTTGAGCCCGAGACTTGCCAAAAAAATTGTTCTTGAACTTTCACCGTCCACTGAGCTTGTATTGGTCCCCGATGTGTAACAAACATTTCTTCTCACGGCTCGTACAATAGCTCACGCTTGTTTTCAATCGCCAAATGGGGTGGAGATAAAACGAATTCGAAAAGGTTCGCGTACGTAGTTAAAAAATAAATATATTTGTGTGATTAATACATTACACTACGTATTTTGGGGTTTGAAATGCATTCAGACCGAGTTTCAGGATAAACAGGTCACTTATTCATAAAATGAATAATTGTTTTGACAGGCTTTATCCCAATTCCTAACCAAATTTTTTCATATTTTGCGCTTTTAAAATCATCATGTTTTCTCTGTACCCTTCCAAGAACTATTACAGTAGCTCTTTCCATCTTTTCTGCTCTTTACACCATCCTACCACAGAAACTAACTGTAATAAATGCCAAAATATAGAGAATAATCGATCATTATGTCAAAACTTCCTTTACGCCTCCCCCGTTACTCCAATTTCTTTCTTTTTATGTCTCATTTATCTCCACTGTACACCTGGAGGAATGTGGAATTTTCCAAAGACCGTTTTTTAAATTGTAAAGTTCAAACCGTTTCCGCTTACTACTCATAACTTTGCGGTTTAACATTACGCACGCTGCAGGGTTCAACAATATTTTTGAGTGCGTTTTACCGTGTATGTAATATTTTTTATGCAAAATTTTAACGTTATACACTGCTGGACAAAATGATATGACCACCGCAATTTTGCGCTGGCAATTTGTCCATGGTAAATGAATTGCTTTAATATTTGGTGAAAGTGAGTATGGAGCAATGTTACATGTACCCAAAAAGTATCAAAGGATTTCAAAAAGTGCAAGGTGAGTAAAATTTGGAAAAACGCAAAACCGCCAAAAATCGGCCGGACAAAATGATATGACCACGTGGTTTAATTCAATCTTTTACTAATAACCACAATTTAACAAACAATCCTAGTAATGAGTGAGTCCTCCACTGATTACTAGGACTGGTATGGGGACACGTTCGGCCAGGTTTAGACGGGTTTGAACGCGTTAAACCATGTTTGATGCAGAGCTACCCAAACTGGTGAATATCTTCCATTAACGCTTTCCAAAAGTTTTAAATGACGTTTTCATCATGTGATCTAGACGTGTAATCACCTGTGCAAGCCTTCGCTTTTCGTACGAACTCCATGGTGGTCTGGTAGTGTGGATTCAGCAAACATCCGGTTACCACGTCCAGCTTTGGCGACCCATTTGCTATTTGACCCTGGGGATAGATGTGCTCCTTGGGTTTAAAATGTAACCCGGAATCTCTCTAGAAACCGGCGAAGCCAAGAAAAGTCCCCGCTGACACGATCACAGCTTTGCAGATGCAACTTTGCCGACCTTCACCTTAACCAGCAAAACCGAGTTTTTCAAATGGATTTTTAGCGATGCAAAACGGCTTTCATTCGATGGCCTATGCAATTTTAGAAGCTACAGCACACCTCAGGCACCCTGGGCCATAAAATGAACTGTTTTTTGTCGCTAACGATCCCTTTGAAAAACTTGGTTTTTCTGGCTAAGGGGCAGATCGGTGCAGTTGCATCTGCAAAGCTGTGATCGTGTCAGCGGGGACTTTTCTTGGCTTCGCCGGTTTCTAGAGAGATTCCGGGTTACATTTTAAACCCAAGGAGCACATCTATCCCCAGGGTCAAATAGCAAATGGGTCGCCAAAGCTGGACGTGGTAACCGGATGTTTGCTGAATCCACACTACCAGGCCACCATGGAGTTCGTACGAAAAGCGAAGGCTTGCACAGGTGATTACACGTCTAGATCACATGATAAAAACGTCATTTAAAACTTTTGGAAAGCGTTAATGGAAGATATTCACCAGTTTGGGTAGCTCTGCATCAAACATGGTTTAACGCGTTCAAACCCGTCTAAACCTGGCCGAACGTGTCCCCATACCAGTCCTAGTAATCAGTGGAGGACTCACTCATTACTAGGATTGTTTGTTAAATTGTGGTTATTAGTAAAAGATTGAATTAAACCACGTGGTCATATCATTTTGTCCAGCCGATTTTTGGCGGTTTTGCGTTTTTCCAAAGTTTACTCACCTTGCACTTTTTGAAATCCTTTGATACTTTTTGGGTACATGTAACATTGCTCCATACTCACTTTCACCAAATATTAAAGCAATTCATTTACCATGGACAAATTGCCAGCGCAAAATTGCGGTGGTCATATCATTTTGTCCAGCAGTGTATTGTGCTAGGCGTGGTTCAAGTGCATATCCATTTATTCTGCAAATCTTGAAGCGTGTTTGAATAAGCTCTTTGTACCAAAGTAATTGTTATTGGAAACGCCATAAAATGACGGTTTCTTTGTCACCCCCGCCCATCCAACAAAAAAAAGTATTTGGGAACTTTTCAAGACTATGTTTGCTCCTTCTCCGCCTTATTTCTCATGCTACAAATGACCGTTATATCGTAGTTACTCTTACTATTGGAACTGTTTTTTTTTTCTCCCAGTCTTTGGGAACCCATTCCTTTAGAAATTCTTGTAGAAATATTAGAGCGATTTTACATTCAAATTTTTGATGATTTTATGATTTTTTCCTAAAGAATAAGGATCCTTTGTATGGAAAATTCGATTTTTATGATAGAAACATCGCTATTTCCCTGAACCTAAATTTGCACCAATGAAAAATTCAAACTTTTGTGATTTTTCGCTTCAACAAACTAAATTTTCATCAACATCTATGTGCTGCATTTCCACGAATTGCCTTTCAAATTAGCCTACTGTTATTCTTTAACAGTAGTCCGAATTTTTTTTTCTTTTCCTGTGTTTGTTTGAATCTCTAAGCTATTAAACAATCCCAAATCTGAAAACATCCCATTTACGGTCTGTTTTCCATGTACAGCCCGTACTTTGGAATGCGCGGACTTCCTAATCACATTACATTAGACCCCCTTAAACACACTCAATCTAATCAGCAATTTAGTTTAAATCAGGAATCTTCGCGATGCTTTAAATATTTTTAAATCCCGCGCGTCTAAACTTATTTCCTCCACGTACGCATGGTTTAATTTTTAATATATAATGTTTGTTGGTCATAAAAATTATTTTGGTGGATTTTTTCAGCAAAATGAAGCGAATAGAGCCCTCGAGAAAAGAAAGTATCAGATTATTCGACGAAGTTGGCGGGCAACCCTTGAATTGGGGATTCACGATATGTGTTATCGTCTTTGTAAGTCGTTTTTAACCTCAATTTTGAAAATTTTACGATGTTTCATTGAAAAAAGAACCAAATTTTTTGGTATTGTTCTGCATAAAATTCTCGGTGATTTCTGCATAACTTGAGCTAAAAAAGTTTTGCCAAATTTCCAAATAATCAAAGCACCAAGTTTTAGGCCCATAAATTTTTTTTTTTTTTAATTTTCAACCCAATATTTCGACTTTCCTGGCAAACAACCTTTCTCGTGCCTTTTCCAATCACATTATTTATCCAAAATTTCAACGACGATTGCGCAATCCTTCGATGACTGGCGTTTCTCACAGCAAAACTCGTAAAAATCAAAAAAGTCGCGCAAAAATTTTTTAAAACTGTTCTTATTATATCATCGACGAATGTCTAGTACCGTAAACAATCTTTATAAATTTGTTGTTTATTATTTAGATTCTACACCCAAAATATGCTATTTTTAGCCTTCTACTTTCGTCATTTTTGCTCTAGTGGACTTTGTCATCAATATTTGGAAATAAAACTTGTTACAAATTTTGTTCCGACGAAGATTAAAGACTAAACAAAGGTTTAATAAACCTACAAGAGCTACAGATCACGCGCTAAACTTTTGGCGTCAAAGATTTCTGAAAATCGTCTCCAAAATAACTGGTATTGTAAACCGTCTTGTTTATTACTTTTTCGGTCAGCCGTTACTGAGAAAGCAAAAAGCAAAAGTCAATATCGATTAGCAAATTTGTTCGTCAATAGGAAAGTGTGATAATAGTTACGTATTCTACCGTAATTTTTTTGTTGAAAATTGCACTTGCAAAAAAAATTTCGATTTTCCTCGTATCCACTTGCTTGCAAAGTTGGTGGAAAATCTCGACCAACTTTTCAAAGTAAGAGCTAAAATTTTCAGCAATTAATTTGCAGCTGACATAAAGTATATACACAAAATTTTAAGAAAATCTGAGCACTTCTTCCTCTCGTGAAAAATTGACTCTCATGTCAGTAAAACAATTTCCAAAACAAATATTTTCGCTTCCAGATATGCTCAATGAACATTCTGATCCTAATCGGTCTACGGTTTCTTCTCGAACTAAAAGATGAATACGATCAGCCCATTCTAAAGGATTATCAGCAAGAGATAGTCCTTCAGCTGACCGGAGCTTTTGCTCTTTCTTTTGGATTTGGATGCTGTTGTTGTTTCTGTTGCGGAGGAAGGTTGCCGCAGTAAGTTTTAAAATATGAGCGAATTACCTATCTCTATCAAAAATACCTTGCTAATATCAAGTATAATATCAAAAATTTTCAGCTGGATCTGCAAAGGTATTGGCAGTTGTTTCTCCTGTCTATGGCAATCAATCCAAAATCCTAACAAGCATAAGACCCTTTACAACGCCCCTCTCTCGCCGGGCGCTCTGGCCAGACAACGTCGAATTCGTCCATATGTAATTGATATGGTAAGCCAAAAGAGACTTTTAAAATGGGAACGAGACGAGGCGTGGGGGTATAGCTCAGTGGTAGAGCGTCCGCTTTGCATGCGGAAAGTCAGGGGTTCAAACCCCCTTACCTCCAAAGAAATTTTTTGGGTTTTCAGTGGGCGAAATGACTAAATTAATATTTTAAAGTTGCCTATAGCCGTTTCTCGCCTTAATCTTGCCAAAATCAAACAAATTAGTCATAAAAATGATCAGGAACTGCCTAAACCTCTCCACGCCTTTTAGTTTTCTCTAAAATTCATTTTATTTTTCCAGAGCAACCATCAAAGTACCATGTCTACCAACGACCACAGCTCCGGTAGTTCCAGTCCAAATCCGACCAAACACAAAATGGAGATTCTACCAGTCGATATCTCTACTCTGCCGACCAACTCAACCACAACCGTCCGCACAGAGGACAAAGAATCACGTCCAAACATTATCGGCTACTTCGATTCCCCACAAACTTCGAGGACGTCTTCTAAAACTACTGAAGAGTCTACAGCCAAAGAATTGCAATCTCGAAAACTAGAAGAAGACCTCGAGAGAGGAGAAAGGAAATCACATTCAAGTGAAGATGAAATTGCGCCACTGCCAACGAAGAAGGAGAAAAATGAGAAAAAATTGGCGATCGATTTCAACAGTGAGATGACAAGACATTTGAGTCTGCCTTGTGGCCCAAAAAATGTCTATATCGTCTAGAAGTCTCGAATTCCTTGACACATGTATAATATTGTCCGGCATTCCGTTTTGACGCAAATCTCTGATCAGATTTATCATACCCACTCCGAAATATCCACGACATTCACTTTAAATTGCCTATTCGACAAAACCTTTTACCTTTGAACATTTTTTTTTGCTCAATCCTTGTATTTATTGCATTTTATTGTTGTATTTTTGACATCTGTTATTTCTTACGCATCAGTTATGCATATCTGACATTATTTTTATGACATCTCCTCCTGCGAAAATGCGGGCGGAATTTGTAGATAATGGTTATTTGACCGGTGAAGCCTCAGGGTAATTTAATTGTATATTGTATTATATTGCATCAAAATAAACTGGTAATTACTACTATCCACTGTAGAATAAGCCCCAAAAAATAATAAACTTACTGGCATCATTATGCTGAGTGGATTGCTTGAGCAAAAAGTACCGTAATCCATCTACGGTGAGGAGATCTTTGATCAAAAATGGGTTCACAACATTGCCGATGCTCTTGGACATCTAAACAAAAAAAAATTGTGAAAAAAATTAGAAGTTCTCAAAAATCTTTAGGTCGAAAAATGTCCAGAAATTGCAATCTAGATATGAGAAATAGTAGTTTCTTACCTTCCTTCCATCCACCAGCCAATGAGAATGAACGTAGATCTTTTTTGGCAATGGTAAATCAGCAGCCAATAGGAATGCTGGCCAGAATATCGCGTGGAATCTGCAAAAATCAACCTTATTCCCTACAACAAGACTAAAGATAGCATTGCCCAACTTTCATCAGTATCTAGTGCAATATCAAGTATAACATACGTCCGTATATCCTTCCCGATAAAATGAATGTCCGCCGGCCACAAATTCATCCATTTTGTGTCGGTGGGAAAGCCGGTTGCCGTTAAGTAGCTACACAGAGCGTCCAGCCATACATAGAGCTAGAATAATATTGGTCAACCAGAAAAGATCATATAAAAAAATGCAAAACAAATTAAAATTGATCTCTTACAGTCTGCGAATCATCATCCGGGACTCTAATACCCCACTTTAACCGTGTGGAGTCTCTGGAAATCGAGAGATCTTTCTGGGTCTTCAACGACTGTAGGATATGAGGGAGCTGACTGGCCGGGGAGATGGTACCTAAAAGAAGTCAAAATCGATAGGCAATACTCTTAAACTAATCTAAGTCCTGATACCTCCATACGAAACTAAATAATGGACATTTTACAGCCAAAAATTGATATTGTACTAGGTCATATAGACCAAAACCTAAAAAATGATATCACAGAAGGTAAGATACTCATCCTCCTTGTGTTTCTTAACCTTTTGTCTCCACAAGCCCCACCTCACCTTGTGTAGTCAACCATTTGTGAATAGCATCTTTAAATTTTTCCAATTTGAACATGTAATTATCCTCTTGGATCCACTCAACTTTGGACAATGATTCCTTGGCCACCGTCACTTCCTCGCCATTTATATTCCGTTTTTCGATCTCTTCTTCGGTGTAAAATCTCTCGTCTACCATGGAATACCAACCTTCATAAGTCGACTTATAAATGTATCCATTTGATTTTAGGCGATTCCACATTTCTGAATAGGAAAAATGTTACAGTAACCCAAATGAAAAGATCAGATGTTGATGAAATTTTTTGGTATGATTTCCAGAGAATGTGCGTTAATTTCTAACAACATCTAGCGCGGATTTTAAACAGTAAATAAACTTTTTTCCCCAAATCATCAAAAAATCTCGTTTTTTCAAATTAAAACGCGTATAACTCGGTTGGTTATGCATAAAACGGCCTGAAATTTTCCCTCATTCCTTCTAAAGCCATAATCTTTATCAGAGTTAAGTTTCATCGACATTCAAAAAAACCTTCGCCTTCAATTTGACATATTACACTTGCCTTTAACAGTAACTTCGTGTTCCGGATCCGTGGTCCTCAAATTCCTCGTATATCCAATGTTAAACTCCTCAAACAACAATCTAAATCGCTCTGCATAGAAATCGCAATGTTCCTTCGGCGTCTTTCCACTATTTTTTGCGGCTGTTTGGACTTTAATTCCATGTTCGTCAGTCCCGACGATAAATTGATGCAAATTGTCTGATTTTTTGTTTTCCTTCAGCAAAGTCCATCGATGATTGGCGTCAGCCAACAAAGCAGAGTATAAATGACCAATATGCGGTTCTAAATACTTTATTTGACACTAATTGGAGGGACTTACCTCCGTTTACATAAAACATTGGTGCTGTAATGTAATGTTTCCATCGTACGCCCGGAATTTTTGAGAAACAAAGGCGTTTGAGCATGAGTAATTGAATACAATGCTACTAACCGTATTTTAAAAATCACTTTACTATGAACTTTTCAGTATTTTTTGGAGTTCTAACCTTAGTTTAGATATCAAATCATCTAAAAATAAAAAATAACAATAAATTTATTTGAATTCGAAAACAATAACAGATAATAATGATACAGTAATTAACAAGTCCTAATTTTGCTCAGACCCCACAAATGGCCCATTTTTGTCGTACTTGATCATGATCAAGGAGATCATCATGAATTTTCTGCCGGTTTTTTCTTCTTATCTGACCTCTTTTCCTCAATATTCTCTTCACTCTGAGCCTTCTGTTTCTCTGCCACGGTCTTCAACAACTCCGGATCTCTAGTCTGGCTTTCCTTTAGACTTTCCACAGCCAAATGATACTTGATTTCCTCTTCTAATGCGGCCATTTTCTCTTCAAATGAGACATCTTCCTCTTCTGCACTGGGCTTGCGCGCATAAATGATTTGGACTTCTCGGTCTGGTGTTATTTTGTGGTATTTTAGCTGAAAAATCAAATTTTCATAACCTACAATCACTCCTTTGCCCATAAAATTCGAAAAACACAGCAAATTTTTTAAAAAAATCCTCACTTCAACGTCTTTGAAGCCTTGAGGTTCCAAATGTTCTAGGTAATTCATTGGGTCCCACCGACTTCTTTCAATTACTCCCCATTTTTCCAGATCTTCTAGTCTAAAACAAGATAAAACTAATTAAAATCCTTTACCTTTTCACTTCCAATCCACACAACAACAGTCCGTTCGGCTTTAGCACTCTCCGGATCTCCTTAAGGATCGCTGGGAACGATCTCTGTCCCCAAAAATAGAAAACGTCCACGTGAAAAACGGAGTCGAAGAAGTCTGATGGGTACGGTAAATCTATGAGGAATGGGAGCTGAAAACAGGACAATAGCAATATGAAACGACACAATCTAAAATCAGAAACAAATTAAAACATAAAATACTGACCTTGTCTAATATAACATTTTTGTCTTCCTCAATCTCGATTAAATACTTCTTCTTCACGATCCTCTCCATCTCTTCGCTTGCTTCCAAGCCGAAGATCATTCCCTTTTCGCCTAATTTCTCCAAGACAGCATCGATTCCATAGCCACGGCCGTATCCAAGCTCCAACACCTTTGAATCTAAAAAATTATATTGTACATCAACATAGGCGACTTCAGGTCAAAATGTTAGTGGATTTGATCTAAAAAAGACTTGAATAGGCTTCAAACAACTCCGTCCAGCTATTTATACCTAAACACAAAAGTAACTAACTGAAAGACATACCTGGCTGCACATTGAGTTCTTCCACGACCTTCCTGACCAATGGCTCATTGTAATTCGCCCATCTTTTCGTAATCATACTTCCAAAAAACCCTTTTACCGGGCGGGCATACTGAAAAAAAACTACTTATTATTTTTAGACACAAAAGAAAACAAATATCCTTGTTGTTTTCTCACCTGAACTCTGAGATCTGAAGCCAGCATCTGCATCAATTTTTTGCCAAGACCCGACATTTTATTTTGCCAAATCTATCTATGAAAGTCACGCAAACTCATGATATTGGTCCAAAGAATACCAAAACGGCTCCGGAAATCCAAGGAAAATCTCCGAAAATTATTTTGATGCAGAATGCCAAGATTTTCGCAGAAATTTTTTCGTGTCGGGAAGCATGTCTAAAATACAAGAAGCTACCGTAAAATTTTCCAGGCAACGAATTAGACCCCTGCTTGTCGTTGAAGGCATGGCAGTGCTGTCTGCGAATTTCAAGGGTCTCAAAGACATAAATATATTATTGATGTCTAAACCAAGGTCTTTTGATGAAGTGGTTTCTGCAACTCCTTTTACTCTTATTATTTTACTCTTTTAGTCAGCCTTGGTAAACACCGAATGTTTTGAAAACGTTTCTATTCACTTTCTTTTCTGAACGGCCCTTGAGAAGAATAATTTTTGGAAGAAGCAGCTGATGTCCTTTTCCTCGTCGTTTTTTTGCTGTAAATAACCTTCAATCAACTAACAGACTCTTTTCTTTTATTGCTAAGGGCATTCGGTTTACGTTATTGCTCTGCGAACTAGAGTTTAGTCCGTCAAGTCAAGAGTTTTCCTCGGGTTTTGACCAATTACGACATCATTAATTTTAGGTCAAAAATGAAGACAATGTCTTTACTACTGCTGCTTTCTGTATGTGTCACGATCTCAACTGCATTGCCGAGTGTAAGGACTCTTCTTTACTTTGGCTCAGGAATTCATGCCACTCCAGATGATCTGAACAGTTTATTTGTGGCCAAAAGACAAAGTGGATTCAGATCAACATTCAACGATAATCGGGAGGAACGAGAGCACGGTCGAGTGAAGGCGCTGTCAAGGCAACATGAACTCGATTTTGTACCATTTGTCAGACATCCATAGGGATATCACTTGATTTTGAATAAAATTTGGCCTGATGAACTCGTTTAATATAATAATAATAATAAAAAATGTTTAGATTTAATCTTGTTGAAAATTGTCGTTGACTGAGATTAGGGGTTTTCAAAACCTATTTATATAAGGTCTTATTGTTAGTTTGCACTTTACTGAACCTTAATAAATTTTTGGGATCTCGAGAAAATTTATTGTTTTGAGATACGTATTTCAAACAAATAATTGACATTCCGTTCGAAGTGAGAGTATCAAATCTCCTTCAAAAATCAATGTTTTCCTCTTAGCTTCACACAGTCGGTATCTCCAATTTGTCTGCCCTCTCTCTTCATCTTCCATAGTCTTTCATCTTTTAAAAAATAAAGTTGAATATCTGAGCTCAGCTTTTCGAACGTGAGCTAAAATTCTTAACAATCGGTGTATTCCCCAGGCAGACCACGCCGGCCAAATTTGAAGGCGATAGAATTCTCACACCTCTAGCAATCCCCCTTTCAATTATAACATGTTTAAGATCAGAAACAATCCTTTATTATTCACAAATGTTTAGGCTCGCTGTCAGTCGGCCGACATAAATATTTTTCGATCCCTGCAGCTCCATAGTACAGTTAAATACATATAAAATTTCAAAACGAAAACATGTCAACGAAATCCCCCGCTCATTGTTTATGTCCCAACCCTACGAATCTTATTTGAAGCTGCCAATATTACGAGCCAAATCGTTTGTTTATACGGCCTTTATAAGCACATTCCGCATCCTCGAGTCACTAAGGGTTGAAATTGCGGAAACAACGTGACTCCAGATATTTTTTGACCAGGAAGTTGTTCGATTATTAATACTGTTGGATAATATTTTTATTTCTGATTCATAAACGAACAAAAGATGAGGTTCTCCATCGCGTTTTTGCTTGTGATGATGATTTGTTGTGTAATACAGACAATGGCAGTGCCTCCGCCGGCGGGATTGTTCAGACATGGAGGCGGTAGAGCAAGCAGAGGACGGGGAAAGAGAGATCTTGATCAGGTTATGTAAGTTTCGACGAAAAAATCACCGCACAAGTTAGCCGGCCAAAAAAAAAGCGTTTTTCTCACTTCGCAGTGTGCGCTCTTTCTCCAGTAGGCAAATATCGTTGAAAATATCGGCTGCCTCTGCAAAGCGCAAACGATAATTTTTGGGATTTAATATTTGTTGTAGGCTTAACATGTGTGCAAATTTTAAAAAATCAGGGCGGTCCGCTTCGACCACATTTTGTCGGTGGTCTACAAGGACGTAGCTGAAGAATTGGTCTGAAAATTTGTGAGGTTTTTTAACACAGGTAGCTAACTTTTTTGGGAGGTTTTTATGGCCAGGGTAGCGCATGTACGTAAAGTTTGAAGATTTTTTTTTGAAAAATGGATTTCCCTATTTTGCGGTCAAGTCATAGCTTGTTTATAATTCTTTTGCTTTCAGTCATCCCTACATCATCCCTTTGACCAACGTCAAGAAATGACAACCGCTTCTCTGACTGCAACATATTCTCACCTCCTTTTGCTCTTTTCACAATTGCTATTACGATCGCATTTAGGCTTTGTTAGACATCATAGACCGCAAGTTAAGCACAAGATTATATTTGGTTGTATATAAAGACTCCGAATAAATCGATTTTACAATAGATTCGATGATTTTGAAGGGTGAATTTGCAGAGTTACCGTTGTTTTGATTTAGAATCGGTTGTGGTTGAATAAACAAAGCAGAAGTCAGTGTGGGAGGTCGACAACAACTTTAAATGACAATTAAAGAAGCGCCTTTTGCATTGTAAAAGTCAGCTGCTTCAAGGCTGATTTTGTTATCTGCTTGAGGCGCTTTTCAAACCATTATTTTATGATTACTTTATAAAGAAGAAGAGAGGTTCCGGCTTTTGTAAGCGTTTAAATTGTGAAAAATGCAAACAATTTTTATCTATTCTGCACGGTGTAGAATGACCTTAAAACGGGTACGTGGTGCGAAAAATGTAAAACGCGCCATGCGTCGGCGATAAAAAAAAACTCTACGAATATAAAAACGCACTACAAAGTTTCAAACAAGAACTTTGAATGCTTTATAAACCAAGATATTTTCACGGTGCGATCACTTTCTTATGCTACAAAATTTGTATGTATAAAAGGGTCTTCAAATGCAGTGCCAAGGTTTATTGTTTCCCATTTTTCGAATTGTCAGAAATCACCGTTTTCTCAAACGCTGCGAAACTTTGTTTTCATTATCAAAACTTATTTATTATTCTGCCTGTTTTGCGAAAAGCCTGCTATATAAGTTGTAGTGCCTTTTGTTGCGTAAATCGCGAATTGATTTCGATTTCTTTGAGCGACCAGCTGTAAGGATCACTGTGTAACGGAGAGTCTGATTGATACAACTGGTGCAACTGCTAATTAAAATTGTAATTGAATTCAAAGGATGGAGTGTTTTCCGGGTGATCCTGATCAAAAATTGAGTGTGAGATGCTTGCGATTTCATAAAACTGGAGATCCACGGAAAGTAAGTGAAATGAAAAAGTGCTTCAAGAGAGACGGCCGGATTTTAATGACAATTCATATATTCCGGGTGCCTTTTAGGTGCTCCAATTAGATCGTATCTTCATCTCCACCAATCTGAAGCCAAACGAAGTGCTGATCCGATATCAAGCAGCCACAATCTTGCCGGCTCATATCAATATTGTTGAAGGGACCTATGTTGTGAAGGCAATTCCTCCCGCAATCCCTGGAAATGAAGCTATTGGATTTGTGGAAAAAGTAAGATTGAGTGTATTTCTGCTCTGTGCCTCTTAATCCCGACCAATTTCTTTATCAAAACATAATTTTTTGGCTTAAAATCACCATCGATGTCATGTATAATATAATTTAAATTCCAGATCGGATCAGATGTCCGTTCCCTTCAAGTTGGCGACAAAGTAATTCCATTGGACTCAAAAGGAGCCTGGACTGAGTATGAGATCCAAACAGAAGACAAATGCTTCAAAATTCACCCATCTGTGGATATAGGAACAGCCGTAACAATGCTCAGCAACCCAATTACTGCGTGGAAAATGCTCAAAAAGTATGTCAAATTGGAAAAAGGAGATCTTATTGTGCAAAACCTGGCCAATTCGCATTGCGGCCAGTCGGTGATTCAGATCGCAAATGGTAATTTTATGTATATTTGTACATGATGATGAATATTTTTTTGAAGTTTTTGAAAATTAAACTAATCTAATGAGGTATCTTTTAGCCCTCGGTTACAAAACAGTGAATGTAGTGCGGAATCGTCCGGATATTGAAGATCTGAAGAGACAATTGAAAGATATGGGAGCTGATTTTGTTTACACTGAAGAGGAATTTGTGAATATTTCAAAAAATTTCCAAAAGACCTTCGGAACCCAGCCCAAATTGGCATTAAATGGGGCAGGAGGGAGGAGTTCGTTGGCGTTGGCCGGATGTTTGGCCAATAACGGAATTATGTTGGTATATGGTAAGATTTTTTTCAAAAAATGATGACTGTATAAACGAAACAAAAATTTCTATAAAAATGATTGTTTTAAGGGAATATTTTTGATCCAAATAACCGTTATTTACAGGTGGAATGTCCAAGAAGCCCCATCAAATCTCCACGGCAGCTCTGGTCTTCAGAAATATCCGGGTTTTGGGGGTCCCAGCTGGATTTTATTTGAGGCCAGAAAACCAAAAAGAAAGATTGGAATTTCTGAATGAAGTTCATGTAAGAAAAAGTTTATACAAGTACTTTTCCACCTCTAAAATTTGTTTTGATTATGATTTTTTCAGAAACTAGCGATCGAAAAGAAATTACGAGGACCGGAAATGGATTTTGTCCCAATGGAGAGGTTTTTAGAGGCCATGGAGAAGACTTTATCAGGGAAGAATCGAAAACAGTTGTTGATCCTGGACCCAGTTATTAGCTCAAGATTGTAAAAATACTATTTATATTAAGTATAAAGAGGAATTTGACATTTTTTAAAAAGTCTTTCATTTTTGATGACACTTTTTTTCTTTTTGCTGTAAGGCAAGTCACACAGCAATTTTTCGGCCTTAAAATCTCTAGTTTCTGAAAAACGCGAGCTAAGAATCTAGAGAATCTTGGATTCGCTTCAAAAAGGACCAATCTTAGAAAGCATTAATTTTTTGCCAAGTTTAATATAAAAATTGGAACGACAAATTTTTAGGTATTCCCATCTCTAGCCTATTTTAGAGCTTTTATTGACTTTTTTACTGACAATCAGTAACTTTACTATATTCAAAGTGATACTACATCCCCCGTTTATCACTCCCTTGCAACCTTTTCTCCATCCAAAAATTCCTGACCCAATTTCGAATCAGTTCAAAAAAATCTCGGTCAATCGCCAAACTAAAGTCATCGAAGGTATTTTTTCGATAAAACACATCGAGAAAGGCGCTTCCGAAGTCAGACTCTCGACGAAAATGCTCTTCGGGAGCCATGGCGCCGTCTATTCGGCATCGATTTGCTCTACCTTCTGTCTTATGGCCACAATTGTTGTACTGCCCATAGTGCACTTGAAGATGCAGCAGAAAATCAGCATAATGCTGAGCGACGTGGAATTATGCAAGGTGAGTTCTGAAGGTGTTAATAGGCCGCAAAAGGCATAACTTGCTATCTGGAAGGTTTATTTTTACTTTACGACATTAATTTATATTATCCATCCCATTTCAGTTGGAATCTCGCGATTTATGGAAGCAGATGACGTTTGCCAAACCCGAGGCTTCCCGACAGAAACGTGGATACGATTCCAATCCTTATGGCGCAGGAGCTGCCGGAGCTGGGGCTTGTTGTGCTTGCACTCAGGGCGGCCCTGGCCCTCGAGGACCGCCTGGAAAGGATGGAAAGCCAGGAAAAGATGGGTTCCCGGGAACTGACGGTCAGCCAGGACGTCCTGGAAAGTATCTTCCTGCCCCACCAGCCGGAACAAATTCTTGTCAGAAGGTAGGAAATGATCTTTGATAACTTTTGATCTCAGGTGTCTAAAACAATATCGATTTCATTTTTCAAAAAAAAAACTGTTTTCTATTCCGTGATTAATATACTTCTGAATGAGTGACTAATCCTTATTTTCAGTGTCCACCTGGCCCACCCGGACCACCAGGCCTTCCCGGAGCCAAAGGCTCCCGAGGTCCCGCCGGAATCCCAGGAAGAGCCGGAAAGTCTGGAGAAAACAACCGACCCGGCCCTCCAGGTCCTCCTGGACCGCGTGGAGAACCCGGTCCGCCAGGACCAAAAGGAGTCCCCGGAGATCGCGGAAAGGTTCTGAACGGCGCTCCGCCAGGTCCTCCCGGTCCCGCCGGCCGAGTCGGACCTCGCGGACAGCCCGGAGGAAGAGGGCACGACGGGAAACCCGGTCTTCCCGGACCAAACGGAATCCGCGGAGGGGTCGGAGATCGTGGAGCGCCCGGAAACCCAGGTCTGCCCGGCCCACAAGGACCGCCCGGAGAGCCGGGAATGCCCGGATCTTGCAGTCATTGCGAGGGAAACCAAGGTCCGGCTGGGAATGCGGGAGGCAGTGATGGTGGTTATACTGATAATCAGCCAACTCGGCGGCCAGGTCCAAGTGCTCCGGCTGCTGGGCCATACGAAGAGCCAGTGGCACCACCAAAAGAAGTCAGCAGTGCCAGTTATGGAGGTGGGAATGACGGGCAAAACGGAGGATATCAAAGCGGACAAGGATCAAGTGGAGGGACTCAAAAGGGGAGCGAATACCTCTGGATGAACTGAGCGTAATCATCTAATACAAACTTGTAATAATCTAATAAATCGTCTCCGCACGGCTACTACAATTTCTTAAAACTAATAAAAAGCATCGAACTTCAACCCCAAACCAAATAACACCAACCTTGGCGAACAAAGAAACTTTATTCAACAAAATAAACTACAATAACTGTTTTTTTGGGTTTCAGCACGATGATTGTTACTAGAGATTTGGATAAATAAAATAAATAAGGCAGTTTAAACTCGATTGAATCGAAAAAATACATAAACATGAGACCTATGCGTTAAAGCGGGTTCCTCCGAGGGGATGTTTGCTGTACGACACAACATCTGTCAATTCGTTGAAGTCCTCTAATCCATTATTGCTTCGGACGTTCTTTCTGACCTCATTGTTTGGAGGGAGGTTTCTAAAATCGAAAAAATTAATTTCACCGCGAATATTTGATTCTCTTCACAAAATCAATCTAATATCCAATCAAACTTACATAAAAGCCTTGAAGATATCCGATCCTCGCTTGGCGAGTTCATCGGCCATATAAACAGGTAGTGGCAGGGAAGTTGGACATGCGCACACTTGATGCATGGTACTGAGAACTTGCATCAAAGCCTGAAGTTTTTCTGGCTCGATATTGAGCTCATTGGCGATTTCCGAGTATTGGGTCATCTTTGGCACACCCTGAAACAAAAAAAAATAATCCTCTCATCTCATTTATAACAAAAAACCCCTCTTATTACCACTGCAATGACAAAAAATCCCACGCACCTTCAACGGATTATGTGATTGGAGATAAAACTCAGTGATGTCACTTCGAGTGACCTTTCTATCGACCACATCTCCGGGCCTAGTATTCTCGATCTTTCCTGCGACAACTTCATAGAATCTCTTATTGTGTTGTTTCGTGGCGACCACAAAGGAGAACTTGGCAGACGCTTCAGGTCCAACAAAGACGTCCTTGAAACCACTCTTGATAGCCGGCAATTCTTGTGAAACCGCGTATTGGAATTGTCCTTCGCTGATTCCATCTCTGATGACCAAGACTCGTTTTATTGGACGTCCAGCAGCCTTGGCTCTCTCGCAGAGCTGCTTGACAGCTTTCCGGAGTTTCTCGGGCTCCACATTTTCCCGTCGAGATTCCTGAAATCATGTACAATTCAATCTCTTTCCAAGATCATAATCAAATTTATTTTAAACGCAAAACAAATATAATTTAGGGTCCTAGCACAAAAAAAACATCTCTTTACCTGATAAAAGAAATCTCCGCCAAATATCATTGGATTTTTGGACATGTTTGCGCAGATCCCCACCACTGATGGTTGCAGAGATCTCAATCTTCCGCGAGCTTCATTGGCCGCGAACGGATCACCTTCCTTGTCCTGCATCTTCCTCTTATCAGCTGGCTGAGCCGGTGGCGGATGGGCCACATCATATCCAATAATTAGGAGATCATTTTTGTTTCTGATATCAAATTCTTCAAGCGACTTGGGGAATACAGGCATATAATTAATTCCAAACGCCTTTGCATTAATCTTCATAACCACATTCTTCAATGTTTGTGGTTTGTCCGCGAGATTCTTCGTGATGACCTGCTGAGTCAAAACTTTGTAATAGGCTTCAAACAATTTCAAGGCGTGATGAGACCTGGCTCTTCCATCGTCAATATAGAAGATGTATTGGATCTTATCATCACGGGCCTTTTGGAACACCCTTTGGAGATCGTCCAAGTTGATCGCGAGGGTTTGAAGCGGAGGTGGCAAGGCAAGTCCGGCCTTGTTGGCATACCCCAACAACTTCGGAATATATTGCCTAAAAATGAGACGTAGCCAAAGCGATGAAAAACTTACTGAACTTGTCTCTGGTCGACAGTTCTTTGGTCGACGACGACCCACCATTTCTTCAACAGGTTGGCTGGATTGAAAAAGCGCATGTCGACAGCCTCTTTCATAAAGGCTCCATTTGGCATGGGTCTGATGATCTTTTTGCCAGCCGCTTCAACGTCGCAGACTTTGGATTGGAGTATAGCGACATCATTACTGTTCGCCGAAACGGTGACACCAAATTCCTTCAAGAACTGGGCTCCCTTTCCATCGCAAATCTCTCCGATTTTCCGCGTCACAAAGTTATAGCGATCTTGAGGTTGGATTGAGTTCTCCTGAAATGAAAAAAAAAATATCCTCAATTCAAATTACCAAGTGTAACACCAAAACCTAAGCTCACCATAACTAATTTTCGGACAGCTTGTTCATTAATCTTCTCAGCTGGGACCAACTGACCTTCCAATGGCTTAGCGACTTCCAACGGAATGATACAAGTTTTTCCAGGGATGTCGGCCACAACCCCCGGGAGGCGAGTGTCGATGACGACATTGTAAGTGTCTTTATAGTATTTGGCCAAGGTTTTGTCAGCAGCGTTACATGAGGGATGTCCCACAGGATCTTTCGTGAGACCACGGACCGCAAATGTGAATCCTTTTCTATGGGTTCCATAACAGCGAACCCCCCGGAAGTGCCTCTCAAAAGCCACTCTCACTTGACCAAATTCTTGGAAAATGACACTCAATGGTTTGGTCGAGGTATAGAAAGCTGTCCTTCTCACTAAAATTCAAAAAAGAATTAAAATCGCCAAGATTACTCACTGTCGGCAACCAACAACGGCCTGATCTTTCCGTTATACTCAGAGACCCTGATTCCCTTGGACAATCCAACTCTAATCTCCATTCCAGGGACCATGGGAAGGCACTGCTTGTTGAACAGAGTGCCTGATGCAATGATCTGATAGTCTCCACTGAAATAGAAAAATTAACAAACGAATCCGAATTATGGCTACCTCAACAACCAAAAACTTACGTATTGACGAGGTACTGACTTGTCAAGATTTCGAGGAATTGTCTTGGAGAGTGATCGGCCTGTTCTCGGATATTGTCCACTAAAGCGGTTTCCAAATTCGTGAAGTCAAATACTGGCACCTTCGCGTTGGAGGTCACATCTACTCTGAGGACGTTTCCTCTGGCATAATCTTTTGTCCCCGCTGGCAACTGCTTGGAGTCAATATCGATGGTCTGAAATTAAAGTTTCAGATAAAAATTCACAATGAAATACATCGACTCAACAACGAAAATACACCAACAAACTTACAAACTGTTTCATATCCGAGAGTGTGAATAAAGTTCTCTTGCCATCATAAGCGTATTTGGGGATCTTGTTCTGTCGATGGAGGTGTTCGATGCAATCAACGCAAGCTGTGCGCTGCAAGATCCTTAGTCCTCTGAAAACAAGCAAAAAATAAACAAAGTCGAGATTATAAAACAAAATGAGGATCAAACAACTTACGGATCAACTTGTTTGGTCAAAACTTTCTCAGTTTTTGGTTTGATTAAAGTGATCTCAACGTCAAATCGATAAACTTTTCTTCCGGGTTCCACAGTCATTTCAAATATAGTTGACTTTCCCGGGACCGTTTTCCGGCTATCGCCGGAGAGTTTAACTCCGGCCATTTTCTTGTTCAAGGACATTTCTGACCTAAAATTTAGAAATTAGTGTAACTCTGTAAAGTATAAACACGGAAAATAACTAGAAAAACCGCGGGATTTTTCCAACGACACCACATGGCCTGCTCACTTAGAAGGCAGATCGTGAGCAGGCCGTTTGTGAGAAATTGACTCATGTAAGCGTAAAATTTTCTTATTTTCGAACCCCTAAATAGCCGTAAATTCATCGGTCTCACGGAAAAAATGAAACCTTTGTCGCAATCGCAGATGTGGTTGCATAAACGACAATATAAGGATGGTGACATACAAATCAAATCGGGCGGGTCAAAATAACCAAACCTTAATTTTATGGGTGTGCGCGTCTTTTGAATATGCTGTGAATTTGTCGGTCTGTCGGCCAAAATGGAACGTATAAGGATGGTGACATACAAATCAAATCGGGTTTCCTTTCCAGAAACCGCCATTCCTTGTCTGTTACGCTTCTGGACAAGAAATACGCAATTCTTGCCTGAGTAGAGAAAAAAAGAAAAAATTCTTCACGGGGAGAGAACAGAATTTACGCAATGTTATGCAATTTGAGACAAGAATTACGCATTTCTTGTCTAGAGGCCTAACAGGCAAGAAATTGCGGTTTCTGGCCACGAAGCCCGATTTGATTTGTATGTCACCATCCTTATGTTCCATTTTTCCGACAGACCGACGAATTCACAGCATATTCAAAAGACGCGCACACTCATAAAATTAAGATTTGGTTATTTTGACCCGCCCTCTTCCCGTTTGTTCATCTGCATCGAAAAAATTCCAATAGCTCATTGAAATTGGATCCGAAGATCGAAAATACCAGATAAGCAACAAATACGTTTAAATCCAAAAGGTTACAGTAATACAAGATCATATTACGGTAATCTAAAGGATTGTTCTCGCGGCTTATCGCCTTCGCCATCCGGTAGGGTCTCAAAAACGTATTTATCAGGGGCAAAGACACCCAGTGAAAATAATTTAGAAGAACTTCGTGCCGATTACAATATCCTCCCAGAAAAAATCCACTTTTAGTCTTACCAGGAATGCTTTTACACGGAAATTAGATAGATCCGAGAAATAACGACCAACCAGAAGGTCTACAAAAGAAAGACTGAATCAAAACTAGTGGAAAGCGATGGAGAAAACCGATTATGCAAATTTTAGGTCAAAAAAGTAAGATTTCAATCAATTTTTAGGAAAAACGAAGCAAAGGTGGAACCTTCGATCAGAAGACGCGTCGATTTTCGAAGAAACAATTAATTTCTCTTTCGAATCATCCAATCGGCCAAATCGAAAAGGAAGGGCCAACCATCCCATCAGCGATCGGAAAGTATTTATGATCGAAGTGTCGGAAATGGGAAGGATCCAATTCGGAGAACAACACAAAGACATTATGTTAATCTAGGACCACGGTCGTGGCCAAAAATGCGCATCTTTCCAAACAAAAACCCCCTTAATTGTACCATTTTGACCGATTGGCGAAGAACGCTCAACCCCACTCAAACGAAGGACTTTCAAAAAAGAGTCTGGAGCAGAGAAAACTCCAGCTACTCTTGCGATGGCTATCAGTAAAAGATTGATTTCATTCTTATCGATTTGCAGATTTCAAAAAATTTTAGATACCCATAATAAAAAAACATTCAAAACCCTGGAGAATAAAACCGCAAAACTGTTCACTTCCAATTTGTTTGGCTCGTTCTCGACCGTTCTCGGTTATTCGAGAACATCAGAGAAGAGAACGCCTCTTTTTACATTTCCGAAACATAGATATCAATATGATGAAGAAATCGATCAATTGGAAACGTCCCCAAACAATGATGAAGTAAGGGAAATTTGGAGTAAACAACAAACAGTTCGCAAAAAAATTGCAAGTAGAAAGTCCACGTGCCCGTTCCGAAAAAAATTCTCCTCAAGTTCAACTATAATAAACAAGAAAACGTAGATTTCATACTCAAAAACCCGTCCCTAGGCTGTTCCGACTAGTCGGAACAGGTAGAAAGACCTAACCAGCTGAATATTGCCTCAAGCAATCTTCACAAATCCAAAAAATGTATCATGAGGTTAGTTACTACAAGATCAGAAGGCAGATTCAAGGCATGTGGAGGGGATGGAGCAAGTCGTACCTCGGTGTACAGAATGTTTGGCAGGAATGGGCCGAATGACGCATTTTTGTAAGCCCATAAGATGACATATTTTTTGGACAAAACACGCGCCAACCCGTACTGCGCCCACACTCCTTCGGATTGGAGAGACGTCTTATACGATGGAAGATTTCCAAAGCGAGAAAATAGCAATAACAGGGAGAAGGTTGCGCGCCATTTGCTGTTTTTGGTAAAAGCAAGGTCTTTTTTGTATATCTGATGTTTTTAGCACTAATTTATGGATTTTTAGAGACATGGGATTGGAGTCGAAATTTGGAGACTCTTCGGACGAGAATTCTTCAGAAGACGAGCGAAAACAGAAGGATTCCAGCGACGATAGCGATAATTCAAGTTCAAACCATTCCGATGAAGAGGAAGACCGAGTGAAGAAGGTAATTTTTTCTTTGATTTTTTTCCTTGGTTTAGGTCTTCAAGTCCTTTATGGATAATATTCCTCTTCTTGCAGAATGCTAGTAAATCTTCGGACGACGACGATGAGGAAGACAAATCCCCTAGAAAGAAGCCAACAATAGCTTCAGACTCTTCCGATTCGAGTGCAGCCTCTTCTCCAGAGCCACCAAAGGCTTCGAAATCTCCGGAATCGGCGAAATCAAGTGATAAAGATGATAGTGATAAGGAAGTGGATGGAAAAGGCGACAATGAGGACAAGTCTGATAAGTCCGACGACGATGACGACGTTGTAAGTTCTCTTCTATTTTTGGTTTCTTGTTTTACACCGAATATATTATCCATGTTGTTCTAGAGAGGAAAGACAAAAGCTGATGCGATTTTTGGCAATGCCTTAAGCTCCAGTGAGGATGAAGAGCCAAAGAAGGAAGAGCCAGAAGAGGACTTGACTCCAGAGGAACGAGAGCGACGAGCAGAAGCTATGAGACAGCTTGCTGCGTCTTCAGATGAGGATGGTAAGCAGATTTTCGTGGTTAATATAAAATTTGGCCTCTTTTCTATTCAATTTCTGTGGTAATTGCCTGAAATTTTGCATACTACTGAAATATGGTTTCAGAAGGTCCTCGACGTCAGATTATGGAACTAACAGACTCCTATCCCAACTTGAAGATCAATCTCGGAAAGGGTGAGCCCATCTTCTTCCGGCCTCCAAATTTCCTCTCAATCGAACCCAAGCCCTTCAACAATCATCCAGAGGCCTATCAACGCGAGGTTGACGACGACGAAATCATTGATGAAGAAGGAAGAGCCCGGCTTAAATTAAGAATTGAGAATACAATAAGGTGGCGATGGGTAAAGGATCCAAAAACCGGCGAGTACAAGAAGCAATCCAACGCAAAAATTGTCAAATGGTCGGATGGAACGTAAGCCGCATTTCTTTTGCAATTTTCTCGATTTAGGATGTCGATGTATCTTGGCGATGAGATTTTCGAAGTCCAACGACAAGATGCCATGCCAAACATGCATCTGTACACACGTGTGGGTCCAGCTTTGCAGGCTCAGAAGATCTTCAAGCATAAATACACATTCCGACCGCATTCGACGGACACGGTAACTCATAGAAAATTGACAATGAACATGGCGGATAAGACAAATAAGGGACCTAAAGTGAAGTTGATGCATGAAGTTGGGCTGAATCCAGAGAGTCAAAGAAAGGTAAGGGTGATTACAGCTTTGGATGGGAATTGGAGCTGGTTTTAAGATATATTTGAGATGAAATATACATTACACTTGATTTTATTGTAGGAGATGGTCAAAAAAGAAGAAGAAGCACTCCGAGCTGCCGCCAGAAGATCTGCACAACAAAGGAGAGTCCGAGAGAGAGCTAGAGAAGTTGGCCTTACCAGTGGATTCATCGAAGGAGACGATTCAGGAGGTATTTTTTGTTATATTGCACTTGTTATTTTTCGATATCAAAGTTATAAGAATTTTGTCATATTTTTAGATGAGGGTGATCTGGGAGCAATTAAAAGGAACTTCAAGCAACAGCGACCCTATCATTCTTATTATTCGGATGATTCTGAAGAGGATGAGAGATCCAGAAGAGTCCTCAGAGAAGCCAAAATCATCGATTCGGACTCTGATGACAATAATGCAACAACCTCCAGGGAACGCAAAAAGCATAGAATTATTGACTCGGATGATGAGGATTAAATATGGGGGTTTTTAGAAGGAAAATTACATTTAATGTATTGAATAACTTACAATTAAAACACGATTTCTGAGTCAGTGAAGCAGCTTTCAGTTAGGCCGTGACATAGAAAATTTCGATCTCGGGTTTTTTGCCTTAGTGTAACCGCCATCGTCCTATAAATCCATTGGCAAAACAGTTTTCCCTACCCCCGCCGTTAACACAGTTATTTTTACAATTTATTGTTTATACAGTAATCCACAGTAACTCAGTAATGACCTTACACACCTTCGTGAAGTTGTGTATACTGATGTTTTCGAACTCGTAGATTTCAAAAAAAGTGGTTTTGACTCATTAGGATTACTGTAACATACCAAACTGCCGATACGACCGCCAAAAATCGGCCGTAAAAAGTTTGTTTCTGAAAACCCACAGCTGATTTTTACATATGTTAATCAGCATAAAATTCTGCCCTATAAACGTTAAAAAAAAGTCCAAAAAGTGGGGCGGCATTTTTCATGGTATAGTGGTTTTCGGTCAGAACTACCAATCCAGCGTCCCGAGTTCGAGTCCGCCTGGATGCAAAAACCAAAAATAAAACGTAAATTAGCTTTAATGTGGTCTTGAGGTCCGTATGAGGGAGACTGAATAATTTTAGACATAGATGATATCCTTAGTTGAGATAAAAATGGATTTTATATAATTTTAGATGATAAATTCGTGAAAAATAAAACGTCTTCAAATAGCTTGAAATTGATAAACGATCTTCTAGGAATAATTCTAAGCAACTTTTCCGTTGGCTTTTTTTGATTGCTTACTGTAACATGGAGTACTGTAACATAAAACCCGATTTAGTTTTTCACATACCACAGAGCGCAGAGGCATCGGACTATCACTGTTATGATAGAAATGGTTAAGAATGAGTCGGTTGGGACACCAAAATGTTTCTATGACCGTACGATTCAAAAGCCCTGAGAAATCTCCCGAAGTTTCACCAATTGACGATGATATGAATACACACTGGAATAGAGATGGAATTTTATTTTAAATATGCAGCGCGTATGGTTTCAACCGTTTGAAAAAGATAACCAAAAAAATTTAAAATTTTCGTTGAAGAATTTAGAAGAAAACCACGGTTAAAGAAAAAGAGTTTTATGTTACAGTACTCCATGGTACAGTAAGCAATCAAAAAGAGCTAACGGAAAAGTTTCTTAGAATTATTCATAGAAGAGCTGTTATCAATTTCAAGCGATTTGAAGACGTTTTATTTTTCACGAATTTATCATCTAAAATTATATAAAATCTATTTTTATCTCAAATAGAGATATCGCACATGTCTAAAATTATTCAGTCTCCCTCATACAGACCCCAAGACCACATTAAAGCTAATTTACGTTTTATTTTTGGTTTTTGCATCCAGGCGGACTCGAACTCGGGACGCTGGATTGGTAGTTCTGACCGAAAACCACTATACCATGAAAAATGCCGCCCCACTTTTTGGACTTTTTTTTAACGTTTATAGGGCAGAATTTTATGCTGATTAACATATGTAAAAATCAGCTGTGGGTTTTCAGAAACAAACTTTTTACGGCCGATTTTTGGCGGTCGTATCGGCAGTTTGGTATGTTACAGTAATCCTAATGAGTCAAAACCACTTTTTTTGAAATCTACGAGTTCGAAAACATCAGTATACACAATTTCATGAAGGTATGTAAGGTCATTACTGAGTTACTGTGGATTACTGTATAAACAATAAATTGTAAAAATAACTGTGTTAACGGCGGAAGTAGGCAAAACTGTTTTGCCAATGGGTTTCTAGGACGATGGCAGTTATATTAAGGCAAAAAACCCAAGATCGAAATTTTCTATGTCAAGGGCTGCTACACTCACTCAGAAATCGTGTTTTAATATTGTTGTGATCTTCATTTAGTTATAAATTGTTGGAATATCATTCATATGGGGGATTAATGTCTCCTTGATTGTTACGCTACGATCTTGCTATCAGCTTCAGTTTTGTTTGGCGATTTTTACCTTGTTTATTTGCATTTGTCATGTGTAATATAATTTTTTGAATTTTTTGGACTGGGATTGGGACGTTTAGAATTTTTGGCCTTCTTATGGAAATTTTTGGCCATTCATCTTTCCTTTTGTCATGATTCCCACCATTTTCCCGTCTTTTTCGCAAAACGAAAATTGAAATTCGTACAAAACCAAAAGCCGTTTCGTCTCCCTCCCTCGCCTCGCTTTCGTATTGATCAAACAAACCAAACTTTCCGAAGGGCCCTGTTTCGAACTTGAATCACCCTCCTTCGTCTTGTTGGTCACCAATTCCCGTCATATCTTTATCGTGGTTTAGATGACTAAAGTAATTTTTTTGATTTTTTCTTGGTCCAAGATTCTTTTTTTGACAAGCCAGTTTGTAGGAGACGTATTTTACACGGTTTCTGTCTTTATCGAAAATTTTTATTTTATTTTTGATACCAATTATTTACATTTGCCGATATTATCCTTGATGGATATGGTCCATTAAAATTGTGTTGTGTGACAAAGTGCCGGTCCGAATTTCTCACTTGAATGCCTTTTTATGTTTTATTGGAAATTTTTATGGGGTTTTATTATATTCGAAGCATGTTTATCATCTTCAACCTTCTTTTTGTTTGCTTTTTCTTGAAAATTGGCTTGTTTAAGGGTGAAAATGTGCAATCTAAATCTTATATTTAATATTTTTAGGAGTTTATGACATCGTGAAGATAGGAATTGTCACAGTTCGAATAAGTTTTCTCAAATTTTTATTTTTTTTTACCTAATACACAAAAAAATGAAAAATAAATTAATACTGTAATTACCGATTCATCCTCCAAAAAAATCCGAATGCTTCGGAACACATCTAAATTGTAATGAATACTCTAATTCCCTCCAGAAAGTCTTCATTCCCCTCCAAAACCACTTTTTTACGACCTTATAGTAAGTTGAATTTTAATCAGAAAAGAGATTATTTTTGATATTCCCTTAGGGACGTTCAGGTGGAGGACTTCGTCTTTCTTCTTTCTTTTCCATTGTCAATTGCTTTTTTATTCGATAAACAAACATTTGAGGGAACTTATTTTTTAAACTTTCGTTTATTGATATTGGATTTTTAAGGTGATTTGAGGGGAAATAAGTAGTTTTTGAAGATTGATTATAGGTTTTAATTGTTTGAAATATCATTTACAAGTCCTAGAAAGAAAGAATTTACCTAGTTTTACCTTATTTTAGGTCAAAATTACAGTAGGACTTATATTATTTTAGATTTTTTGGACGAAAAGTCGAAAAACTTGAAGCATTCGTATTTTAAATCCAATGTTTCAATAAATTTCCGGCCCAAGAATGCTGTTTACCCTCCCCTCCACACCCTCCAACCAACCGAATATTGTTTTCGATATCAGTTCGGGCTTATCTTGAGTGGCTTTTCCCCGTCTTGGGAGGGGTCAAACCTAAAGTAAAGTGAGTGAAAAGGAGGCCAGAAATGTGTGTTTCAAGTCCAGAATTTCCAAATAAAACGACTTGAGGCGGAAGAAACGGAACGTCTATTCTTCCCCCCACAATTGTTTTCTTTTTGGCACTTTCTTGCTTTCCGTTTTTTTGGGATGATTGAACGCCGTTTTTCAGGGTTTGCAGAAGGTGATATGCGGAAAAATTTAGGAGGATTTTGACAATTTTTTTCGTTACACTTTGTGTTGTAGTAGATTTGATGAGATAATAATTTCATTAGGTACCTCTCAAAACTTAGTTTTCTTCCAGAAACTTTATTTTTGAGCTGTATTGAGCATTTTACCAAAGGGCTACTTCGAAAATTTGAAGAGTTTGCATAATTTTCCGGATATTCACATTTTGTTTTAGTTCTTTTGGAGTACGTGCGTGTAGTCGTAATGCGATTCACAGTTTAATTTTACCATTAGGCATGTTTTGAGACCAAATTTATATTATCTATGGCATTTTTTGCTGACTTTCTTGGGCTTCACTGTGACCAACGCCAGTATTTTTATGGCGTCTGTGGTGATTCTAGAGTACTAAAGACAAAGTCTATGTAATGTAATGATTGTAAAATAGGTTCTTCATGGCAGTTTTTAGAGATAAATTTTATATTATCCATGGCACTTTTTTGATGATTTTTTTGTTGCTTTTGTTGTCGAAATTGAGCAAATTTTTCCTACACTGGAATTTAGAGGACTATCAGAAATATTTGTGACCGGTTTTATGTCAATTTTACAGTTGCAAAATACGTTATGACCCAATATGTTTTTTTCCACTTTGTCTCTGAATTAGACTCATTTCTCCCTCTTAATCTCGTTCCCTCCCATTACCTTCGATCCTCCACGTTTTACCGATTCCTTTCACTGATTGTTTCCCCCGTCAACGACTGATTTGACAAAGCAACCAATGTTTATTTTCCGTTTTCTTCGCGCAAAGGTCATGGTGACGAAGGAATCAGGGGAAATTTTACTGGCGAATATCCCCGGTGCATCTTTTTATGGAACCCGATGTTTATTTTTCCCTGTTGGAGATCTGTTTACGTCAGATTTTTTTGGTAAACGTTCCGTTTCGTGAATCAGTTTTTGTAGGCAAAAGACGAAAAGTTTTTTGGCTCGGGAATTGAAAGTTTAGGACGACAAATTTTTTAAGAATGCTTTAAATTATGGGTGACTTTTAAAATACGCATACTTTCACCTTGATGAAGTTTTTGGGATGATTTTTTATATTACACTGGATGGCCAAAGGAAATTTGTTTTTTTTTTTGATTTTTTGCTTTTTTTCAAATTAGGTTTTGTATTCTAATTGAATATATAGGCCTCAAGGATATTAACCACAGTATTTTCAGTAATTTTAATATGATTTTCCAGTCGCTATGCCTTGTATTTTGTAATTGATGACTAATGAAAAATTTAGATTTTTTTTGCGATTTTTGTGATTTTTTTATTATAATTTATTTTGTTGTATAACATATACGGTCTAAAGGTTCATATGGTACTATTTTTTGCTCATTTTGGCAGTGATTTTTCGGTATATTGTACAACATGACCAATGAAAACTTTTGGTTCTTGTGCAATTATTTGACGATTTTTCATTGTTTTTCTTATTCTAAGATAATGTCTTGGACGTAAGGGTTCTAATGGTATCATTTTCCATAGTGTTTGCTTCTATTTTGAACTTTATCCACCTTATTTTACATTACCTTACCCTTGACCAAAATTGGAGGCGATTTCTTTGTATTTGATTTATCTCGTGAATTCCCAAAAAAGTTTACATCTAAAAGAGTCAAAAAGTCGTATAATGGCCTCGAAATTAGCGCCGGCTGTCGCGCCCTCCGGCTCTGACACTCGGAATAAAAAAAAACGCACGGCTCACCTAACTTTGCTCTCCCATTTGCAGGTAAATTAGACCGAGGCGCGAAGAAGGAGGGGGCGAGAAGATGGCGAGCCGAGGAGACGAAACGACGGTGGCGGTCGACCCCACCATCCCCACCCAGCAGCCGGGCATCGAGCTGCGCCGCTTGGAGGACGACGACGAAGACGAAGAAAAATTGAAATTCCAAAACAATATCAAGGACGAGGAGGACAGCAGCGGATCCAACAGTCCGGCAACTTCACGCCGAACCCCCGAACAACGCCCTTTCTTCAAGGTAGGCAACAATTTTTGCAGTGTTGACATTTATTTTATATATGGTTGGATAAAGTAGAATATAGGTGGGTAAACAATGATAGTGATGATTGACGGATTAATCAGAGGATTTGTTAGGTGATTAGGGGATTTGGGACGAGTATCAGAGAGTTTACTCGTATTTTTGTCCGGATTATGGCCACTGGAGTGAAAATATCACCTTGTGTAAGGTAAATTTTGTGGTTTTTATGGTGAAATTTAGTGTGGAGTAGTTATTTGAGTTGTTGATTGATGATAGGGTTAGCGATTAAAATCAGAGAATTTAAGTAGCCTTAAAATCGGTATAGACATTATTTTCACATTTTTTTAAAAGAAAAAAATTGTTTTTGCGCGGTGCACCGCGGTGTACAGGGATGAAAAATGGATCGCACAGGGCGATTTTTGATGATCAAAAATTTGATTGCGCTTTGCGAATATTCGAAAACTAGCCTTTTTTTGAAATATCTGATATTACTTTAGACATGAGCTGTTTTGAGGTACATTAGGTAGCCAAATCACCTCAAAACCAGATAATTTAGACAGTACTTTCCTCCTTTTTTCTCCTGTTATCATTTAGAGAGACTTGATTTTGCATTTTTAAATAAAAAATTCAAAAAATTTCTAACCAAATTCAAATCGTTAAACCCTTCAAAAACAAATTTTTAGACCGTTTCGGTTCTCTGAATTTCCCATCCGCCTCTCTTGACGTTCGAAACGCCCGATTTCGGATCAGCGTAGTATAAAATAACAATAGAGAAAAAACTTTATGGGAAAAAAGAAAAATGGGGATTACGCAGCGAAAACAGAAGCACAGTCATCCAAAAAAAAAGAACAGTCGACCTTTCTGGGATCCTCAATTCGCGGAGACTTGATTGGAAGTCTACGTCGGGAACTCTGATTGGACTATGCATGACGTTTTCTATAATTTTTGGACCTAAATTAATACTTTAGTATCTAAAGTAATATATTTTTGAGCTAAAGTCATATTTTAAAGCCTATTTCGAAGGCTTTTCGGCTATTTTCTACTATTTTTGACTATACAATTTCATTTTTTACAAATTTGAAAAATGAAATTTGAAAAAATCAAGGAGTACCTGCTTTTATGGAAACATTTATTGAGCACCACAATCCCCAGTCTTGCCTCCACCCTGGACAAAAAATCTATGGAGAATTTTGTCGAAATCATAGACCAGTCTCGTCTAGAGTTTAGGAATTTCATCGACTGTTTGAAAAGTTTTGTAAGTAAAATTTCGTAAGTAAAAGGTGTCAACAAAGTTATTTTGCGAACTTTTAAGTGGGCTAATTATAGTTTTTGGGGTATAAAATGTAAGTGAATTTCATTTTTCGTAGTTTTGACCAGCGTTTTGAGTAGTAAAGACGAATTTTTTCAGAAATCTGTCGATAAAACGGTGGAGTCCCCTTTTGTTTCAAAGTAAGTTTAATTTTTATATTTTTTATATTGAAAATTTCTTAAAAGGTGTGTAAACTACTATCTAAATTTTCAAAAATTCATTTCCCATTAACTGAAAGTCATTATAAACCTCTTTTCCCATCGTTTTCTGCAAAATAAGCCGATTTTCCTCATGAATAATATAAATTTTGTCATAAAATTTGGAAAAAATCCAATTTTTTTGGAAGAGATTCCGAGTGTATGTCGCTGAAAGGAGTGCCAGGGGTTTTACCTGCCCTTTGTTCGAGTACTTACCCGATTTCAAAACTGATGACACGCTGATTCAGCGCTTTACAAACAACCCACCTTAATAAGACGATTCCGGGTTTAAACTTTTTTTTGATTGTTTTCCCAAAACAAATTGTTTAAACTGTTCTTCATTTGGTGTTTTTACAATCAATGGATGACTTCATTACTCTAAATTCGCAAAGAAAATATAGGTATTACCTCATATTTATTATTTTTTTTATTTTCGAAAAAAAATTTTATTTAAAAATTTGAATAATCAAATTTCAGTGATCTCTCGAACCGATGGGGTGCCTTGGTGTGTCTGGCCGCTCTCAACTTTGCCTGCACTCTCTCATGGGCCTCCGTTGGAGCCGGCGCCCAATATTTTAACGAGTTTTATGGATTCAATGTACGTTTGTATCGGAAATACTTTAGATTTTGTTTTTTTTTACTCTGGTAATATAAATTATGCCCGTTTTCAGACAGCAGCCAGCTGGTTGTCGATGGTCTACACATTGCTCATGATTCCAGCCGCGATTGTTACAGTAGCTTTAGATTTGTTTTTCGGCGTCAGATGCACTTGTATTGGACTGTCGGTTTTGGTGGCGGTATCATTGTTCTTCAGAGCTCCGTTGTAAGTTTGTTTTTTGGAATATGCAGATATTTTCGAAAATTTTAAATTCCCATTTTTTATAAATATCTAAAAAAAATTTTTTTAATCTGTTATAGATGGCTAGTAATACAGTAGTTTAAAAAAATAAAAAACATTTTTTTATTTTTTTTTATTCTTCAGATTTTGCGCGGAAAATTCAAATTTCAAGTCAAAAAATTTTAATATCCGAATTTTTATTTTGGAGGCCTGATATGCAAATTTACATATATTTTTGCAAAATTTTGGCCTTTCATGCATACTTTTTGTTCCTGTAAACATAATTATTTGAAAATTTGCGAATTTAAATATTCAAATTTTCAGCGAGTTCCTGCCCTTCTCACCGAAAGCTCACTTCATCCTCCAAATCATTTCCCATTCCCTAACAGCCATCGTCTACCCCGGAGCGACCATTCTTCCCCTCAAATTCGTCCTACGATGGTTCCCTCAAGACCACAAAATCTTCGCCGCTGGCGCCACTTTCCTCGCCAATTTGAGTGCAATTCTGGTCGCCGGATTATTGGCCGGTGGTTATGATAATTGGAACTTGTTGGGAGAAACTGGAGTACCCTATTACAACTTGTTTACTGGCCTTCTCAATTTCATCATTGGATTCTTCTCGGTGATTGTGTTGACAAAAGTTTTGGACAAGGGAGCACATCCAGAAGAGCCATGTCTTGTTGATGGTAATGAGAATTTATTTTTTGGGAAATTTGTTGAAGGCAAGAGGTCCCATTTTGATGAAGTTTGGCATAAAAAAATATTCGAATTTTTGGAGACGAATGAAAAAAAAAGTTTTTTTTGTTAATTTTTGCATCTTCAGACCTCAAGAAATTCGCCAACAAACGAGCCCTTGGAGTGGCGCTTGCAATTGCATCGAATCTTGCCGTTTTCAACCTGATCCTCACCATGTTACACCCCATTTTGTGTTCATCATTACACGAACGAGACTTCTCCAGCATGGCATTGGCGACGTTTGTAATCGGAGGTCTCAGTGGAATATTATTTGCTGGATTGATTGTGGATTTCACGAAGAAACAGGACGAATGCTTTAGAGTGAGTTTTTGGGTGTCAAGTGTAATATAAAAATATAAAAAATGATCGGATGGTGGCTCTAAAAGGCTTCTAATTGAAAATAAATGAGACTACTGGAAGATTGACCTCTAATTATTGCAATTTCAGCTCGGCAGCGGTCTCTGTGTCCTCATGCAGCTCCTTTTTTTCCAACTTATTCTCCATGACAAACAAAACAAACTGATTTTTGTTGTCATCGCGTTTGTCGGCGAATTTCTCCTTGGCTTGGTTCCGCTGGGACTCTCAGTCCTCTCCAAGCGACTGAATGGCTCAGCCGAAACTCTTCCAGTCGCCATTACAGTAATCGCCGGACAACTTTTGAGTGTTTTGTATCTGATGGGAATGCAAAAAGTCTCCAAAGAACTGTCTCCGGGAAAAGGGAATGCCGTGAATGCGTCGAAAATTTGCGAGTCATATGCCCCTGGGTTCTCTGTCAACGCGAAGGATTGGACTTTGTCCGTTATGGTAGGAAATTTGAGATTTTTTTTGGAATTTTGATGACTTTTTCGAGAAAATTTCAATTAATTTTTCAGGTGGTTTCGGTGATCTCCACGGTAATTTTGATTCTACTCTACGTATTGGACCGAAAGACCAAGAAAAAGAGTACTCCCGAGGAATTGCAAGCACAATCAGCAGCCACTCAGACTAACGGTAAGGAAGTTGTGTCTAAAGTAATATAAATTTGATGATTTTTTGATCAACAGCAGGGTTTTATTTTTTCTACTTACGTTTTAATGTAATTATATTTCCAGCTGACGAAGTTGAGACCCCATTGGACACGGTGATACGCACCGGCAAGGTCTGACGACCCTATTTTAGATATTTATTCCCATTTTTTTGAACACTCTTATTTATCCGCCCATCTAAACTCATTTCAAGTCTAGTCAACCCGTCCTCCTGTCCATTCTGTCACTTTTGATTTCACTGTGATTGTATTTATTTCTCAATTCTCCAAAAATTCACTTTTTTTGCAAAATGTGGTCTCCGAAAATCGATATGAAAATATAAGATATTATATATACTGATTATCCCTATGAATAAACCTAACTGACTATTTGGACTGACTTTTTGAGACTGGAGGGGTTTAGGATTTCAAAAATTTGAATTTCCGCCATTTTTGGCATTGTGTTTTAGAGGTTATAAATGTCATTTGAGGTGGGTAAGATATCAAATAGCCGGTAAATGGCAGCCTACACTACTTGTTTAGGTCATAAATTGGTATTTTTCGTTGATTTAGGGACGTCGGTGTCAAATATATTATCCATGACATCTGTCGAAAAAAATGATGCCTAGTATAATATAGGCACGGCCCATGATAAGTTCAAATAAAAGATAATAATTTGTGAGGTATAAAAAAACAAAAATTGGATAAAGAAAGTTTACAAAACACAAAAAATTGGACATCAGGTTGCCTAAAGTAATGTCGACCTAAAACAACACAAATCTCTCCTCTCCCAGCTGGTTCGGTTAATATATCATCAGAGAGATCAGATAAGCTCTAAAAAAATATATTTTGTCCATCGCCATCAATACGCACAATCTTATGTAATCAAAAAAAATTTCGCCGCACAGTGCGATTGACAGAAAAATAGATCTCCGCACTGTGCACTCGACTTTCGCGCGAATCGATTGCACAGTGCAGAATTTTTCAAACTTTGTGCTTGAGATTCAAAGAATAGGCAATTGTTTCTCGACTACAGATACTATACTATTGTGTTCAGGTGGTATTGCAGACCAAACGGAGGCCTCTCCCAAAAGACTTGAACCAATTCCACCTGTCGCCGTGGAGGTCAAAAACTCCGTCAAAGAACGAATTCAAGACTTTGAAATCCCAGTAGTTTCGTCTAGTATTTGGTCTCACAGACATTTCTCTACAATTTTTTTGTATTCAACTTGGCCTGACGTTGTTCTAAACACAAAATTTTGAAATTTTTTTCGGCTATAATTCATATCATTACATTTTTATTTTTTCTTGGAGTTGATTTTAATGGGTTGCGGAGCGTCCCAACACTCCCAGCTCCTCCCTCACCCCAAAGTTGCCACCAAATATGGTGAAATTGAGGGGAAACGGTATCTTCTTCGAGACCGACGAGTGGTAAACGTCTTTCTGGGGATTCCTTTTGCCGCGCCGCCCATTGGAGATCGTCGATTTCGACGGCCAGAATCGCCTCAGCCCTGGAATGAGACTTTGCAATGCAAACTCTACAAGAAACGCCCGATGCAACCCAATTTTATTTGGGATTTGAGACGTACTGGGAAGGGAGTGAGCGAAGATTGTCTCTATTTGAATATAATGGCACCGGCTTGGGAAAATAAAGAGTTCAAAAATGGGTATCCAGTGTTTTTGTACGTTCATGGAGGCGGGTATGTGCTCGATTCCGCAGCTGGCTACAGATATCAGGACTTGTCAAAGTAAGGACCATCGCACTGTGCAAAATTTTATTTTTTTCGCACTGTGCAGTCATCTGAAAACTTGACTGCACTGTGCGATTTTTTGAACTGCACCGTGCAATCAACTTTTGTCGCTGATTTGCACTGTGCAATTTTTTGAAACTGCACCGTGCAATCAATCTTTGTCGCTGATTTGCACTGTGCAATTTTTGCCATCTCATTGTGCAAAGCTTCGAAACTCATCTGCACCGTGCAGTCAACTTTTGTCGCTGACTTTTCATTGTGCAATTTTCCCCACCGCACTGTGCAAAGCTTCGAAACCCCTCAGCACCGTGCAATCAATTTTTGTCGCTGACTTTGCACTGCGCAATTTTTTGAAACTGCATGGTGCACTCAACTCTTGTCGCTGACTTTGCACTGTGCAATCAAATTTTTTTACAGGCAACTTGTCTCCAAAGAAGTGATCGCCGTGACAATCGAATATCGCCTCGCCTACTTTGGGTTCTTCTGTCTCGATGATAAGCATTGCAAAGGCAACTTTGGAATGTGGGATCAGGCCAAGGCCATCAAATTCGTCAAGGATAACATCGCAAAATTTGGTGGAGATCCCGAAAAGATCACCTTGTGCGGGCAAAGTGCTGGCGGAACTTCTACCGATCTTTTGAGCTTGTCTCCAATCACTCGAGGTAGAAATTTGTATTCAGGTTTTTTTGATGTTCAGGTCTCTTTCAACAAAAAATTTGTATGGCCGGATCGGCGGAGAATCAATGGGCGATGAGCGAGAAAGAATGGGTAATCAAATTCTGTCGAGAAAAAGCGTTAGCAGAGGGATTCGAACGGACGTCGGATTGTAAGCCCAAACATCATTTAACTCTATATTATACTAGACAAAACCATATCTAAAACTTTTATTTTTAGCCGAAGAATGGACGGAAAAGGAGAACCAAGAATGTATGGAATTCCTGCGGAAACTTCCAGCCGGCCGACTCAACTATCCAGTGCACAGTAAGTTGTTTTAGCTCATTAAAACTATAAAAACCTCAAAAATTGCAAAAAACGTCAAACTTTTTTGAATTTTATTATCAAAACAATAAGATAATAGCACTTAAGATGATTAATTTTTCATGAAACATCTGGTTAGGGTCTAATCATTCAACAACACAAAAATTATGGCGAAAAGTCCGAAAAATGTCAAGGAGAATATCAATTTACCGTCTGTAATGCTTTACGCGGGCTCTCGGAGCCGCCTCTTCTACGTAGCGGATCTGAGTGCGGCCGTTTGAAGCTCTCTGGCTTCTTTGACCATCTCCTGAATAGGATACACGTTGATGGATTCGAGATGGAGCTTGTTCATAAGAAACTGGCCGGGAGGTTCGGACCTCCGAACTGAAGTTTCGGTTCACAAACACTCTGCTGGTCGAAGGTTGAGTGGTCCTAAGGAAGAAAATAAAAATGGGTGTGAAATAACTTACGCGAATCTTTGCCTTCTCTCCTCTCGCAGAATTTCATCACTCCGAAGCCTTGACACAACTTGGGGAGAGGCTTGAGATCGCTTCTGAATTACCCGGCTTTGATTTCTGATTGGAATGTCATCAGCCACCGTCAGGGCATGGCCTTGTTTGACTATTCTGGTTCGGGGTTGAGAACTTGATGTGGCTAAAACAATATAGTCAGAAAAGTGACAAGAAGGTGCTAGATACATTCCCATCAATCGTAAGCAGCAAGAGATACCATTCAAATATTAGAAAAAGTACATTACTTCCACAGTATACTGCTTTATACCTAAAAATGACAAGAAAAGAACATTGCACTCACCTTGGCTGGAAGAAGAGACGTTATTCGAAGAAACTTGGCGAAAGACAGATGGGTTTCCATTAGTATCCCGAATATAATGAAGGATAGCCAACTATAAACATTACTTTACATAAAACAACACCTTCTTTTGCTTACCTGGTCTCCAAGAGCAGTTACACCAAGACTTCTGAGCTCTTCCTTCCCCAGATCCTTCAACATGTACGGCTGGATTCTCTCGAGTGTGAACTTGGCGGCGTATTGCCTCTGCACCTTGGTAGGCAGATCACAGGCGGCAAAAAATCTCTCCCAAACTTCTAAACTCAAAATAAACTATAAAATAATGGGAAATTTACCGCGCGGACTGGCCATTTGATGTGGAATATTGAGATGATCAAGTGAAGAGTTTGAAATGCGCAGTTTATGTTGTTCAGAGTGAGGACCCGAGGAGAAAGAAATATGCGAAAAACGAAAGCGAAAACAATTTCCAGGAAAAGCCGCAGTTCGCGCCCAGATGTTGTACAACTTGGGGACATTTTATACGATTAGTTTAAATTTCGAATTTTACCGTATCTTCTTGGTTTTGTGATTGTAAATTGCACAATAGCCAATATTTTTGAGGTTTTCATGGTTTTAGATTTGATTTAATAATTAATTTTATGACAAATGAAGGTTTTTGTATCTGTCTCTACTACAATATATTTTTAGAGGAGGGAGTGCGATTATTCCGCAACCAACGACTTTCTTTGACTCCAGTAATGGATGGGGAGTTCCTACCGAAGCCTCCGGGACCTCTTCGTCGAGAAGCTCCTCCAATGCCAACAATTATTGGCGTCACAAAGTACGAATCTCTAATTTTCCGTAAGAAAACCACCCTAAATCATCGGTTTTTAGTGTTTCTCGCAAAACAACGGGTAAATCAGAAGACTCTCCGATACTGCGAAGAAACCTTCGAGTCAATGGCGAAAGCATTGAAAGGAAAAATGGATGACAGCGATATCATGACATTGCAAACATTCCGCGACATGTACGGGATAAATGATATGATGAAGAAGGACAAGAAAGCCCTGGGACTCGCGATAGTGAAGATATCCAGCGATGTGGTGAATAATGCGGCGACACATAGCTATTGCATTAAAGCTGCGAGCAGTTCGGCCCCATGTTGGAGATATGTCCTGGAGCAATTCCAGCCCGCCCAGACCCGAATATTCAATCCATTCTTTCCATTCAACGGTAATATACTGTACTTTATGAAATTTTTCATCTTTTGAGACTTGTTTGACCTATCTAGGCCGCTCTAAAAATATTTACGTCACTTTTTTCAATTTGATCTCAAGTGTAATATAATAATTTGCTTTCCAGGTGCCACCCACTGCACGGATCTCATCTATCTCTTCGATTTCAACTTTTTTCAAAACTTTTGGATCAAAACCCCTGCGGATCGCAAAATGCAACACATTTTTCCGACGTATTTTACGAATTTTGTCAAATACGGAGATCCCAATATTTGCACCAGCGACAAAAGTAGTAATACTACAGATTTGGTGTATTGGGAGCCGATAACCGCCGAGAAACCAGAGCGACAAATGTTTTTGCGGGCCGAGCCTTTTATGGGGGACAATCCGGATCGCAAAAGATTGGATCGGCTCTGTGTAATGTGGAATTATTTCTGTGAAAATTTGGGCTACGCCATGAATAAATAGTACTATAGGCTTAGAAAATTCTTTTGAAACCCCAATCGCATAAAAGGAATATAATTTTAAGGAGTTTTTGTCTTGTTTTACACTAAATTTGTCATGTGTAATATAAAAAACGATGATTTTTGCAAATTTTTAAATTTTATTCACTTTCTAAGTCACCAGAAAATACTCCAGACAATTTCTACTAAATTCTAGCTTATTTGCATATATTTCTGATTAATTTCAAAGCCCTGTTCAACATTCTTCAAGTGTAATATCACTAATCCTTGGCCGACAGTTGACGGCCCGATCCCACCCTCTCAGAGGCAAATGTTGTTTGTGGTTTTGACAAGGGATCAACAAAAGCAAGCCGAGATGACATGTTTTTTTGATCATGGACGAGGTTGAAGGGAAAAATATCAAATAATTGTGATACGAAATTTGAGAACTTTTTTGAGTTATTGACGGAAGTTGAGGGTGGGTGATAAAAATAAATTCTAGGCGTTTGATGAGAGGTGAATTAGTTATTCAAAAAATACTTGAGATGGAAGGATTTTTTGTTTTTTGGGCCAAAAATTGGCTTTTTTGTCAAAGGCAAGCCAAAAATTAGGTTCTTCAAAATAAATCGCTCGTATCTTGCATGTTTTTGCATAAACTTATTTAAAAATTTTGAAAATCCTTTGAATTTCTCTTAAGACCTGCCAATTTTCAGAAAAAATCGAGTGCTTACTTTTGGAGTACTGTAACTTTTTTTGTCATCATTTTCCACCTTTTTATTTTTTTGAATCCTATGATTTTAGCAAACGTATTTTACCCCTCTCCAATTCGATTTACTGCGCGAGATTAATTGAAGTTGTCCCTTCTTTCCTCCGCCCGCAGATGCCAACAAATGGTGGGGAGTAATCCCTCAAAAGAATCCCAAAATTTTATTTCCAAAAATTGAATTGGCCGAGAAAAGTTTTCCCTTTTTCCGAAGATTATGTCCGTTATAAAGGGGGGCGGATTACCGCCGACTCTTCGCAAGTGGTTTTTATGGCCAATTTAGGTCACAATCGGAGGGTCTTGCCTCAGGGCAATTATGGAATTTGGTGAGTTTGGCCACAAATTTTTTCAAAAATTTTGGATTTCGTAGGAGTAAACGATTTTGAGGTAATTTGGGGCGAAATTTCAAGTGGATTCGACGAAAATCTTACTGTAATTTCGAATTTTTCTATTTTCATTACCCGAAACAGCCTTTCAGCTCGATTTGTAGCGACTTGATTGATCATTTTGGCCATTGTTTTTGATCTCCCGGCCATTAAATCAAAACATTTTCATTAAACTTTTGACAATTTCAAATGATTTTTTGCCCAATCAATCTTTTTACATCTGTCGTTTGAAATTTCGCTTTTGATCCAATATGAATACTTTTCAACGACAATTTACATATTTGTTTGTTTGGGAATATCCGGATATCAAATTATATTTGCATTTTTTTGGGAAGTACGGGTAAAGTGCAACTTGAAATTCTCCCTCCGGCATTTTTTTTGGAGAAGAGGGTGGATGGGAATATGAAAGGGATTGAATGGCCATTTAAAACTGGTTAGGGGACTTTTGAGTTTGTTTTTTAAATTTGTACTCGAATTATGAAAATGAGATTTTTAGATTTTTGGATTTTTTAATTTTGACATAACCCGCCAAAAATTTAGATTGTGATTTTCTAGGACATGTACAAGCTTCTTAGACGGCCAAAAATGTATTGTTTCCACTGCAAAGCTTTCCTTTTTTTGATTAACCTCTCAATATTAATGTAGCTGATTTTTATAAAAAAAAGTTAACAAAGGAACTCAAAAATATGTGTAAAAGAACACGTATTTTTAAAAAAATCCCGATTTCTACGAACTCTAAAATCACTCACAGAGAAAGATTTTTTTGAGCTCGTTTTACAATTTTATGAAAAGAAAAGTAGTGGAGTTTTTGTAGGAAAACGCTGTTTCAAAACATAAGTTTTTCTTTCGTATTTAAAAATCCCAAATTTTTGTGCCCCAAAATCTCGCGCACTTGTCCTCAAGACCTCCAGTCCCAATGGAACGGGTCCGAAATGGCGGTTGTTTATTTGAGCCCCTTCTTTTCCCCGATCGGCTTTGGTTTCAGCCGATTTGGTGAAATTTCTTGTCAAAGGAAGGCTCAGTAAATATGCAAATTCTCAAAGACTGTGAAATCTTCTTCTTTGAGTATTCTTTTCCAATTTGGATCAAATTTAAATTCCTGCAAATCTTAGCGTATGCTTTGCTTCTGCAGCCGAGATATTCAACAATCTTTGCAGATCAGAGACTATGGAAAATGAAGAGACACGTTTCTCTGCCATATTTTTGCAAGTTTTTTTACGCGGGAAAAGCGCAACTTATTGCACAAAATGTTTGAACACGTATTTTAAAACACGTTATATCATATTTTCACCTAATAAATCGATTTTAAAAACATGATGATTTCAAAAAATTTTCGAAAAAACTTTTTTCATCGTTTATTCCAGTTAATTGCAGGGTACCCAAAAATGCAAAAATCCGTGTCATTGGATGTCGCATTATGCGAGGAGGCGTTAATTACAGGGTACGGCGAAAATTCGCGTAAAATTGTGATGAGTTATATGGGGCACGTCATTGTAGGGAGATTTTACGGGGAAACGGAAGGGTTTTCGAGTTGTCTGGACGGCGATGACTCGACTTTTGTATTGTATACGGTGAGCAAGGCGGGTGAGAATTAAGCTTTCTCTTGGAAAACCGGATTAACATACGTTTTGCTCTACAATTCTTTGGTTTTTGGTAAGTTTTAGGTCTTATTTGCCAAGTATAATATAAATTGATGACTAAAATAGTCCTAAGTCATATTTACATGCAAGAATGAGCCATGTTGATACCTTTTGTGTCTTTCTTTTTCAATTTCCAGAATTATACGGTGTTTAGAGCCATTGAAACAGAATGCCAAAATGGCGGAAATTTTGATGTTTGAATTTTTAATGTGTATAATCACTCTTGGGCTAATGTAAATCATGTATGAAGCTTTAAATTGGATTTATAACTAAGTTTTTACCTTGAAATTTTAGCTAATATGACTGCAATTTCCAATGCCATGCTTATCCATCTTCAAATGTTTTTCTCTCAAAAATTTCACCACCAAATCCGAAAATTTAATTTTTTATGAACACAAAAAGTGGGCCCGAGTCACTTTTATAGCTGAGGATGGGCCAGAATATTTTGGAAACATATCTCTTCCCTTCCGTTTTCATTTGGCCGTCATTTCCATGCGAAAAAACAGAGAATGTGCCAAAAAAGGGGGCTCAATTTTTTATATTCGGGGATGAGTTATAAATGCCGGAGGGGATGAAATGCGGGGATTCGTTTGATTTGAAGTGTCGAGACATTGGGGGTTGGGGAATTTTACGAACATTGCCTGAGGGGTTTTACAAAGGTTTGCAACTTTTGGTTACTGTAATTTTAGAAATTAGTCAAAAACAATTACTCTCAGGATATACGACCGTTTTATTGCATCATCTTAATTTTCAAAATGACCGGCTTGCTTGTTTTTTTGCATCATTGCCTTAAGGGATTTTGTGAAATTTTTTGATTTTTAGGGTTACCGTATTTTTTTTTTAACTTTCAAGCTTAGACCCATGACCTTCGCCTGCTATAATATAAGATATTCTAATATTTTGATCGCTTTGGATCAGCCAGCTTTCGTTGGTGATAGATGGACTCCCAATGACCTCTTATCCCTTTAATGACACCTATCGGAAGTGACAAATGGACATCTGGGTCATGAAAAGGGAATGACCGGTGATCTTATCGCATTATAGGACATGAAAGGTCGTGGGAATGCAGTTAACGGGTGGGCTTTGACGGGATCTTTTAAAGGGATAAATCTAGCGCCCATAGAATATCTTACGACCTCAAATAGTTAGATTTCTTTATTTAAAAACTCAAAAAATTGTTCGAATTTTTGAAGTTCTAAAGAATTTGCGTATTTTTTGTATTTTTAGCATCCATTTAGTCGGTTTAGTGTAAAGTAATCAATACCATTAACCCCTCGTTTTCCAGGATTATCCATTTTCCGTTGTAAAGTCGCGCTTTCGGATTGCGTAACAAAGAGAGGCAAAGGTCAGAGAAAGTTACAAATCTGAAAGGAGTCATAGCTCGGACGAGTGACAGGTTTATGATTGGGTAGATGAGTTAAGGCTATGGTTGATTCATGGTTCGTATTTTACCCTGCTTTTGAAGTCATGATTGCGTATATTTTGGAAGGTACTGTAGTTTGCAATTTTTTACTAAATTTTTGCACTCCAAGATTACAATGGCACCAAATTTAAACATGAATTTTGTAGCTCTATATCATGTTTTAAGCTTGCGTTTTACAGAAATTACCGAGATTTTTAAGTAAAAAATCGAAACTTCAATTTTTTCGGAATGGAAATTTTTTATGCTTTTTGAAGGTGGGATTCCAACCTCCTCCAGAAACTTTTGAGTCCCTTTCCTTACCCTCTTGATAACCCATCTTTTCCGTACTGTCCAAAAGTTGATTGATGACTATAATAAAAAGGAAGAAAGAAGAGAAAAGATGCGCATCTTACAAGACCTTGAACACCTTTTGCTTTTACGATATCTAAAGGTATTTGATGCCTCTAAAAAGAGGTGGCTCTTGATGACTTAATGGCCATTTAGATAAGGCCCCAGAGTCAGCATGACTTTACTTTGTATTGCTCAGCGCTTTACAATTACTGTTCTAGCTTTTGTAAGCAATCTTTTCTTTAGTAATCATTTTTAGTTTCTCCAAAAACCTCGTTTACTTTTTACAGTGAATAAGTTCAAAGCTGACCTCAAATAACGCGCTTTAACGAGCTGCCTATCCGGGGTACCCTTGCCTTTTAGCCGGCCAGTGTTCAACAGGTGGCCAAGACGTCATTAAGACAAAGCGGCGGATCAAATTTATTTTTTGTGTTCGGACAGGATTAACAGAATAAAAGAAAGGAGGGACAAGGTTCGGAAGAAGAT